GATGCCGGCGCTTCAGGACAGGGCTTTAAACCCCCCGTGCCACAGAGCTGGCCCCCAAAGATGGATTCTTAAGCTCCCCTCTCTCAAGTTATTTGTCTTTTGGATTACGATTATAAAAGTATGTACACAACAGAACACTACCTGGTACCCCACCCACAGGTAAATATAACTGCTCCAGTAGGCACAGCACAGGCCTCAGCAGGACAGGGTGCTTCCTACTGGAGCAGGTGCACAGCCCAAATTTATATCATCTATCCTCACTGATCTGACCACTGTTGTACTGTTACTTGAACCGTAAAAGGAAATTCCTGCAGCTAAGGTTACCGGGCTCTTAGGTAGGTAACAAGAGGCAGGGGCCGGCGCTGGCGCCGTGGCGCACTAGGTTAATCCTCCGCCTGCGGCACCGGCATCCCATATGGGTGCCAGTTCTAGTCCCGGTTGCTCCTCTTCCATTCCCGCTCTCTGCTGTGGCCTGGCATAGCAGTGGAGGATGGCCCAAGTGCTTGGGCCCCTGCACCCACACAGGAGATCCGGAAAGCAGTTCTGGCCGTGGCGGCCATTTGGGGAGTGAACCAATGGAAGGAAGACCTTTCTCTCTGTCTCTGTCTGTAAAGAATAAAAGAGGCAGGGGGGCTGGCTGTGGTTTCACAATATCAATGCTGCACATGGGGGCCGGCACTGTGGCGCAGTGGGTTAAAGTCCTGGCCAGAAGCACCCACATCCCATATGGATGCTGGTTCTAAGTCCCGGCTGCTCCTTTCTGATCCAGCTCTCTGCTATGGCCTGGGAAAGCAGTAGAAAGGCCCAAGTCCTTGGGCCCCTGCACCCACGTGGGAGACCTGGAAGAAGCTCTTGGCTCCTGGCTTTGGATCAGTGCAACTCCAGCCATTGCGGCCATTTGGGGAGTGAATCAGTGGATAGAAGACCTCTCTATCTCTTTCAAATAAATTTATTTTTAAAAAAGAAAAAAAAATCCTGCATGTGCAAGGGCTACTGGGAATGAAATCTGCAACACCGGTTCTGGACTGTGGGTGACTCCCCCCAGGGAACATGTGGCAATGTCTGGACACGTTTTCAATGGTGATTCTACTGCCACCTAATGAGTAGAGGCCAAGGACGCTGCTAAACACCCAACACAGGTCGCCCCTATAAAAAGGTTTAACCAGCACCAGGTGTCACGTGGTGAGGCTGCAGCGCCTGTTCTGCGAAGGCGGCCACACAGCGGTGAGCGAGTCTGTGTGAGAGGACATTCGGAACCGCCAAATCCAAACTACCGGGCAGGAGGTGGTTTCTCCATTGTCTCTCGGCAAAACTTTGAAGTTTTACTCTAGTGATGCTGCCTTTCTTAATTCGAATATTAACTGGGTACCTACTAAGAATCAGGCACTTCCACACTTTAAATTGGAAATATGAACATGTTTTTATTAAGATCTCACAATGAACAACATGTTAGCTGTCGTGATAAAGAATCCACGGCCCACGGTGGCAGGAGAGCGCTCAGCCAGTGCCCCGTGTCCACTGAAGACGGCCCGTCCAGAGAGGGTGTTTCCTGGGATTCCACCCGCTGCACTGTGGCTTCCAGCCACGCCTCCACGACGTTCCCAGAATCCTTCATTCAGCACCAGCTGACCCTCTGCCACTCCTGACTCCTTCAAGTCCCAGGTCAAAGGCCTGTCTCATTCAGCCAGCCGCATGGAGCCCCATGCCACCCTCAGGGTCGAGGACACAATGTCACACCAGGAGCAAACACCAGGGGTACATGAGCACACAGTGCTTGGACAGGAGCCTAACAACCTCAGAATCCAGGCTTTCTTCCCAGTCATACACGATCCCCTACAGAGCAAAGGCGGCTTCTCACTCATGCTAACAGGTACGGAAGGATTCCGTATGCCAGGCACAGGGACACAAGGTGGCCAGTGTTCACTCCCAGGATCCCCCGCTGCCCCTCCGGCCTCTGAGGGCCGCCTCACTGCATTATTCACGAGGGGGAACAGGATGGCAGGGAGACGGGGAGAAACAACCCTGTAAACAAGATACAAAAATGCAGAGACCAGGTTTCATACTACGGTATTTTATAATAGAAAGCAGCTGAAAATGCTACACTAACACACACTATGATACAGGGCCTCAGGCGCGGGGAGCCGTCAGCCCGAGGGCGTGGAGGGCGTGGAGGGCGCGGTTACACCAAGAGCCTCTCGATGGACTGCTGAATGGACTGGATCTGCTGCTTCAGTTGTGACCCTTCTTTGATGGTGACGGAACAGGCGATGACAGGCCTCGAGACCCCACAGGCCCGGCCCAGGGCCTGCTTGGAGCGCACAAACACGTAGGGCACGTTCTTGTCCTCACACAGCAGCGGGAGATGCAAGATGATCTCCAGGGGCTCAGCGTCTGCTGCCATCACAATGAACTCTGAGATGCCCCTGTTGAGGGTCTTGGTGGCTGTGGAGACAGGGACGAGAGGCGAATGGGTGAAGTGGGGCTTGTGCGGGGCAGTCTCCAAGGAACTGAATGACAGGTCCAAGAACACTAGGCACAGCACCTGGCACCAGCAAGTCTGGAGCAGCCGGGTGTGATACGGGACGCCAACACCAGTGAACCCGTCACCTTCAACGCCTTTCTCAAGCCTCCCATCAAACCCATTACTCGTCTTCAAACACAACCTGAGCCTGACCACTTCCTCACCTTCCTGTGCTGCCACTTGTCCAGGGAACCATCATCTCCTGCCTGGCCAACTGCTATGGCACCCACAGGCCCGGCCAGCACACAGCACTGCCCACGCGAGCTGACACCAAGGATTCGGCTCTCGGCTCAAACTCCACCTCCCCAGAAAACTCCACCTAGAAAGACCCCACCACGGCCACGCCCTCCCCCTTGCCCTACTTATGTTCCTCTCCAGCTCCTACTAGAATGCGACCTCCAAGAAGGCAGGGACTTGACTCGCTCACCACAGCACCACCAGCATACAGACATGTGCCCGGTACACAGAAGGCGATTCATGAATGGGCACACGAGTATCTGGAGCTGAGACAGAGGCATGGGAAGCTGCTGCTCCTCCCTCCCTAACTCCCGTGAGCACGTTACTCGAACCGAAGCCGATGACACCAAGCTTCTCCACTCGAGGACCCGAGGTACCTCTGGGCCTAGCGCCGTGCAAGGAATAGCAAAAGGAAGAAGATGGTCCTGTCGCCGAGTCCGCATCTGCCTGAGGAGCCAAACCTCACACCCTCGCCTAGCCAGGCTGACCTGGGCGTGCCGCGTGAGAACAGAGACCTCGCAAGAGAGCGAGAGGAGCTCCCTCCGCTGGGCCCTGCTCTGCCAGGCTCCGCGGCTGTAGTGTGAGGCGCAGAGGCCCAGGGACTGTCTGCTTCATCTTCTTCCACGCAATCTCACACCAGGGAAAAACGCCCAGCAGTTCAATGAGCCTCTCCAAAGACAAAACAACTCTCTCACCGCAAACGACTTAGCCCCTGGCTAAAGAAGACCGTCCTATGCACCTCTGCCACAGGCAATCATTCCACCCAGAAATCACTGGTTTCTTCCTTTAAAAACAACACAAAAGCAACGTTTCTGAGAACCAGATGAATGTTAATTACTCATGATGGCTCTGGGGAAGCCACAAAGTTAACAGAATCTCTACCCAAGTGTCTGTTCAGCAAAGTAACATAAAGAGAAAAAAAATTGAGCCCATTAGTCTTCAGCATTTAATGCCCAAACGCAGCTCTAAGTCCCCACGTGGGTTACAGTATTCAGCCTCCCTCTCACTGGAAATCCGGACCAGAGGCCGGAGAGACCGGTGCCTTCAACACTGCCCAGAGCACCAGGGGCCGCCTTACCCTCGTTGGCCCCTTTCCGAAGCTGCTTGTAGTTACACGACTGCTGAACCAGGTCCAGGAGCTTCTTGGTGAGGTGGGCATCTGCAAGGGGGTAGGCTTTTGGATTCACATCCGCTTCAGTCTGTGGAGGAAGCAAGAGAGTAATAACACTGGCCTGCAAACTCGTAGCTTGGAAAAACCAAAATATGCTTGTAAGGCTAAAAAGGAGTTAGTAATTATATAGCCCAATACTGTATACGAACCCATATGTGTTTTTATTTACCACTGTTTGGTAAATTTACAACAAATGGATCATAAATGGGCTCCTATGATTCAACATCCATTGAGTTACACCAGGTAATCTTTAAATCCAAATTCCCATATTCAATCCCAAATTTACTCAATCAAAATTAAGGGATAATCTACTATATACAGTAGAAAGCTCCCTCCACTCCCCCTCCCCTATGCAAATCTTTCTATCCTCAGTGAGAACTCTGGTTTCCAACACCAAGTTGTTTTTTTTTTTCAGGGTGAGTGATAAACAGCAGTTAAGTTGTCAGGCCCCAGAACAACACCTGGGTTCAAATCCTGGCCCCATTCCTGATGCCAGCTTCCTGCTAACACGCATCTAGAGAGAAGCAACAGCTTAAGTAGCTGAGGAGTCTGTTACCCACTTGGGAGAGCCAGGCTGACTTCCCAGCTCTTGGCTCTGGCCTGGTCCAGTCCTGGCTATTATGGGCATTTGGGAGAGTGAACCAGCAGATGGGAGATATGTTTCTCTGCCTTCCAAAAACAATTTTTTTCTCCTTTCACTTATTCTACCCTACAGTATGCAAAAATGGTTCCTGAATTGCTATATCCAATACCACTTCTACCAACAAACTCACCAAGGTCAAAATTTCTTTTTGCTTTTAGGATATATTCTACCAAAGAATCCAGTGAAAGTTCTATGTTTGAAAGTTATTCAAGGGGCCAGTGCTGTGGCACACAGGTTAAAGCCCCAGCCTGTAATGCCGGCATCCCATATGGGCACCAGTTCGAGTCCTGGCTGCTCCACTTCCCATGCAGCTCTCTGCTGTGGCCTGGGAAAGCAGCAGAAGATGGCCCAAGTCCTTGGGCTCCTGCACTCGCATGGAAAATCCAGAGGAAGCTCCTGGCTTCGGATCAGCTCAGCTCTGGCCATTGCAGTCATTTGGGGAGTGAACCAGCAGATGGAAGACCTCTTTCTCTCTGCCTCTCTGTAACCCTGCCTTTCAAATAAATAAAACATCTTAAAAAAAAAAAAGTTTATGAAAAGTAGAATTAAAACGATAAGCTTAGTCTGGTGCAAAAATTTCTGAGATCCTTAAACAATTTTTTAAAAAAAGATTTTATTTATTTCAAAGAGTTACAGAGAGAGAGCTAGAGCCAGAGACAGACAGAGGTCTTCCATCTGCTGGTTCAATTTCCAAATGGCCACGACAGCTAGAGCTGGGGGCTGATCTGAAGCCAGTTTCCGGGTCTCCCACACAGGTGCAGGGGCCCAAGCAGTTGGGCCATCTTCTACTGCTTTCCCAGGCCACAGCAGAGCTGGATCTGAAGTGGAGCAGCGAGAACTCAAACCAGCGCCCATACAGGATGCGAGCTTTAACCCACTGTGCCATAGCCCCAGTCCCACATTCTGATTTTTCTTAAGATTGATTTATTTAATTTGAAAGGCAGAGCTACAGAGAGAGACAGAAATCTATTTGCTAGTTCACTCCCCAGATGGCCACCATGGATGGAGCTGGGCCAGGCTGAAGCCAGGAGTTTCCTCTGGGTTTCCCAGGTAGGTGCAGGAGCCCAAGCGCTTAGGCCATTTTCCACTGCTTTTCCCAGGCCATTAGCAGGGAGCTAGATCAGAAGTGGAACAGCTGGGATTTGAACCAGTGCCCATATGGGATTCTAGCATTGCAGGTGGTGGCTTTACCTGCTATACCACAGCGCCAGCCCTGAGAAGTCTGAATTCCCAGGTGCTTGAGATCTGGCTGTTGTGGCCATTTGAAAAGTGAGCCAGTGGATGAAAGATCTCTGTCACTCTGCTCTTCAAATAAATTAATTAAAAAAAAAAATCAAACTTCTCATGACTTAACAACAAAAAAATTAATTAAACAAAATAAAAGTGGAGTCACCCATACTATATGGGCACTGGTTTGAGTCCTAGCTGCTCCACTTCAGATCCAGCTCCCTGTTGATATGCTTGGGAAAGCAGCAGAAGATAGCCTCGTGCTTGGGCCCGTCACCCGTGGGAGACCTGAACAGTTTCTGGCTCTTGGCTATGGCCTGGTCCAACCTTGGCCATCGTGGCCATTTGGGGAATGAACCAGCAGATGAAGATCAATCCCTTTCTGTAACTCTTTCAATTAAGTAAATAAATCTTTGGGAAAATTTTCATTTATTTCAGAGGCAGAGAGTGTGAGTGCTCCCATTTGCTGGCTCACTCCCTAAATGAGAGCTCAATGCAGTTCTTCCACGTGGACTGCTGCCTCCCAGCGTCTGCATTAACAGGAGGCTGGAAACACCGCCAAGAGGTGGGCAATGAACCCAGGCGCTCCAACGCGGGATGCGGGCATCTTAGGCGTCAGGATAACGCCTGCCACTCTCTCCTCTCACATTTCTATTCCTTCTGTGGTTACCTGAGAAATCAACGTGCCCGTAACTTATCAGATGCTCGACAGCACACCACCCTCTTCCCAATGAGGGACTCAGCACTTCAGATCCAGTCACTCCTCGCTGAGTACTTCCACTCTGCAAACCAGGATTCTCAACTCTCCATAGACATCAAATGCACGAAGAGGACGACTTCAGAACCCACAACAAAAACCTTCACCTTCTACCATCAGTCAACAGAAACGATGGGACTCTAAAACCAAGTTGCCCAGCTTACAAACACGAATGCAAACTTGCCAACGTGTAAGGGGTAAATGAGCCAGCCAATTTAAATCCCTACACCAGACAGCCAAAACCGACCACGTTTTGATTCAACAAACACAGCCACGCCCCATAACATTTGAGTTTCTCGTCAACGATCAACCTCATACACCTGTGTGGTCCCACAAAACCGTCATGGAGCTGGAAAACGCCCACAGCCTGGTGGTCCTGTAGCCATGGCAACTCTGCAGCCATCCAAGGCGGGGGATTTGTGGTGACGCTGACGCAGGAAACCCCTGGTAACAAGTGACCACTTTCTATTTATTATTACTGTAGAGGGATCTGCTTCCACCTGGGCGACGTGGAGCAACTGACCTGAACCATCTAGTCTGCGCAGGGACTGGCACAGCAGGCGGCCAGCAGCGCAGTTCCCAGGACCCGCGCGGGCCGGTGCTCGCTGTCCCTGCCCGGCTTCGGGGCTACCAGTTCACAGTGCGCTCAGTCCCGATCGGACCCTCGCGTCCACAGGCACGGTCCTCCCACTGTACAGTTAGGTAAGCTGCGGAGTTCAACCCGAGATCACTCGATCCCAAACCTGCCTCAGATGAGCCCTGGCTCCGACACACGAGCTTCAAAACGACGGGCGGGAGGGGGAGGCAGCCCCCCAGGGATCCGAGCTCCCGTGGAATGACTGAACCCCACTATGGACTCCACTTCCTCACCAAGGGCCGACCCGAGCCCGCCACACCACCGCCACGACCCGGACTCTCCCTAAGCGATTAGTAAGCTGCCGACAGCCAGGAGCTCAGAGGAGCTGCACGCGGTGGCTCGAGGTTGGCAGCCTCAACCTCTCCCGCGCTCCAGGTCACTCCACACTCCCCATCGCCCCCAGACGCCAGGGGCCCCGTTAATCCCCGGCACACGTGACCCGCGGCCCGCTCTGGGCGCGGACCCAAGGGAGAACTCCGTCTCCGGAGCCCCCAGCACTGGGAAAGGGGCGGGCTGGGTAGAAGACGGTGATCCAGAGTCCAGGCGGCTAAGCCATGCCCTAGAGATCGTAAAAGATAAGGAAAAAGAGAAAGGAAAAAAGAAGGGAGCCATTTAAAAAAAAAAAAAACAAAACAACTTTCTACCATCGCCCACGTGGGCTGCTCCTTCCCAGGCTCTGCCCCTTCCGGGCTCACCGAGGCCTCCGGCCACGGGAACGGACAGCTGCAAACACCGCCGACACAGCGGGCGGCCCTGAGCTTCCCGAGTTCTAACGTGGGGCCGGGGCTGCCGGGACCCTGCGGCTGCCCGGGCTCCAATCCCGGGCCGAGCGGCCGAGCCCGAGCCGGAGCCCGGCGGCCGAGCCCGCGCACTTCCCGACCTCCAGGCAGGACGGCGAGCGAGCCGAAACCCCGGGGTGCCCATCCCGGCCCGCAGGCCCGGCGCACGCACTCACCATGGCTGCGGCTCCGCGGGCTCGCCACTCGCGACGAACAACCGCCGACGTCAAAGAAGAAGCCGGAAACTGCCCAGAAAATAAGCCGGAAGTGGTGCTCACGCGCGGCAGGAAGCGGAAGTGGCGTCACACGGGCGGGCGGAAGCGGAAGTGGCGTCACACGGGCGGGCGGACCTCGGCCACGAGGGGGCGCCGTCGCGGAGGCGGCCTCCCGCTTGTGAGACACCCTATGCTTGTTGTTTTTATTAGCGTTTTATAAATTTTGGGCACAAAGTGAGTTAATCATCGAAAAGAAAGGGCGACAGAGGTTTTACTACTCCAGCGCCAGCTCACTTTCGGGCACATTCTTGCGCTTGTCTTTCTGACCCTACCCTGGTGAGGGGAGATAAATTACAGGCAATTTATTTTTATTTTTTATTTATTTATTTGAAAGTCCGAGTTACACAGAGAGAGGAGAGGGAGAGGCCTTCCACTCGCTGGTTCACTCCGCAGGTGGCCACAACAGCTGGAGCTGTGCTGATCCGAAGCCAGGAGCTTCTCTGGGTCTCCCACGGGGGTGCAGGGGCCCAGGGATTAGGCCATCTTCCACTGCTGTCCCAGGCCACAGCAGAGAGCGGGAGGGGAAGTGGAGCAGCCGGGTCTTGAACCCGTGCCCATACGGGATGCTGGCGCTTCAGGCCAGGGTGTTAACCTGCTGTGCCACAGCGCAGGCCCCACAGGCAATTTCAGATGTTCTTCCTCATCACATCTCTTGTCAGCGTCCCTGATGGAGGCTGAATTAGAATCCATTAAATGAGGAATCAGGAGGAAGAGCAGATTTGGGGTAAGGGAGTAGGAGTTGAGTTTCTGTCAGGTTGAATGTGAAATATCTTAGGACACCTACTTTTTTTTTTTCTTTTTCTTTTTTGACAGAGTTAGACAGAGAGAGAGAGACAGAGAGAAAGGTCTTCCTTTTCTGTTGGTTCAGTCCCCAAATGGCCGCTACGGCCGGTGCGCTGTGGCTGGTGCACTGCGCCAATCCGAAGCCAGGAGCCAGGTGCCTCCTCCTGGTCTCCCATGCAGGTGCAGGGCCCAAGCACTTGGGCCATCCTCCACTGCACTCCCGGGCCACAGCAGAGAGCTGGACTGGAAGAGGAGCAACCGGGACTAGAACCTGGCACCCCAACTGGACTAGAACCCGGGGTGCCGGCGCCGCAGGCGGAGGATTAGCCAAGTGAGCCACAGCACTGGCCAGGACACCTACTTTCTAATAGCCAGAACCTCACTCTTTTCTCAATTCTTCCCCAAATCTCCATTATTTATGGCTGAACTCATGCCTCACCACCCCCAAGACAGCCTCCTCGATTCTCATGGCCCTTCCTCATGCCTCTCCAACATGATGCCGTGCACATCAGGAGACCACTTGGATCCAACCCAAACTAGACCATCCGGGGCTAATTCCATTGGAAGTCTCCAAGTGAGAGCTGGCAGAACCCTAAGGGTCATGCAACGGCATTTCTTAGTTTCACACAGGGAGCCAGGTCTAGAGAAGGGAAGCTGCTTGCCCACGGTGGTCACAGAGTGACACAGGGGTGCAGCTGGAACTGCACGTTAGGGTGACCTGGGTTACGTCCACCACATCTGGTTGCCCTTCCTGCAATGTGTCGGGGCATGAGGCAACAGGCTCCAACACTGAACATCAGTTACGTCAAAGATGCTCTGGTCTTCACTATGCAGATCTGGTAGGATTAGGATGTGTCAAAAATACTGTTTCCAAACTAAGAAGTTTCCACTCGTGACTCCAGTTTAACAGTAAAACGTGTGATATGGACTCTGTTCCTCACCTCTGTTGGATCCTGCTGCATGTCTCCGTATTAATTGGACCTCTGTTGGTCCTGAAACTTTACGATTCCAACTCACGGACACCAATGTATTCTTGCCATTTGTTTATTAGGTGTCCTTTATAACAACTTTTGATCATTATTTGGCCTACCTTGCATCTTGGACCATCATCCCAGATCTCTTTTGTAACGAGTAATAGAGATGTTTTTATGACCATGAGGAATGAGACAATACACTCTACCTAATTATATAATTCTGTTTCCAACTATATAATAACTCATTTTTCATGTTCTTTCAGAGCCATCCAATCCTTTTGTATTTTGCAGTTTCCCTTGCTATCTATTTATTTTGAAAGTCAAGTTACAGAGAAAGAGAGAGAGAGACAGAGCTATCTCCTATCCACGGTCTACTTCTCCAGATGGCTTCAATGGCCAGGGACGGGCCAGGCCAAAGCCAGGAGCCAGGAGCTTCATCTGTGTCTTCTGTGTGGGTGGCAGGGGCCCAAACACTTGGGCCATCTTCTGCTTCTTTTCCCAGGCCATTAGCAGGGAGCTGGACCAGAAGTAGAGTAGCCATGACACAAACCAGTGCCCATATGGGATTCTAGTGTTGCGGACGAAGGCTTAACCTGCGATGCCACAGTGCCAGTCCCCCTTGCTAGTAATTTAATACATGTTCATGAGTGCTCTCCAGAGCAGTTTGCTTAGAAATTTACCACACACATGTGTTTGGCCTGAGTTGTTAGCCCCTTTCCACTAGCGTTCTCCTTGGCACCCATGCTGCATCCCTACTCACCTTCTTTTGCTATCCTGAGCACATATTCATATCATATCACATGTTCATATCCTGAACCGTATCCATCACCCTATATTGAGTGATTTGTTCAACTATGCTGCTTAGAGAACTCCTGTTCAACACGTCTTCAATGAAACCTCTACTCACCCTGACTAGGTAACTGCCCTGCTGGATGGAGCCACAGACCTCCACACTTGCTCTCTATAGCACTTGTCAGCCTTGTCTTTATTCAGTGTTGGCCGTCCCAACCACACTGACGGCTCCAGGAGAGCAGTGCTTGCAACTGCTTTGGACACTTTGATACTGCTGTGGTTTGCCTGTTTGTCCCTCCAAACTCGGGACTTTAGTCCCCAGAGACATAAGTTAATGGTCCTGCCAATTACCAGTGTTTATAAAGAGGGGGCCCTTAGGATATGATTAGACTGGATTATGTCATTAGGATAGAATTCCCATGTTTGAGTCCTAGTGGATTATAAGGAAAGGGAAAGGAAACCGCATGGAAATACAGGCACGTGTGCTCCTTGTTTCTTGTTATGTGACGCCCTGTGCCACCTCAGTAAGAATGCCATGGCCAAAGGCTGAACCAAGCCAGATTTTGGACTGTGAACCTTCAGAATCATGAGCCAAAATGAATCTCTTTTCTTCATAAAGTAACCTGCCTCGGATATTTTACTAAAATTGGGAATGGGGCCGGCACTGTGGCGCACTAGGTGAATCCTCCACCTGTGGTGCTGGCATCCCACATGGGCGCCAGTTCTAGTCCTGGTTGCTCCTCTTCCTGTCCAGCTGTCAAATCCACTGCAACATAGTTGAGAAATCAACTGCAACACTGGGATAGCAGTAGAAGAAGGCCCAGCTGCTTGGGCCCCTGCACCTGCATGGGAGATCAGGAAGAAGCACCTGGCTCCTGGCTTTGGATCAGCACAGCTCCAGCTGTGGTGGCCATTTGGGGAGTGAACCAACGGAAGGAAGATCTTTCTCTCTGTCTCTCTCACTGTCTGTAACTCTACCTGTCAAATAAATAAATAAATAAGATCTTTTTTAAAAAATAAAATTGTGAAAAGCTGACCAAAAAGATATCTATCTTCTAGTACCATGCCTGGCCTAAAGGAGATACTTTTTGCTTAGGGATCTTTGGTGGCAAACAAAACAAAACAAAACAAAAAAACACAGCTGGCGCTATGGTATAATAGGCTAAGCCTCTGCCTGTGGTGATGGAATCCCATAGGTGCCAGTTTGTGTCCCAGGAGCTCCTCTTCTGATTTAGCTCTCTGCTATGGCCTGGGAAAGCAGCGAAAAATAGTCCAAGTCCTTGGGCCCCTGCACCCATATGGGAGACCTGGAAGAAGCTCCTGGCTTCAGCCTGGCCCAGCTCCAGCCATTGCAATCATTTGGAGAGTGAACAGGTGGATGGATGACCTTTCTCTCTGTCTCTCCCTCCCTCTGTAACTACCTCTCAGAGAAACAAATCCAAAACAAAAACAAAAAGGAATTAGGGGGACTTCTTTTATAGTGGGACTCAGAGGCTCAAGGGGAACTGGTTGTGAGTATGAAACTTGCCCTACAGTCTCACTCCATTTTTGTCCTCTAGCCAAAGACAACCAGGAACACGCCTATAATGCTATGATTTGCAACAAGGGGGAACACACACCCCAAGGGTGTGTGTGAAGATAGAGGTAAAGAAGTTAGAAGATTTGGGCTTGCGTTAGGTGCTTTGAGAGGGTTCAAGGACGTGGAGTTTGTTCTAGATTAGATGCTGCTAGCAAGCTTGAGTATTTCTATGGTTGGGCATATTAATAAATCTGTCTATAAGGTGGGAGGAATGAAATTAGCCTAGAGCTATAATTGGCAAATTATTTATTTATTATTTTAATCAATTATTAATTTATTAATTATATCATATTAGGATAAGAGAATGTTTATTTTTGTGGTTTGGACAGTGTTCAGACATGATTAAGGAATGATCTTATTTTTGTCTTTGTTATCAGAGTGGCTTTTTCTGATATTGATGTTCTATGAAATTGTTTATGTTTGTGATGCAGTGGGTCAAAGCCACTGCCTGCAGCACCAGCATCCCATATGGGTGCCAGTTCAAGTCCCGGCTGCTCTACTTCCAATCCAGCTCTCTGCTAATGCACTCAGGAAAGCAGCGGAGGATAGCCCAAGTCCTTGGGCCCCTGCACCCACATGGGAGACCCAGAGGAAGCTCCTGGCTCCTAGCTTCAGATCGGCTCGGCGCTGGCCATTGTAGCCATTTGGGGAGTGGACCAGCAGATGGAAGACCTCTCTGCCTTTCTGTAACTCTGCCTTTCAGATAAATAAATAAATTAAAAAAAAAAAAAAGACCTAGGGTCCTGGCAGAGAGAGCTCAGTTGGCCAAACTTAGGCTATACCTCCACTCTGACTGTCCTGGGTCCCTGAGAGTATTATCAGGTACAATCTGGGGTGACACATTCAACTGGGATGCATTGTAGGGTATTTTCTTCTTTAATTTATTTGAAAGAATTACAGAGGGAGGCCGAGACAGAGAGAGAGAGAGTTCTTCCATCCTCTGGTTCACTCCCCAGATGGCCACAATGGTCAGAGCTGGACCAATCTGAAGCTAGGGACCAGGAGCTTCTTCTAGGTCTCCCATGTGGGTGCAGAGGCCCAAGGACTTGAACCATCTTCTGCTGCTTTCTCAGGTGATAGCAGAGAGCTGGGTCGGAAGTAGAATAGCCAGGTTCGAACTGCTACCATATGGAATGCTGGCACTGCAGGCAGCGGCTTTACCTGCTACGCCAGAGAGCCGGCCCTGACAGGGATGTTCAAAACAAATTCTTCGGGCCTACACTGTGGCGTAGTGAGTTGAGGCTGCTGCCTGCAGTGCCGGCATCCCATATGGGCGCTGGTTCGAGACTCGGCTGCTCCACTTCTGATCCAGCTCTTTGCTATGGCCTGGGAAGGCAGTAGAAGATGGCCCAAGTCCTTGGACCCCTGCACCCACGTGGGAGACCTAGAGGAAGCTCCTGATTCCTGGATTTGGATTGGCACAGCTCCAGCCATTGTGGCCATCTGGGGAGTGAGCCAGCGGATAGAAGACTTCTCTCTGCCTTTGCCTCTCTGTAACTCTTCGTTTCAAATAAATAAATATATCTTTAAAAAACAACAACAACAAATTCTTTGGGGCTGGCACTGTGGCGTAGCAAGTAAAGCTGCTGCCTGCAGTGCTGGCATCCCATATGGGCGCTGGTTTGAGTCTCTGTTGCTCCACTTCCAGTCCAGCTCTCTGCTACGGCCTGGGAAAGCAGTAGAAGATGACCCAAGTCCTTGGACCCCTGCACCTGCATGGGAGACCTGGAAGAAGCTCCTGGCTCCTGGTTTCCAGATCGGCACAGCTCTGCCCATTGCAGCCAATTGGGGAGTGAACCATCGGATAGATAGACCTCTCTCTCTCTCTCTCGCTCTCTGCCTCTCCTTCTCTCTGTGTGTAACTCTGACTGTCAAATAAACAAATCTTTAAAAGAAAAAAACCAAATTCTTCCTCTTAATTCTGTTGAGCAGTTTCATTGCCTCAGCTGACGCGGGGATGCCGGCCAGCTCTGCAGCCAGAGCTGACTGGGGCATCAGGCTCCTTTGTGACATTGCCTCAGTGACAGGGTGGCTATGTGGTGAGTTACCCCGCCCTGGACTCCTGGGGGTCAGTCATGCCAGCCCTATGCTCCAGCTCCCCAAGACCATCCCTGACCTGACTTCTGCCATGTTGCTGCCGCTACTGGGCGCCTGTGCTTTGGTGGGGCCATGCTATGGCCCTGAGTGGGAGCCGGTGCGGGACCTGCTTTCCCAGAACCGCAGCTGCAGGGACCCTCGGTGCCGTGGCAACCTGCTCATCCTCTGCCTCTTTCTGGTTTGGCAGGTCCAGCACTATTGGTACAAGGTCACCAGGACTCGTTCCAGTGTGAGGAAGGTCATCAAGGTGAGGGCCCCACACCTCCATTCTCCTTCCCTCAGCACATTACTGTCCTGGTAACTTGCTACAGGGACCCTGCTTCCTGCCTTATGAATCAGACACAAATTAGAAGGAAGCTTAGATGGGTTAGGGAGAGCATCATGCAGGCCCCAAACTCACATTAAGAAACCGACCATTACCAGCGCCTAGAAGTGTGCAGTCGCAACTGCTGCTTTCGTTGTTTTGTTCTCAAGATTTATTTACTGGGGCTGGTGCTGTGGCATAGCAGGTAAAGCCACTGCCTGCCGTGCCGGCATCCCATGTGGGTGCTAGTTCAAGTCCTGGCTGCTCCACATCCAATCTAGTTCTCTGCTATGGCCTCAGAAAGCAGTGGAAGATGACCCAAGTCCTTGGGCCCCTGCACCTGCACGGTAGACCCAGAAGAAGCTCCTGGCTCCTGGCTTCAGATAGGTCCAGCAGCTATTTGGGAGTGTACCAGAGGACGGAAGACCTCTCTCTCTCTCTCTCTCTGGCTCTGCCTCTCTGTAACTCTGCCTTCAAATAAATAAATCTTTAAAAAATATTTATTTGAAAGGTACAGACAGACAGACAGACACACACACACACACGGTGGGGGGGGGGGCGGAATCTTCCATCTTTCCATCTGCTTGTTCATTTCCCAAATGGCCAAATGACTAGGGCGGGGCCAGGTTGAAGCCAGGAGCCTAGAACTCCATCAAGGTTTTCCAAATGGGTGGCAGAGGCCCATGTACCTGGGCCATCATCTGCTGCTTTCTCAGGCACATTAGCAGGGGGCTGGATCAAAAGTGGAGCAGCCTGGACTTGACCTGGTGGGTGCTCCAGGAGGGGATGCTGGTATTGCAGGTAGCAGCTTAACCTGGTTCTCCACGACGCCAACCCCTGCTAATTTCTAACACCATAGAGCAGTTTTGTCTGTGAACATTGTTTGGCAAGTATTCTTTTGGACCTGGATGAAGTCCAAAATTATGCATATGAGCCAGAACAAACTTTCATTGCATTTATTTATTTGAGAGAATGAGACAGAGAGAGGGAGAGTGACAGAGCTGTCATCCGCTAGTTCATTCCCCAAATGCTGACAATGCTGGGGTTAGGTGGAGCAGGATGAAGTAAGGAGCCGGGAACTCAGTTTGAGTCTCTCATGTGCGTGGCAGGAACCCAATTTCTTGAGCCATTGCCCCTGCCTCTGAGGGTGTGCCTTAGCGGGAAGTTGGAATTAGTAGCTGGAGACGGGGACTGAACCCAGGTACGCTAATGTGGGATGTGGGCATCCTAACAGCAGCTTAAGGGCTGGGCCAAATACCCACTCCTGTAACCAACCTTTCTTTTTTGTAACCAACTTTCTTTGTTTGATGATTTTATTTACTTATTTGAGAGGCAGAGTTACAGACAGCGAGAGGGAAACACAGAGAGAGAGGTCTTTCTTCCACTGGTTCATTCCCCAAATGGCTGCAACGGCTAGAGCTGCGCAGATCCAAAGCCAGGAGCAAGGTGCTTCTTCCAGGTCTCCCACATGGGTGCAGGGCCCAAGCACTTGGGCCATCGCCATCCTCCACTGCTTTCCTGGGCCACAGCAGAGAGCTGGACTGGAAGAGAAGCAGCCGGGACTACAGCCAGCGCCCATATGGGATGCCGGCGCCGCAGGTGGATGATTAATTTACTATGCCACGGTGCCGGCCCCTGTAACCAACTTTTAAAAATAGATCATAGTTGGGGCTGGCATCATGGTAAGCTTCCACCTGTGATGTCAGCATCACATTTGGCCACCAGTTGGAGTCCTGGCTGCTCCACTTCTGATTTAGCTCCCTACTAATGGCCTGGGAAAGCAGCAGAAGATGGCCCAAGTGCTTGGGCCCCTGAACCCACAGGGTAGACCATTTGGAGGGCAAACTAGTAGATAGAAGATCTCTCTGTTTCTCCCTCTCTCTGTTTCTCTGCTTCTCAAATAAATAAATAAGTAAATTTTTAAAAAATAGATTGTAGGGGCTGGCACTGTGGCATAGCAGATTAAGCTGCTGCCTGCAGTTCTGGCATCCCATAAGGGCACTGGTTTAAGACACGGCTGCTCCACTTCTGATCCAGCTCCCTGCTAATGCTCCTGGGATAGCAGTAGAGGATGGCCCAGGTATTTGGGCCTCTGTACCCACATGGGAGACCCGGATGAAGCTCCTGGCTTCAGCCTGGCCCAGCCCCCGCTATCACAGTCATCTGGGGAGTGAACCAGCAGATGGAAGCTCTCTCTCTCTTCCTCCTAATTCTGCCTTTCAAAAGAAAAAAAAAAAAAAGATCACAGCACCTTGCTGCTCAAAACCTGCAGTGGCTCCTCTGTGGCTCTCTGTCACTCTCAGGATAAAAATCTAAACCCTTCCCCATAACTTCAAGACCCGCCATGGCCAGTCCTCTGTCCGTGACCTCCTCTCCCCATGCGCTCCATTCCATTTTGGACATACAGACCTCCTTGCGGTACACATGACCTAGTTCCATTCTCAGGGCCTTGGCAGTGAATGTTTCCGCTGCCTAAGTAAATGCTCTGTCCTCAGATCTCATCAGGTCTCCAGCCAACCGTCACCTCCTTCAAGAGGCCTTCTCTGACCACTCTGCCTGAAGGGGCTAACTCCACCTTGTACTTGTCTTTCATTTCCATTTTTAAAGAATGATTATTTATTTATTTGAAAGGCAGAATTATGGAGACAGAGGGAGAAACACAGAGAAAAGTTCTATCTGGTGGTTCACTCCTCAGATGGCTGCAACAGCTGAGGCTAGGCAGGCTGACGTCCATCTGGGTCTCCCATGTGGGTGGCAGGGCTCCAAGCACTTGGACCATCTTCCACTGCTTTCCTGGGGACATTAGCAGGGAGCTAGGCCAGACACGGAGCAGCTGGGATTTGAACCAGCGCCCATAAGGGATGCTGGCATCGCAGGTGGTGGCTGAACTTGCTGCGCCACAATACCTGTTCCTTCATTAGAACACTTTCGAGACCTAACACTTGAAATACCTGGTTATTGTCTTACCCCTACGTCTAGAACATAGCTGCCGGTAGAGACACTGTCTTGTTCACGCTGGTACCCTCAGCACCTAGAACGGTGCCTGGCTCCGAGGAAGCTCCTCATCTTTCTTGAATGGATGAATACCGATTGCCTAAGGAAAGCAACTCCCCTTTTCCGGGCCCGAGCATCCCCATCTGGATAATGGGGGTGGTAATTCCAATCTGCAGGGATTTAATGAGCTACTGTGTGTGTAAAGGTTTTGCTTCTTGGTTCTAACCTCCAGGTGCCACCAGAGAAAGGGGTAGTGCCCTCGACAAGACGTGAAACTTTCTTCAGACTGAACCCTGAAGCCTTCAGTTCTGGACAGTTCAGGGGCCTGGATGCTCATGTCCTGCAGTGGGCACACAGGCAGAGATGGGGCTCCCGGAGAAGCCTCCAGAAGTCGTGGACCCAGTGCCTCCTCTCTCGGCAGCATCCATGTCGAGGGCCCCTATGGGGTGTCCGCTCCCTCTCTGAGCCCACCTTTTGTACCACCTCTTTCTCAAGCACCTGTCTGCTCTCTCAGGACAGTTCCTGGGAAGCACAGCGGGTACCCTGGTATCTCAGTGATGGCCAAACTCGTCCTGCCCTGGACATCTGCCAAAGGAAGGAGCAGCTGCTGGTTCACTCCCAGGAAAGGCTGGTGCCGCCGGAGCCTGCTGTCGGCATGAGGTCCCTCCCCACCTCCATGACCTTAGCCATCTCTCTCCCAAATCTTCCTTCAGCTCACAGGCTACAGTTCTGCCCCAGGGGATTCCTGCCTGATCTTTCCAACCAACCACTGGGGATGTCTACCTGGGAGTCCCGGGACTGCCCACAAGAGGCCGGGGCAGCAGGGAATAAAACCCAGACAGTAAGCAGAGAGGATGGCGGAGAGACACAGGCTCCAGGGTGGGCAGACCAGAGAGAGAACGCAGAGGGGGTTGCTTGGGAAATTCAGGCTTCTGGGGGTCAGCTCCCAGTAGACTTGGGAATGGGGAGTGCTGTAGAGCCCAGGACCCCGGAGTGTGGAAACCAGAGACTGAAGATAAATGAAACTGATGGAGAGATCCTGATACCAGGGCAGGGAAATCAGGAGCAGATGAGAGCTGAGGATGGAGCCAAAAACGAGGAACCAAAGAAGAGAGTCCATGAGGAGGCTGGCGCTAAGAATCTTCCTGAAACCCAGGCACATATGGGAGAGAACCCAGAACAGATCACATGTAAATCTGATGTAGAGACGCAAACACCAGAGTGGGGCAACTGGGACAAGAATGGAGTTGAGGGTGCTGTGGAGACCGAGGTATTCAAGGGGAATAACGAGGAAGGGGCCAGAGGAGGGCATGGAGAGCTCCAGGCCCACGGACTGGGGAAGCAGGGCCAGAGTGGAGGTGAGGGTGGAGAGGAGACCCAGATGCCAGAGGAGCGGAAGCAAGACCAGGGTAGAGGCGATGCAGGAGCCAGAGTTCAGGCAGAAGAGGGGAGAAACAAGGACCAGGCTGGAGGTGAGGATGCCGCACAGACCCCGACATCCAGGAGGGAGAACCTGGGAGAAGTCAAACGAGAGGATGATGTAGAGAGCCAGGCCCTGAAGTGGGAGAAACAGGAGCACAACAGAGGTGAGACCGTTCCAGAGAGCCAGACACCAGGAGGGGAGAGGCAGGGGCAGGGTGGAAGTGAGAAAGACGGAAAGATCCAAGTCTCTTGGGGAGACAACCAGAAAGCATCAAAACCTGAAATTCAAGTTGAGTGGGGAAACCAGGCTCTGGGAAGAGGGGAGGGTGCTGGGGAAACGCAGACATGTAAGAGGGCAACGATCAGGGAGATCAGAGTGGAGGACTGGGTGGTGATCCGGGCACCGTGGTGGGGAAACCAGAGACTAGCGGCAAGCAAGATTGACAGAAAGTACAAGATGCCATGCTGTGGGGATCAGAAGCAGACTGAAGGTGAGCCTACAGCAGAAATCCAGGCACTGGAGGAGGAAGAACAGAGAAAGTGTGGATGTGAGGATGGTGCAAGTACTTTGGCACCCCCGGCTAAAATCCAGGGACAGTTAAGATGCGAAACTGCCCTGGAGGTCCATCCAGCAGGGCAGAGGAACAAGGAGTGGTTTGGAGATGAGAACGAAACAGACAGTCGGGTACTACGGAAGAGAGACGTGAGAGGGGTTAGAGGCGAGGATGGTACAGAGACCCAGGAACTTGGTGAAGAAAATCAGCGTCTATTAGGAAGCAAACTGCATGCAAAGATTGATCCACCAAAGTGGAAGAATCAAGACCACGCTGGAGGGACGGATGGTGCCGATCCCCACACATCTGAGGTGGAAAACTGGGGAGAAGCAACACGTAATATTGATGGAGAAACCCACTCAGCAGCGTGGAAGACAGAGGAGCCGGTCGGAGGTGAGAGTGTTGCCGAGAGTCAAATACAAGGGAAGAGAAACCCGAGACAGGCTGGAGGAGAGCATGGCGTGGGGACCTGGGCCCCTGGAGCGGGGAACCAGAGGCAGTTAGGAAATGACACTGCTGGAAAGATCCATTTACCAGGGTGGGAGAACCAGGAGCCGATGGGAGATAAGGATGGAGCAGAAATTCAGGTTCCGGAGAAGGAGAAATGCAGAGACCCTGGAGGTGACCCTCAGAGGCCTGAGAGAGAGAACCAGGGACAGTCTGATGGTGAAAAAGGAGGGAGCCATTCCCCAGGGAGGAGGAGATGGGAGAAGACTGCAGAGAATCAGGCATCAGAGAAGAGAAAGCAGAGAGAGGCTCAGAGGAGGAAGCGGAGACTTCAGAGAAAGAACCAGAGACTGCCAGGAAGTAAAGTTAGTGGGAAGACCTGCTCACCCGTGTGGGAGAGCCCGCGACGTCCTGGAGGTGGGAATGGTGCAAAAACTCAGCCGCAAGGCAGGAGAATCCTGAGAGGGACACCGGGCGCTGGCGGCACAGTGACTCAGGCACCGGGAGGAGACGGCCAGGGGCCATTAGGAAGTGAAATCGACGAGGGGATCCAGACACAAGGACAAGGAAGCCAGAACAAGGGTGGAGATGAGGATGCTGCAGAAACCCAGGGAGCAGGGAGCCAGAGAGGGCACAGGGCGCAGGATGCTGGAGAGCCGCGAGCACCCAGAACAGGAAGCAGGGACCGAGTCAGCGGACAGAGCTCCACGAGGGCCCGGCGCCAAGTCAGCTCTTCTGGGGGTGAGGGGCCCGCGGGCAGGAAGCGCAGCCTGGCACGGACCCCAGACTTCCCCGGCCCCGGCTATGCAGCAGAGGCTGCGGAGGCGTCCACTCCTGCTCCCTGGGCTGAGATGAAGCCTCTCCCCTGCTGGGGTGAGGCCTTCCTGCTGGCCAGTGGGGAGGGAGAGCATCTGGCTAGCCAGGGCTTGGCCCCTGTCAGTGAGCTCAGATCAGCCTCCCAGCACATCCAACCTGAATCCCAGAGACAGCAAAGCGACAAAGGGATGGGTCCAGAGAAGGCCTCCAGCCGGAAGCAGCAGCCGAGGAACCCTGAGTCCCTGGCTGCCCCCTTGGGCGTACGCTCTGGCTGCCCCTGTCTCCTAGGTGACCAACCCCCGCCAGCCGCCACGGCCCTGACCGGTATTCCCACTGCCCTCACCGTCTCACCCAAGTGGCCAGTACTCAAGAAGAGCAAACGGCTGCTCCTGGAGTCCCTCATGAGGCGAAGGATTGCACACCTGCAGTGGGGCCTCCCCAGGCGGATCCTGGAATCCTATTTGCTCTATAACTTCTTTGGATCTTGCTCAGTGCCTCTGGCCGGGGTGAGGCCCTCTGGATTATGTATGGGCCAGGAGTTCCAGGGACAGCAGGAAAGGCGCTGTGAAGCCCAGAGCGCCGTGTTAGCCATTAAGTCTCCAAAGAGGCCCCAGAGGCTTCAGTCCCCAGGAAGCAGCAGCTCGGAACTTCCTGCCCAGGCCACAGCTCTGGAGGAAGACAGACTAAAGCCAGTGGGCATTTCCTTCCCACCTCCAAAGCCCAGGAGATCCAAGCCACCAGGGGGCACCAGAGAACCACAAGTGATCCAGGAAGTGCTTCCTAGGGCCAAACTGCCTGCTTCCAGTAACTTCAAGCCTGCAGCAGAGACCAGGAGCTGGTGTGGCCCAGAAAGGGTCCGAGAGCCTTGCAGTGAGAACAGCAGGTGCAGGAACACAGTCAGGCCAGAGATCTCCCAGGCGGAAGCAAGGGCTCCCTGGAGAGGGAGGACCTTGTCTTTTGGGGCAGGCCACGGTCAGCGCAGGAAGGAGCACGTATCCTGGGGAGCCTGTAAGCCCTCGAGACTCAGATATCAGCAGCTCGCACCCTGGAGAAGAGGAAGCCTGGATTCTGTGGAGGGCAGAGGGGCTGGGCAGAAGCCTGCTTCCTCTTCCACAAACAGCCCCAGCTTCAAAGGCAGTCTCCACGCCGCTGCAGCCAGGCTGAGCGTGACCATCCTGAGCAAGATGTCCTGGTCCCCACGGCTGGCCAAGCCCCAGCCCTCGGCCCCCGGCCTCAGCCCCAAGGACCCCGAGTCTGAGTCTGCCCTGCTTCCCAAAGCGGATGACCCTCACGCAGGGGAGGACAGCGTCCGAGTCCGCACTGCTGCTGCGGGGGACCTCCAGCCGCCAGGTCCCCGCGAGACAGAAAGCCCCTGGGGTCAGGGGGCGCCTGGGCACCCAAACAGGACCTCATGGAATCCACTGGCCCCCCACAAGTTAGCTTTTACAAGGCACTGGAGAGATTTTCTCCTCCAGTGTGGCTTGAAAAAGTAGGCCGCAGGCCCAGAGTCCACAGGACACATCAGAGAAGCAGGACAGTGGCCTGTTGACCCCGCGAGCCTCTAATAAAGTTGGTTATCTGGGCCCCGTGGAGTCCTGATTTCTCTGGCATATGTTTCCTGGGGATTGCTTGTGGGGCTTGGGATACATTGTGCAGAAGCCACTTCTACTCCAGAGAATGTGGGTTAGCTCAATGCCACCTGCTGAACACTTCCCCTCCCCAGATTCTCACAGAGGTTCACTAAGGCTTCTGTCATGGTGCTGTCCTGCCCATGTCCCAGGCTGATCCTGGTTGAGGTAAGACACTCAAGCAGTCTCTCAGCTGACTGGAGGTAGGGGCAGTGCTCTTTATGGGACACTATTCAGGTGCTTTTGGTTACAAGGAAGGTAGCAGATCACTGGGATCTATGCTCCTGAGGTTCTGCTGCCTAGAAAAGACCTAAAGGTGGGGCCTGCGCTGTGGCGCAGCGGGTTAACACCCTGGCCTGAAGCGCCGGCATCCCATATGGGCACTGGTTCTAGTCCCAGCAGCTCCTCTTCCGATCCAGCTCTCTGTTATGGCCTGGGAAAGTAGTAGAAGATGGCCCAAGTCCTTGGGCCCCTGCACTCACATGGGAGACCTGGAAGAAGCTCCTGGCTCCTGGCTTCAGATCAATGCAGCTCCAGCTATTGAGGCCAGCTGGGCAGTAAACCAGCAGATGGAAGTCCTCTCTCTGTCCCTACCTGTCTGTGTAACTCTGACTTTCAAATAAATAAATGAATCTTAAAAAAAAGAAAGAAAAGAAAAATGCCCTACACTGGATTTAAAAAAATAAGAAAAGACCTAAAGGAAGAACTATTACCACCTCTCAATTCTCAAGTATTGCCAACCATAATTATTTGTTGTTTTTTCTTGGCCCATCATGGGACATTCTAGAGCTAACTGTTTTACTCATGGCCCTATCTTCAAATACAGTCTTCAACAGAGGTAGACATATCTTTTTGAGGAGCACCATTACCTGGGGGTAATTTAGTCTGTAGCAACAGATAATCAATCAACACATATGTAATCTATTGTAATAGTTTTCTTGTCTGTCTGGATTTGTGTCTCTTGAGAGCAAGCATTCTACTCTCTCTTTTGCTTACTTTTGAATCCCCTAGCTCCTAGCAGTCTCTGGCTCGATTTTTTTTTTTTTTTTTTTTGACAGGCAGAGTGGACAGAGAGAGAGAAAGGTCTTCCTTTGCGTTTGGTTCACCCTCCAATGGCCGCCGCGGCTGGCGCGTTGCTGCCGGTGCACCGCGCTGATCCGATGGCAGGAGCCAGGTGCTTCTGGTCTCCCATGGGGTGCAGGGCCCAAGCACTTGGGCCATCCTCCACTGTACTCCCTGGCCACAGCAGAGAGCTGGCCTGGAAGAGGGGCAACCAGGACAGAATCCGGCGCCCTGACCAGGATTAGAACCCGGTGTGCCAGTGCCGCAAGGCGGAGGATTAGCCTAGTGAGCCGCGGCACAGGCCCGAATTTTTTTTTTTTTTTTTTTTGCCAAACAGAATATTACTTTTTTGAATTTAAAAAGAAAATAATAGTATTTAATATGGAAGCTAAGCATGCCATCTTTCTCTGAAAAAAGTTTACAAGTCTTTGTACATTTTTGTTGTAAAAATGTATAGAATATCAGAACTTAAGTTTTCTTTCACTGAACAGAATTACTGCTGTAATGTACTTAAGATGTTAAATGTTTTGTTTTTATGCATACCCATATATATATATATATATATAAATCTGCATCTTTAGCATTTTAAGCAAACACTTTTCCATGTTAATACCTCCTTTTCTCAAATATACGAAACTTCTGTTTTCTAAACTTTTTTTTTTTTTTTTTTGACAGGCAGAGTGGACAGTGAGAGAGAGAGACAGAGAGAAAGGTCTTCCTTTACCGTTGGTTCACCCTCCAATGGCCGCTGTGGCCGGCGCACCACGCTGATCCGTTGGCAGGAGCCAGGTGCTTCTGGTCTCCCATGGGGTGCAGGGCCCAAGCACTTGGGCCATCCTCCACTGCGCTCCCTGGCCACAGCAGAGAGCTGGCCTGGAAGAGGGGCAACCGGGACAGAATCCGGCGCCCCAGCCGGGACTAGAACCCGGTGTGCTGGCGCCGCAGGCAGAGGATTAGCCTAGTGAGCCGCGTTGCCGGCCTGTTTTCTACACTTCTGCCATGGCGCGCATTTTCCACTTACAGCAACACCTCTTGAACTGACCTCCTTCAACATGCTTCAGTCATATCGGTGCTAAACAAATCCTGATGGCTGATGGGTCGTTATTAATACAGGTTATGGGATTTCTTTCTTCAGCATTTCTTGTGCGCTCACAAAACCCAGGTGCTATCACCCCCTGCCCCAAGGTGACTTAAAGGGAGTGTCTTAGGTTCTCTTGAGAGAAGGGAGTTCTGTAAGTTTAAAACAACAAGAGCTGTTCGATAAAAAACCCCAGAGGCTGATTATTTATTTTAAAAAGTAGTGGCGGGGGGGGCTGGGTTGTGAAGCGGTGGGTAGAGCGCTGCCTGCGGCGCCGGCGTCCCGTGTGGGCGCTGGTTTGAGTCCCGGCCGCTCCACTTCCGATGCAGCGCCCTGCTAACGGGCCTGGGAGAGCAGCGAGGGTGGCCCAGGTGCTTGGGCTTCTGCACCCACCGGGAGGCTCGGATGAAGCTCCTGGCTCCCGCCTGGCCCGGCCCAGCCCAGCCACTGTGGTCACTTGGGGAGTGCACCAGCGGATGGGAGATCTCTCTCTCTCTCATTTTCTCTCTCTCTCTTTCTCTCTCTCTCCCCCCAACACTTTCAAATAAATCTTACAAAAACCAACCCCCAAACAGTACTAGAAATACAGCGCTTACTTTTTTTTCCCCTTTTCATGGCTACTGACTGCTACCTGATAAGTGCTTTTCAACTCAGTCCTGCGGGCGTCGACCCCGGCTGCCCTGCGCCGAGCTGGGCGCGCTGCGGCCTCGAGGCCACCCCTCCCCCCACGGGCCCGCAGGCCTCTCGGTCGGCGCAGGCGCATTGCGCGTCCGCGCCGATGGCCCTCAGGTGCGCTTGCGCACAAACTGCGCGGGAAAAGGTGCGGCCGCCTCGGAGGGCGCGCGCGGAGATGGCTGCGAGGGCCCCGGCGGCGGCGGCGGCGGGCCCTCCCGGGCTCGGGAGGGACGAAGCGGCGGTGCTGCTCCTCGACAAGGCCCATTACCGGCACGACCCGCGCTGGCTGCTGCCCGTGTCCCCACGCCTCTGCCTGGCCTGCGCGCTGGAGCTGCTGCCGGAGCCCGGCGTGTCGGTGCGGGCGGAACCCGTCCCTGAGGACGCGGGCTGGGGCTGCCCCTCGCCAGGCCCCTCTCTGCAGCCAGGCTCAGCCTCCCCAGGCTCCGCGAGCCCCTGGCCGCGGTTCACCGCCTCCCTAAACAGGCCCCTGGCGGCCTTTGCTGACCCACCCGAGCCCTGGCCCACTGCGCAACAAGCCCAGAGGCGCCGGGCCCTTCCTCAAGTGAGCCCAGCGCGGGCTCTGCGCCGGGGGTGGGTCGGGTGCCCCTTGCCTGGCCCTCGCTCCCCGCCTGGCCTTTCTCCAGGGTTCGGCCTTAGCCCGGCCTCCTCCCAGGCTGGTCGCCCTCAGCCTGTGCCAGGCGCTCTGGCGGTGCGGGGGGACCTTTCCAACAGGCAGAGCCGGCCCCAACTGGGCGGCCGTTCCCTCCGTGCCTGCCCGCCTCTGCGCAGAACCCAGACTCCTCTGGCGTCCGTGGGGGTGCCCAAGAAGACTGGGGGGGGGTTCTGTCAGACGTGTTGGGAGGGGAGTTCCTGTCTTGGTTGAGGGGGATGGGCTCAGTTCTCTCTTTTCGGTATCAGGATGTCTTTCCACTATTTTTTTTTTTTGACAGGTAGAGTTACAGACAGTGAGAGACAGAAAGGTCTTCCTTCTGTTGGTTCACCCCTCAGATGGCCGCCACGGCCGGCTGGTGCAGGTGCTTCTCCTGGTCTCCCATGGGGTGCAGGGCCCAAGGACTTGGGCCATCCTCCACTGCACTCCCTGGCCACAGCAGAGAGCTGGCCTGGAAGAGGGGCAACCGGGACAGAATCTGGCGCCCATATGGGATGCCGGTGCCACAGGTGGAGGATTAACCAAGTGAGCCACGGCGCCGGCTCCACTTTTTTTTTTTTTTTTTTTTTTAAGATTTATTTATTTATTTGAAAGAGTTACAGAGAGAGAGGAGAGGCAGAGAGTGAGTGAGGTCTTCCATCCACTGGTTCACTCCCTAATTGGCTGCAGCGGCCGGAGTTGCGCCGATCTGAAGCCAGGTGCCAGGAGCTACTTCCGGTCTCCTACACGGGTGCAGGGACCCAAGGACTTGAGCCATCCTCCACTGCTTTCCCAGGCCGTAGCAGAGAGCTGGACAGGAAGTGGAGCAGCTGGGACTCAAACCGGTGCCCATATGGGATGCCGGTGCTGCAGGCAGTAGCCTTACCCGCTACGCCACAGTGCTGGCCCTTCCACTTTTAAATGTGGTTGAAGAGCCCGAAGAGCTTTTGTTTGTGTGTGTTACGCCTAAGAGAAATACTGGATTAGAAGTAAAAGCAGGGGCGGCCTTGTGGCACAGTGGGTTAAGCCACTGTCTGCAGCACCAGCATTTCATACCAGCACTGGCTGGAGTCCCTGTGGCTCCACTCCTGATCCAGCTTCCTGCTAATGTACCTGGGAAGGCAGCAGAGGATGGCCCATGGGCCCCTGCACCCACATGGGAGACCTGAAAGAAACTCCTGGCTTCAGCCTGGCCTAACCTTGATCCTTGCAGTCATTTGGGGAGTGAACCAGCAGATGGAGGATGTCTCTTCTCTCTGTCTCTTCCTCTCTTGCTGTAACTCTAAAAAAAAAATGAATCTTAAAAACAGCAAAATTTAAGAATATTTATTTAAAAGTAATGGTAAATCCATTATATATTAGCATCATTTTTTGGTGTACAATTTACAATTTTAACTTTTTAAAAACATTTGTTTATTTGAAAGATAGAATAACAGAGAGAAATGGAGAGAAATCAATCTTCTATCTGCTGGTTCATTCCCTGAATGACTGCCACACCCTGGACTGGGCCAGGCCAAAGCCAGGAACCTGAAACTCCATCCTGGTCTCTCACATAGATGGCAGGGGCCCAAGCCTTCTTTACTGCTTTCTCAGGCATGTTAGCAGGAAGCTGGATCTGAAACAGAGTAGCTGGGACTTGATCGTGTGCTCTGATGTGGAGGCAGCAGTTTAACCCTCTGCTCCAACGTGCTGGCCTCTATTTTAACCCTTTTTAAGCGAACAGATTTATGCATAAAGGCAGACATAACCATATTTTCCAAAAGCGAAATGAGATAGGAAAGGTGTTGTTTAGCTTTACATTTTCACAAGTTGCTTCAGTGGCTTAAAAACAAAGAAGACAATCAGATTCTCATCTATTTCTGCATTCAGTCTGTTGCATCATCACATGTCAGGTGGTCTGAAACACTCCACTGTACACTTGTGAGAGAATATAAGGAAGACCAAGAACACTTTAAAACTATATGAAAATAATTTTCACTTCGTGTACCCTCTGAAAAGCTTTTGGGTATTCTGAGGGGAGACCAGTGAGAACCACTGAACTACTTCATAAGTTAGTGAGATTTCACCGAGGCTGGAGGTTCCGTGGCTGCTGTTACGACAATGAGTCAAATACGAATAAGTGCAGTAGGAAAGCAGATAATAGAACACACGTTACTGGGAATTTGGAAGGATGGACTTGTTTGTGGTCAAGTGCTGTGTAGGGTAAGGAGGGAAATTAGGGAAAGTTTCCAGATAAAGCATTTAATTAGGCCTAAGAAGATGAACCAGAGGAGGTGGGAGGCTTATCCCAAGAGGTGTTAGAAGGATGAGTGGAGGTAATCAGTGTTTGCAGAGAAACAAGAAAATGAGGTGGGAGAACCAGATTGTGATCAGTGTCTTGAATTTGAATCCATGGCTGGTACAGCGGCTCACTAGGCTAATCCTCCGCCTGCGGCGCCGGCACTCTGGGTTCTAGTCCCAGTTGCTCTTCTTCCAGTCCAGCTCTCTGCTGTGGCCCAGGAAGGCAGTGGAGGATGGCCCAAGTGCTTGGGCTCTGCACCCACGTGGGAGACCAGGAGGAAACACCTGGCTCCTGGCTTCGGATCGGTGCAGCACGCCAGTTGTAGCGGCTATTTGGGGGGTGAACCAACGGTAAAGGAAGACCTTTCTCTCTCTCTCTCTCTAACAACAACAACAACAACAAAAAACAACAAAGCTTGAATCCAAGTTAAGGAGCCTGAATTTTATCAGCTGAAGGAGAGTTGCTGAGATTTTTTGAGAAGCTCATTTAGATTATTAGCTTAATCTATGATGTAGGATGAATTGGTAAAGGAATTAACGTGACATTTAAAATGCCACATGTTAGAGACAATAAGAAATGCAACTTCACCTTTTATTAAATGTACTTTTTTTTTTTTTTTGACAGGCAGAGTGGACAGTGAGAGAGAGAGAGAGACAGAGAGAAAGGTCTTCCTTTGCCGTTGGTTCACCCTCCAATGGCCGGCGCGGCCGGCGCGCTGTGGCTGGCGCACCGCGCTGATCCGATGGCAGGAGCCAGGAGCCAGGTGCTTTTCCTGGTCTCCCATGGAGTGCAGGGCCCAAGCACCTGGGCCATCCTCCACTGCGCTCCCGGGCCACAGCAGAGAGCTGGCCTGGAAGAGGGGCAACCGGGACAGAATCCGGCACCCCAGCCGGGACTAGAACCCGGTGTGCCGGCGCCGCTAGGCAGAGGATTAGCCTAGTGAGCTGTGGCGCCGGCCAAATGTACTTTTTTTTTAAAAAAAAAAAAAAAAAGATTTATTTATGTATTTGAAATAGTTACACAGAGAAGTTAACTCCCCAACTGGTTAACTCCTCAACTGGCCACAACGGCCAGAGTTGCACCGATACGAAGCCAGAAGCTTCTTCTGGGTCTCCCACATGGGTGCAGGGGCCCAAGGCTTTGGGCCGTCTTCCACTGCTATCCCAGGCCATAGCTGGGAGCTGGATTGGAAGAGGAGCAGCCGGGACTAGAACTGGCGCCCATATGGGATGCTGTCACTGCAGGTGATGGCTTTACCTGCTACACCACAGCGCCAGCCCCTAAATGTACTTTTTAAAAAATATATTTATTTATTTTATTTGAAAGACAGTTGCAGAGAAAAAGGAAGAGGGAGAGAGGTCTTCCGTCCACTGGTTCACTCCCCAAATGGCTGCAATGGCCGGGCGTGGGCCAGACTGAAGCCAGGAGCTTCTTTTGGGTCTCCTATGTGGGTGGGTGCAGGCTCCTCAGCACTTGGGCCATCCTCCACTGCTTTAGTAGGGAGCTGGATCGGAAGTGGAGCAGCTGGGACTCGAACTGACACCCATATGGGCATTTACCTGTTATGTGACAGCGCCAGCCCCGAATGTACTTTTCTTAACCTCAGCTATCATCAACTGAAGGAGTGATATAGTCAGTTGTGCCTGTGTTCGTGTCCTGTTGGTGCTCAGTTCATTTTTGACCTAACTTTCATCAGTGTATTGAGTACTTTGCAGTTAGTACAGTTTCCTGTTCAGGGAGGTGTCTTGAGGGTGAGGATTTATGCTACATTGAGTGGAAAGTAGGTCACCTACTTCTGGCTCATGAAGGGTTGCTAGCATCATTCCCCAGGCTGTGGAAATGGGAAGAGGACTGAGCTCAGGCAAGGCCTGGCTGAAGACTTGGATATGCACAATCCTGGGTATCAACCCATGGGCTCCCTTGTGTAGATCATGTTCTTTCCCATACTCCCTTAGGTAGAGTGGCCCTTACTGCAGTTTGGATGATCTCTTTAGTCCCATCTTACTATAGTATATATTACATATAGTATAAATATAGTAATCATATTTGGAAATTACAGTTGTTGGGTTCAGAATGCCTGAGACTTGTTTGGTATTGAATCTTTTTCTTCATTTGCTCCAAGTTGGTGCGCAAGAAGCACGTGGTGTCCTGCTTCCGCGATGCCCTCGTGAGGCATACCTCCCTGGTCACACAGCTGGTGGCTCAGGACCAGAGAGTCTGCATCCACTTCATACAGATACTTTTTGGTGAGCTTGAAAACTTTGGCATGAGTTTTGCATGTATAGCATGGATATTTGCTTGGGGGGTGGTCTTGAATAAATGGTTTTGGAAAGATTATTTCAACTTTTTGACTTGTAAATTATTTTGTCATAATGATGCAGAAATGGTTCCCTTTCTAAGATAACATGACACATTTTATGGTAACAAGCTTTCCCAGATCTAAGAAGTCAGTAAAAGTGTGACAGTGAGTATGGGAAGTGTAAGGTCCTTTAAAGAGTCCAATATATATTGTCTTCTAAGTGGGTCAGAAGTCCTGGAATGTAGTTTGCTGATTTGGGTGTGACCTTGATTGTTATTTCCCCTCTCCTGTGCCTTAGTTTCTTCATGTGTAAAGCAAGGTAGATTAAATTTTATCTGAAGTTTCTTTTTTTAATGTGATTATAGGCCGGCGCTGCGGCTCACTAGGCTAATCCTCCGCCTAGCGGCGCCGGCACACCGGGTTCTAGTCCCGGTCGGGGCGCCGGATTCTGTCCCGGTTGCCCCTCTTCCAGGCCAGCTCTCTGCTGTGGCCCGGGAGTGCAGTGGAGGATGGCCCAGGTGCTTGGGCCCTGCACCCCATGGGAGACCAGGAAAAGCACCTGGCTCCTGGCTCCTGCCATCGGATCAGCGCGGTGCGCCGGTCGCATCGCGCTGGCCGCGGCGGCCATTGGAGGGTGAACCAACGGCAAAGGAAGACCTTTCTCTCTGTCTCTCTCTCTCTCTCACTGTCCACTCTGCCTGTCAAAAAAAAAAAAAATAATGTGATTATAATGTCCAGTGGAATGAGTTCTTTTAGGGAAAAGGGCAGTTAATTTGTATTGAGTGCTTTTCTGTGCCAGAAGAATTTCAGGCTTTTAACTGCCAAGACCTGTAAGGGAGATAGGATGATTCCCCAAGGCTAAGGGAGGTCGTAGCTAACAAGTGCAAAGTTGGAATTTTTATTTTTATTTTTATTTTTTGACAGAGTGGACAGTGAGAGAGAGAGAGACAGAGAGAAAGGTCTTCTTTTTGCCGTTGGTTCACCCTCCAATGGCCGCTATGGCTGGCATGCTGCGGCCTGCGCACCGCACTGATCCGAAGGCAGGAGCCAGGTGCTTCTCCTGGTCTCCCATGGGGTGCAGGGCCCAAGCACTTGGGCCATCCTCCGCTGCACTCCCTGGCCACAGCAGAGAGCTGGCCTGTAAGAGGGGCAACCGGGACAGAATCCGGCGCCCCGACCGGAACTAGAACCCGGTATGCCGGCGCCGCTAGGTGGAGGATTAGCCTATTGAGCCACGGCGCTGGCCCCAAAGTTGGAATTTTACCTCAGGTCCGTCACAGACTCCAGAGCACAGTTTGTCTGCTGTGCCACATTGACAGTTCTTATATTTTATTTATTTGAAAGGGAGAGAGAGAGCGAGAGCTAGAGAGCCAGCCAGCTGCTGCTTGTGATGCCAGCATCCCATGTGGATGCCTATTCAAGTCCCAACTGCTTTACTTCTCATCCAGCTCCTTGCTAATATGCCTGGGAAAGCAGAGGAAGATGGCCCAAGTACTTGGGCTCCTGCACTCACATGGGAGACCCAGATGAAACTCCTGGCTTCTAGCTTCTGCCTGGCCCAGCTCTGGCCGTTGTGGCCATTTGGAGAGTGAGCCAGTGGATGGAAGACTCTCTCTCTCTCTTGCTCTCTCGTTCTCTCGCTCTCTCGCTCTCTTGCTCTCTTGCTCTCTCTCTATCTCATCTTTCTATAATTCTGCCACTCAAATAAATACATAAAATTTTTTACAAATATATTAATTTATTTATTTGAAAGGCAGAGTTACAGAGTGGCAGAAGTAGAGAGAGAGAGAGAGAGGTCTTCCATCTGCTGGTTCACTCCCCAACTGGCTGCAATGGCTGGAGCTGTGCCAATCCAAAGCCAGGGGCTAGGAGCTTCCTCCAGGTCTTCTACGTAGGTGCAGGGGCCCAAGGATTTGGACCATCTTCCACTGTTTTCCCAGGCCATAGCAGAAAGCTGGATGGGAAGTGGAGCAGCTGGGACTCAAACTGGTGCCCATATGGGATGCCGGCACTGCAGTCGGCGGCTTTATCCACTGTGCCACAGTGCTGGCCCCATAAATAAAAATTTTTTAAAAAATGCCTTAAAAAAAGACCTCTTCTATCTACTGGCTCATTCCCCAAATGCCCACAATAGTAGGCTCTGGTTCAGGCCAAAGCTAAGAGTCAGGAATTCATTCTGCATATGTGGCAGGGACCCAAGTCCTAGAGCCGTCACTTGCTAGCGCATTTGCAGGAGGCTGGTCTAGGAATTGGAGCCATGATTCTACCCCAGGTATGCCAATGTCTGATGCAGGCATCTCAAGCAGTCTGTTAACCACTGCACCAACCGCTTGCCCCGCCTTGATCTTTGTGTGGGGAGCAACCCGGACTAGACTAAGTTGCTGGAATTAAGACTTGTTCTATGCATCTGCTCTCCCACAATATGGCGCTGGGAGAGGAGTAAACAGCTTCTACCCAGCTGCCTCCAGTTCAACCAATAAACAGCAGGACTTGCTCCTGATTGGAGGAGAGCAGCGTGCTCGGCGTGTGGGCAGCCGAGTTGGGATTGGCAGAGGAGGACTATAAAGGAGGAGAGAGACGGCATGCACCAGGAACATCTAAGAGGAACATCTAAGGGGAACACCTGTGCAGCCCCCGAGAGAGCCGGCCGGCGGTGTGCCGCTCCCCCGCGGAAGTGGGGAATGTGGCAGGGGGAACCGCCCTTCCATGGAGGTGGAAGGGTCGGTAGCCAACCCGGGAAGAACCAGCAGCAAACCCGGGGAGGGCCGAGCAGACAAAAGAACAGCGCAGGGTCCTGTGTCGTTCCTCTATGAAGAGGGGGAGTGACACTTTGTAAAGGAAAGGTGCGTCATTGAGAATCTAGGTGTTTGGTGCTAAGGGTAGAATTAGCTGAGAGATTGCTTAAAGATTCTATTATTATTGGGATTCATGATGTGCCATTGTGGATTTGTTTCTCTTTAAAGAAAACTGTTAGCTTTTCTTACTTCCCTCTGCTCCAAGGGCTGTTACGCAATGTGGAAGATGGGAGTGCAATAGACCTCTGTATTGAAGGTAAGGTGAAACCATTTCTTTCTTTCTTTCTTTCTTTTTTTTTTTTTTTTTTTTTGACAGGCAGAGTGGACAGTGAGAGAGAGAGAGAGAGAGACAGAGAGAAAGGTCTTCCTTTTGCCGTTGGTTCACCCTCCAATGGCCGCCGCGGCCGGCGCACCGCGCTGATCCGATGGCAGGAGCCAGGAGCCAGGTGCTTCTCCTGGTCTCCCATGGGGTGCAGGGCCCAAGCACCTGGGCCATCCTCCACTGCACTCCCGGGCCACAGCAGAGAGCTGGCCTGGAAGAGGGGCAACCGGGACAGAATCCGGCGCCCCGACCGGGACTAGAACCCAGTGTGCCGGTGCCGCTAGGTGGAGGATTAGCCTAGTGAGCCGCGGCGCCGGCCTGGTGAAACCATTGAACTTAGCATTTGAAGCTGGGACTATTAGCCTGACTTGAAGACTTTGGTGAATTTGTCCATTTAGAGACTGGCAAGGAAAACTCAGTTGTCAATCATTAATTGTACATTTCTTCCTTGGGTCCTACTCTGTGCTAGGTAATGCATCAGACACTAGAGATACATAGATGGGTGAGATGTGGTCTCTGCCCTCTAAGAGCTTACAAGCTAGAAGAAATATTGGCAAATAACTAGAGTTGATGACGATTTGTAAAAAAAAAAAAGAAAGTTGATAACTTTTGTAAAAAATTACATTTCATATTGGCTCACTGAAAGGTTTCTGCATGTAAGTGGTAGTAAAAGCTGTGGAAGTGCGTGAGTTTACAAGCAAAAGGCTTGTAGAGAAAGAAGTCAAGGGCTCTGGGATGGGAGGATTCCAAAAGGGAGTGTGTGATTTGTACCAGTTTAGATCCACTCAGGAAATTTAAAACAACACAAAAAACCACTATCCCTGTTATGTGGACAGAAAAAAAAAAAAAACTTTACAGAATTAGTAGTAGGAAACTCAAAAGGCAAAAAGAGAACAACCATGTTTTCATGGGGGTAGAAATTATAGAAAGCAGCACCTATCCCTGAGACTATCCCTAGGGGGAAAAAAAACCCAAGAGATTGGAATTGTTAAAATGTAGAAGTTTTGGTTGGCGCCGTGGCTCAATAGGTTAATTCTCCACCTGCGGCACCAGCATACCGGGTTCTAGTCCCGGTCGGGGCGCTGGATTCTGTCCCGGTTGCTCCTCTTCCAGTCCAGCTCTCTGCTGTGGCCCAGGAGTACAGTGGAGGATGGCCCAAGTCCTTGGGCCCTGCACCCCTTGGGAGACCAGGAAAAGCACCTGGCTCCTGCCATCGGATCAGCGTGGTGCGCCGGCTGCAGCGTGCTGGCCGTAGTGGCCACTGGGGAGTGAACCAACGGTAAAAGGAAGACCTTTCTCTCTGTCTCTCTCTCTCTCTCACTGTCCACTCTGCCTGTCAAAAAAAAAAAAAAAAGTAGAAGTTTTTTTTTTTTTAAGATTTATTTATTTTGATTTGAAAGGCAGAGTTACAGAGAGGCAAAGGCTAGCGGTAGTTGGGGGAGGTCTTCAATTCACTGGCAGATGGCCTCAATGAAGCCAGGAGCCAGGAGCTTCTTCCAGGTCTCCCACGTGGGTGCAGGGGCCCAAGGACTTGGACCATCTTCTACTGCTTTCCCAGGCCATAGCAGAGAGCTGGATCGGAAGAGGAGCAGCCAGGACTCCTGAATCACTGGTTCTAGACATAGTTCATAGGAGTGGCCTGTGAAGATCATTTAGGCCTCTATACCCAAAAGGGAGACCCAGATGAAGCTCCTGGCTCTGGCTTCAGCCTTGCTTTGCTCCAGCTGTTGCAGCCATTTGGGGAGTGAACCAGTGGATGGAAGATATCTCTCTCTCTGTAACTGCCAAAAAAAAAAAAAACAAAAAAAAACAAAAAAACACAAAAAACAAAACAAAACAAAAACAAAACAAAACAAAAACAAAACAAAACAAAACAAAAAACCCAACATTTTAAAGGGCATTCACATGGTCTGCAAATATCTTAACACTTTGTGTCCATTTTGAAAGGTCTGCTTCTGTAGGCCTCATTATCACTAATCTTTACATTTTGCCTTTCCCAAGTCCGTGACCATCCAAACAGCAGCTTCCCATAAATCAGTGTGCTCTGTATGCACTTCGCAGTATTTCTTAGGTCTCCATCCAGATGATATTGACAAACAAATGCACCACTTGAATTTCTAACCATATCAGAAGGGCGCGTTCCCTTTATAATTTCCAAGCTCATAGTTGCCCCAGGGTAGGGCTGAAATGCTGTAGCCATCCACTTCTTGGTGGTGGTAACATTGCTTGCAGAACCATCATCAGATCCCAAGAATGTCACTGAGGTGTCAGGCGCTAGGGAGACTGCAAGTGGGGAAGGAAAGGCCTTGTTTCTTCTTCTTCTTCTTCTTTTAAGATTTATTTATATGAAAGACTTAGAGGAACAAAGAGAGAGATCTTCCATTCACTGGTTGACTCCTCAGATGGCTGCAATGGCTGAGACTTGGCTAGGGCAAAGCCAGGAGTCAGGAGCTTCCTCCCAGTCTCCAGCGTGGTTGGAGGGGCCCAAGCACTTGGGCCATCTGCTGCTTTTGCAGGCACATTAGCAGGGAGTTGGATGGGAAGTGGAGCAGCTGTGTGTGCAACCAGGAACTCCAGCATTATAGGTGGCAGCTTAACCTGCTATGCACAGTGCCAGCCCCAGGGCCTTACTTCGTCCTCACTGCTCCTGTTTGCTGCTTGCCTGCTTCCTGTTTCTGAGTGCCATGTGAAGATGCTTCTTCACCCTGTCTCTGACAGAACCTTCCCCTAGCAGCCCCTGAATCTGTTTGCAGCTTTCCAGCCATGTAGACCCAGCCTCATCTTCAAAGATACAGCAGAAACACCACAGCTGATGATGCGGAAGGGTAGCTTGGAGCCGAGAAATACTTTCCTAATAATTGGCATAGGAACTGACTCTTAATTCCTTCTTCTAGTACATAAAGGCTCAAACTTGGATAGGAGAAAAAGGATAAAGTAGTAGTTTTCAATGTTATAATAGACTCACCTGGGAAACTTTAGAAATATAATAAAATTTTATATTTAGAATATTATTTTAAAATATTACGTATAATATACAATGAATGTATAAGTATGTAATAAATTATATAAATATAGTGATATTTATATATACTTATATATGTATTTCTATTTTTTCACATCAAAAAATAAAAAGATACTTGAGATCTTCCCCTAGAGATTCTGCTTTAGTTGATCTATGGTGGGCCTGGGCATTATTATTATTATTATTTTTTTAAGCTTTCCTTGTGATCCTAACATGCAGCCTGAGTTGAGAACCACTGAAATAAAACATGAAGCCAGAAATCCTGTCGTTTTAATGTGCACGTAGACTTTATTGGGAGAAGCGGAAAAGTCTCCCACTGACTGAGTAGGGCTATGAGCTGTGAATTCTGGGCTGGGACGTCCTCAGTTAGTAATACTGTCATGTCTGTTCAGTCCTTATCCAGCTGACAACGCAGCTGAAGCTGGAGCAGACCGTCCATTGCCTGCTGAATGAGTGCCATAAAGAGGTCAGTAAACAGCTCTGGGTTCTTGAGGTTCCTTAGAACCTTGGAGGATTCTGTCAGAGCTGGTCCGACTATTCTTTGGATAGACGGGAACCCGGAAGTCATAGAGAAGAAAGGACTGCCTGAGGCCACTGAGTTGGTGGCCAAGCAGAGCTAGGGCCTGGAGCTCTGATCCTGCTATCGACTCTGCAGTGTCCTTCCTTCCCCTCGTTCAGTTCCCCAAAGGCTACTTCCACGTGACAGCACAGCCATCCCTGTGGCTCACTCTGTACCTTCCCAAACGCAGTGCAGATTGTCTTGATGAATTTATCAAGGGCCTGGGTCGGTGTTGTAGCTTGGATCTGAACTGTACATTGCTGTGTCCTGAAGGCGTTTGCTCTCATAAGCACCTCAGGTGAGCGTGGAGTTGGTGTGCCGAAGCTGCTTTCTTCACTGTAGTCAGAGACGCACAGCAGGTTTTGGGTTGTGCTTAACATCGAGGAATAATATCAGAATCACTGTTTACTTTGCAGAAGAAAGACAAACATGCATCTCAATACCCTTAAGAGCAAATTTTAAAAAATATTTTATTTTATTTACTTGAAAGAGCTACAGAGAGAGGTAGATACACGAGAGAGAGAGAGAGAGAGAGAGGTAGATACACCAGAGAGAGAGAGAGAGGGGTCTTCCATTCTTTGGTTCACTCCCCAAATGACCACAACTGCCAGAGCTGAGCTGATCTGAAGCCAGGAGCCCGGAGCTTCCTCCAGGTCTCCCATGTGGGTACAGGGGCCCAAGGACTTAGGCCATCCTCTACTGCTTTCCCAGGCCACAGCAGAGAGCTGGGTCAGAAGTGGCTCACAGTCCTTTTGGGTTTATTCCTCTTTTGGAAGCCCCCTTCCACAACGCTCTGGCTGGAGGCCTTTGACTCTAATAAATAATTTTAAATCTAAAAAAAGTGGTACAGCCAGGACTTGAACCAGCACTCATATGGGATGCTAGCTCTGCAGGCTGGGGCTTTAATCCGCTGTGCCACAGCGCTGGCCCCAAGAACGATATTTATTTAATTATAAATTATATTGAAATGATCATATCATTGTAATTATTTCGCATGTGATTCATCTATCAGGTTGAATTTGTAATTATAGATCAGTATTTATGCTGCTGCTGCTAAGCATTTATGAAGCACGTTCTATATGCTTGCTGCTGTGTTATGTGCTTTATACGTAGTATTTAGTCCCACCAGCAACCCTGTGAGGTGGGTGGTATTATTACTATTTCCCACCAGAGGAGTTAAGAGTCTTGCCCGATGTGGTACAGCTAGTTGGTAGAAAAGGTGAAACGTACACCATTGATTTTCCCTGTAAAGCATCAGGCACAGTGCCTGGCATTTAGAGTTCAATAGTAGTAGCTGTGATAATAGTAATAGAGATTTGGTGCTGAGCCAAAAACTGGCTCTGACACATACCTGTTTTTACCTTCTAGTTTCTGATTCTCTAGGAGGCAAGATGTGCTAATTTCAATTCAGTTTAAGTAACATGTACTGAGCTATTGACTCAGTCCCTTTCCTCCTGGGAGTTCCCAGTCAAATGGGGGAATTGGACAGTTAGCTAAGGAAGATGATTGCCAGGCTAGGCATTTGGCACAGGAGTTAAGACACTGCTTGGGATACCACATCCCACATTGGAGAGCCTGGGTTTGAGTCCCAGCTCTGCTCTTGCATCTGATTTTTTTACCAGTCCGTACCCTTGGGGACAGCAGGTGATGATGTAAGTACCTGGGTTCCTGCCACCCATATGGGAGACTCAGATTGAGTTCATGGCTCCTGGCTTCAGCCTGGCCTACCCCTGGCAGTTGTGGGGATTTGTGGAGTGGAGCAGTGGATGGGCGATCTCTCTCTCTATCTTTGCTTTTCAAGTAAGTAAAAAGCTGATTGTGGTAAGAGACACGCACAGTACAGGCATCTGTATGGCTACGGCAGAATCAGTTTTGGTGGGAAATCCATCCTGATCCTGATAAGAATGTATTCACTGTTGTAGCTGTGTAGCATGCCCTCCATGCGAGGCAGCCTGGTCACCTTCTCCCTCCTTGGCAAGTTGGTGGATGCCATCCCTGCTCTGGCAGACAAGCTTGTGGTGGAGCACGGTAAGTGACCCGTGGGGAGGAGCTGTCACTGCCCTTGGCTGTGATCTATGTTGGCCAAGTTGAAAAAGGTCAGTTCCTTGATTCTGGCCCTGGGCCAGTTCCATTCATTCTTTAAAAAACACTACTTAAGTACCTCCATTGAGCCTTCCTTTTGGGTGGAAAGAGGAATTCTGGGATATAGAAATACTTTTTGTTTTTTTCCATGAGTGAAATGCAGATAAATGCCTCACAGAGGATTTACCTAAAGGCAAATCACTGAACTCTGCCAAGCTTTGTTTCTGCATTGGACTGAACTCTGGCATTGCCGTTACCACCTACTGGGAGTGAGTTTGGCATCTCCTAGAACCATGGATTTGCGAGAGCCCCTGCCTCCTTGGCTGTTTTCTGGACAGGCAGACTGATGGAGCATCTGCTGAGAGGCCTGGCATACCCCAGTGAGGGGGTGCAGGCTGCCGCGTGCTACCTCTACGGGAAGCTCTACTCCTCCCCGGTGGCCGCTGAGGTGCTTTCAGGCCACTTCCGAGAGAAGCTGTGTCCCCTCTTCCTCTCCACTCTGGATGTTGCCCAGACAAAGGAGCTGCAGATCAACTGCTTGGGTAAGACACAGGCCTGGAGAGAAAAGGGAGGGCAAACTTTGGAGGTTTTGCTTGAGGACTTGGGGTATTGGCCCCTGTAACCATGGAGGAGTTTACTGCTTGGCAAAGGAGAGAACCCGGGCATTCCAACATGGGATGGAGGTATCCCAAGCAGTGTCTTAACTGCTGTGGCAAACACCAGCCCTTGGACTTTTCTACTCTTCTTTTTTTTTTTAATAAGATTTATTTTATTTATTTGAAAGACAGAATTACAGAGAGAGGTAGAGACAGAGAGAGAGGTAGAGAGAGAGGTCTTCCATCCATGGTTCACTCCCCAGATGGCCACAACGGCCGGAGCTGTGCCGATCCAAAGCCAGGAGCCAGGAGATTCTTCCAGGTCTCCCACATGGGTGCAGGGGCCCAAGCACTTGGGCCATATTCCACTGCTTTCCCAGGCCACAGCAGAGAGCTATATTGGAAGAGGAGCAGCTGGGACTAGAACCGGCGCCCATATGGGATGCCAGTGCTTCAGGCCAGGGCTTTAACCTGTGGCACCACAGTGCCGGCCCCCTTTTCTACTTTTTTCAACTCTGAGTTTGCTTTGGTTCCCAGAATATTGCTTCTTCCTCCTGGAATTCTCCCCACTTCCAGTTTCACCTACTTTTCCTTCTAAATGGCACTTCCTCCTGGAAGGTTTTCCTGATCCCTACACTAGGTCAGATCCTCTGTGTACACGCCCCTGTGTCTGGGTATTCCTTGTTTGTATCGTGTAGTACAATGATAAGTAATTATTTGTGTTATTTTTTTTTTGGTTTGTTTTCCCTGTACGAGTGTGTGCTCTAGTCAAAAAAAAATTTATTGAGGGGTGAACATTTAGCCTAGTGGTTAAGATGCCCATGTCCCATATTGGAGTGTCTGGGTTTAATTCCTGGCTCCAGCTCCTGATTCCAGCCTCTTGCTAATGCAGATCCTAGGAGGCAGAGGTGAAGGTTCAAGTAATTGGGTTCCTGCCGCTGACGGGGATACCTGAGTTGAGTTTCCAAATCCAGGCTTCAACCCCAGCCCAGCCCAGCTCTGGTATTGAGGGCATCTGGGGAGCCAATTAGTGGATTAGTTCTGTCTGTTTCTCTTTATCTCTTCCTCGCAAATAAAAAAGTATATTTATGTATGTATTGAGTTCTTGCTGTATATCAGTAAGTATAGAGTAGTGCGTGATGTTGTGTGAAGCTGGCATTATCCCTACCCTCTTGAAACTTAGAGTTCAGTGGGGTGATTGGGTCATTCAGGAGGTTCTCACAGGACCCTTCTGGAAGGGAGCGGGGTTGCAGACAGCAAACTGGTGCTGGAGGATTCTACCTATTTCTTCTGTGTACGGAGACATGAAGAAGTCTCTCTGGTGATGTCTGAGAGGCTATATTGGGAGTACTGTGGAACCTGTGCCCCTTTTGTCTCTCTTCCCAACCCTTCGTTTCCTAGGTTTGCTGAGGCAGCTGCTGAAGTATGATCTCTTTGTATCTGTGATCATGAACAAATCTGCGTTGGCCGAGAGTGCTGAGAGTGATGGGCGACTGCCAGGAGAGACTTCACTGCCGTTGGTGCTCAAAAAGGTAGATGTCTTTGTGATCCTGGTCGCTGGGTTCAGAGACAGGGAACCCCAGTGCTTCCTGGGCTGGATCCTAACCCACCATTTCTCCTATCTAGGGTTTCCAGAAGCATTTTCTGGATAAACACCATATTGTAAATCTGCATGGTATCTCTGCATGTCCCCTTCATATCTGGGCTACCTGACGTGAGAACACTTACAGCATCGGAAATGCAGCCACCTCAGCTGTTTTAGGGATTAGCTTCTCCACTTGATGTGGAAAGCTGCTTTTATCTGGACCCTGCGCCTGCCTTCAGCCTCACTCACCCCTAAACCCGGTGCTTCAGGCACGTGTAGCTTCTGGGCCCGCACGTGCTGCCATCCTGTCTGCCTGTGCAGATGCTCTCCTCTGCCTGTGGAGCCTGTCTGCTCCTGTTCTGTCCATCTGATTCAGATTTCGGGTCTGCAGGGCTCCGCTGCCCCTCCAGCTCCTTCAGGTACACTGTGCCCTTTTTCACGGTGCTTGGTTCCCCATAGTGTGGTTGACCTACTGGAAGCTTCTAACTCTGCTTTGGTCTCTGGAATGTTGCTTCCAGACCTGAGTCTATCATCTTTTCTTCCCATCCATACTCAACATAGGGCCTGGCAGATCTTTGTATCCTCATGTGATCGCAAGGGTTGGTGGACCAGGTTGTGAGACTCCTTTTGACAAGAAGAAAGTAGAATCTTGGTCAGAAGTGAGAACATTTCAGTTGGGGGTTGGTGAAAAGCCAAAGTAAATTGCCCTGTCTCATTTCTCTGGGAATGGCCCATGCGAGGCCTGTGAACTCTGAACCGGAATAGCATGCACTCTTTCTGTCTCTCTCTCTCTCTTTAAGATTTATATATATATATAAACTCTGAGAGTCAGAGTTACAGAGAGAGCGGTAGAGACAGCTCTTCCGTGTACTGGTTCACTCTCCAGATGGCTGCAGGGCCAGGGCTGGGTCAGGCTGAAGCCAGGAGCCAGGTGCTCCATCTGGGTCTCCCACATAGGTGGCAGGGCCCAAGTACTTGGACCATCTTCTGCTGTTTTCCCAAGTGCATTAGCAGGGCTCTGAATTGGAAGTGGACCAGGTAAGGCTCAACAGGAGCCCATATGGGATGTTGCAAGCGGTGGTTTAACCTGCTGTGTCACAGTGCTGGTCCATGGTTTATTAATTTCTTCAGGTACCTCCTGAGTACTCATGAGATGTGTTGGTCACTGTGTTGGGACCTGGGAGTGCCAGGGTATGTGGGCAGACGAGATTCTTCTTTTGCACAGCATACAGTCCAGTGGGGAAGGTAGATAATAAACAAGGAAACAAGCAAGGTAATTATGGACATTGATTAGTGCTGTGAAGGAAATAGAGGGAATGAAATAGTAGTGGAGAAAACCAGCTAGAGCTTGAATGGTGGGCAGGGCCTCTTGGAAAGGCTGACGTTTGGGCTGTCGCTTGAAGAATTAGTATGAAGTGATATGAACAGTGCACACAAAAAGCATTTTAATTTTTTAAAGACATTTTAATATGCTTTTAAAGATTTATTTATTTTAAAGGTTATTTATTTATTTGAAAGGCAGAGTTACAGAGAGGCAGAGGTGGAGAGAGAGAAAGGCCTTTCATTTACTGGTTCACTCCCCAAATGGCTGCAACTGTTGGAGCTGGGCCAATCCGAAGCAGCAGACTGGAACTTCTTCAGGTCTCCCATGTGGGAGCAGGGCCCAAGGACTTGGGCCATCTTCTGCTGCTTTCCCAGGCCACAGCAGAGAGCTGGATCAGAAGTGGAGCAGCTGGGACTCAAACAGGCATCCATATGGGATTCTAGCACTGTAGGTGACAGCTTTACCTGCTACACCGAAGTGCTGGCCCCAAGATTTATTTATTTATTTGCAAGGCAGAAGTACAAAGAATGGGAGGGAGGGAGAGAGAGAAAGACAGACAGAAAATATGAATCTTTCATCTGCTGGTTCACTCACTCCCAGAATGGCTGCAACGGCCAAGACGGGGCCAGGCTGAAGCCAGGAGCCTGGAACCCTGGATGCTGGGGCATTAGCCATTGGGCCATCCTCCTCTGCTTTCCCAGTCGCATTAGCAAAGGAGCTGGATCAGAAGTGGAGCAGCTGGGACTCAAACTGGTGCCCATATGGGATGCTGGCATTACAAACAGCGGCTTAACCCACTACACTACAGTATTGGCCCCACAAAAAGCATTTTAGGTGTGAAAGAACAACAAATAAAAGCTGGAGGAAGATTAGGGCTTGATATATTTTGATAACAAACGAGAGATGTTGGGATAGGTGGGTAAGTAGGAAGTGAAGGGAAGTGGCCCAAGATGAGGCCAGAGATTGAGCAGGACAAATCATGGTAGCTCATGGTGAGTAACTAGGATTTGTGAAAGGTAGTGGGTTTTTTGTTTGTTTTTGTTTTAATTTTGAAAAATAGCATTGAAAGATTTCTTTCATAGGAATTTTAAGCCAATAATATTTTTCCTTAGTGGATAAATATTGTATTTCTTTAATTTGAAATTTTTTTCCACATTTTAACAGCTCTGAAATTGAGAGACATTACTATCTATGGTTTAATTGGGAGCAGACTTTTGGGACTCTTAGAGTGCTGGGATTCAAGTCCTGGCTCCACTTCCAATCCAGTTTCCTGCTAATGCACACCCTGAGTGGCAGCAGGTGATGGCTCAAATACTTGGGTTTCTGCTACCCAGGTGGGAGACTTGGATTGGATTTTGGGCTCCTGGCTTCAGCCTGGCCCAGCCCCAGCAGTTGTGGGAATTTGGGGAGTGAATTGGCAAATGGAAGCTCGCTCTCTCTAATTGCCTTTCAAGTTGAAGAATGTTGTTTGTACGTGTTGTTGGGGGAGGCATGTCAGTTGTAGGAAGATTCTTAGATTTGGACATGGCTGATCTGGGTTTCTGCCTTAGCTTTGCCACTTATTAGCTGTTTGGCCTAAAATAAGTAAATTAACCTGTTTAAGGGTCCCCAGGACCCCTCCTGGATTTGCTGGAAGGACTTTCAGGATTCTGTGTATCGTTACGCCTGTGGCTGTGGTTTTTTCATTGAGAGGGCACACTGTACAATCAGCAAAGAGGAAAAGGCATGTGGGGTGAAGTCCGGAGAAAACCAGGCAGGAGCTTCCAGAGTTCTCTCAGTGGAGTCACACAAAATGTGCTTAATTCCTCCAGCAATGGCTTGCGGTAACGTGTGAAGTATTGTCTGAGGAAGCTGATTAGTCTCAATGCCTAGGGATTCTGCTGAGGGCGGGGTGGTCACCCTCTGCTTTGCACATACCAGAATTCCAGACTCTGAGAGGGAAAGCAGGTACTCAGCATCATTGACATTGTCTGCAGAAATAGTTTAGTCACAGTGAGCCACTCTCCTCAGTTCTGGAAGTGGTAGGAACCCTTCCAAAGTCCAAGTTCCCAAACCTGGCCAAGGGCCAGCCTTGAACTAGGGCCTCCTAAGACAACAGTGTCAGGCCTGCAGTGCTGACTCTCCTGTACACCCAGAAAACTGGGGATGGTGGTGGAACCTTCCCCGTTATGTCACAGGTCGCTGCACACGTCAGGACCACACGAGGGCTGTCAAAGCAGTTTTGTCAGTGGAGGCCTGAGCAACAGTACTTGGTAATGGGTTTAGTGTTTGAGTGCCAGCAGGGGATTTGACATTGTGTTCTTTTATTGCATTTCTCATCCACTGCCGTTTGTAGGCTCCTTTCCACAGGCCATGACTGCTGTCCCTGGGCACTGTCTTTGTGCCTGGGGTGGGTAGTACAGAAGGGATCAGAGATGGAGTGCTCCTGCCTGAAGGCACTCAGGCTGGTCCCTCAGTGCTGTCAGTGGTGTTACTGGGACACTGTTGTCTTTCTCCAGCTTCTCCTCTCTAGAGATGAAACGCTGCAGGTGGCCAGTACCCATTGTATAACTGCAGTGCTGGTCCACTCCCCAGTGAAGTATGCCCTGGCCTTCATCCATGCTGATATCCCAGGTAGGAAGACCCTTCACACCTTCTCTTCCCAGGACCCCCGAGTTCTGACCGGAGCCCTGGGGGTTACAGCAGCGGCAGCAGCCCTGAAAGGCACCTTTGATAACTCATACTTGGGGATGGGGTGGGGACAGGGCCAGTTGTTCACAACAGACTCTAAGAAGTAGACTTACAATGTGTGAATCCTGTTACAGATTTCTTCTGTGACCTTGAACAGTTTGTTACTGATCTTTTTCAATTATTTGACCACCTAGGAATAAAAACCCAGTATGACATGGTGGACGACAAAGGGAACTGATGTTTCTCAAGGACCTGTTTAAGAGCCAGGGAATGTGCCCCAACCTGCCTCGCAAATGTTACACATTGAGATCCTCATCTTAGCTTTTATTGATAAGGCAATACGGGCTCAGAGGAAGTAAATACCAGGTTTGGACTGACAAGGCTAAGTCACTGGCAGAGATGGGCTATAGAATCAAGTCTCTCTGGCTCTAACAGCCCCCCACCCCACCCCGCATCACACTGCTAAAGTCAGGAGAATTAGGAGCTCTGAATTCAAGGCCCACCTGTGCCACTAACAGTGCCTCCCTCTTGCCCTTGGCTTCCCCTTCTGTTAAAAAGAAGAGGTTAGATCCTAACCCTGAGGCCACTTTGCAGGAGCGTTTGTGCATTGATGGTCACGTCTCGTGGAGACAGTGTGTGAGCAGATGGAGTAGCGGGGTAAGGTGCTGAAGAAATTGCGGGCAGTGTTAGCTAAAGGACTGTGAGCACATGGCTGCCATTCATTGCCTCCTCCTCCTCTCCCTGGCCAGAGTTCCTCTTCGAACACCTTTCCTCTTCCAGTGAAGTGCTTGTCTGGTCCAGCTGCAGCTCCTTGATACTCCTGGCAGAAGAGCCGCTCTTCTTCTCCAAGTGCCACACGGTGTACGGTTGGTAATGTGGGTCCTGTGCTGAGTCTGGGTCACGTGGACAGCAGTTTGATGTTGCGTGGCAGTGACAGTGATGTGCGGTAGCCTCCACCTTGGACAGGAGCACTGGGTCAGCCCACACATCACTAGATTTCACATGCAAGCATCGACATCCAAACAATTCTGTCTGCTGATCGGCGGAAGTTGACTCCTCAGCAAGGGAAGGGGGGTCCTGTTATCTACTACGTGGATTCCTATGGTGTGCTAAGAACGACTCTAAACAGTGTGTACTCAGCCTTGCAGTTTTTCCTTCCCATACACCAGACGTGTGTTCATTCAGTTGGCCCCTAAGTTTTGCTGATTTGTCCTCTCAGAGTTTGAAACTGTCTCTTCCTTTTCCTTGTCTGGGTGTTTTTATATCTCATCTGGATTTTCAGAGTGGGCACATTCAGTCATTCATGTTACATTCTATAATATAAAATCATAGTCTATGCCCAGCACCAGACTGTGACCTGGAGATTCAGAAATATATATATAACATGGTTCTTGTCCCCAGGAAGGGGACAGAGATGCAAACAGGCAGTTTTAAACAGCAGATGATCAGAGCTCTGTGAGAGGGATGCACAGGACCTGTGGTAGCTGTGGGGAGGTTCACAGCTCTGGAGTTTCAACCTTATGCTCTAAGGAGGAATACGAGTGTGCCAAGTGGAGAAGATATGGCTTGGTCACTTGGCATTCACTGAATGCCTCCAGTGCCAGGGCCTCTGCTGTGGCTTGTGTTGGGTGCTGCAGCAACAGATGAATCATAGAAGGGCCTGTCCCCCACAATCTCACATTCTGGCCCCATTTGCTCAGTTGGATCAGAGTCCCTCCACAAGGGGCCTCCGGCCTATGTGTGCTGTCCGAAGCCTGTCACCTCTCCTGCGGGGCAGTAAAGGAACCGCCAAGCGCTGATCCCTGGCCTGTGTCCTTTCATCTGAGGCAGGGATCGAGGCCGTGGTGAGGAGCCTGCAGGGAAGCCTGAAGACGAACAACACGGAGCTGCATAAGCAGGGTCTGCTGCTCCTTGCTGAGATCCTGACTCGGTGAGTAAGGTGGTGGAGAAGGAAAAGCGAGCTGCGGGGAGCGTCACCCACTCATTTCTCGTGTTTGATTTTCCAGGCAGCCAGAGGAGATCAGGCTGTTCGCAAGCTCTGCCGTGTGCAGAAGTGCTGCCCGTGCCCTCCGAGAGGCGGTGAGCAGCCCCGTGCTGGAGGTGGCTGCTGAGGCAGTGAAGGCCACTTCCGCTTTCCTGAGGTGAGGGACGGGCAGCTGAACTTTCCACCCCTGCAGGTGCTGGGGCCTGTGTAGGCCAAGGCAGCTTCCAGGGGACGCGTGTCCCCAAGGTCAGAGACATGTTCTTGGTGTATTTCTCTACTCCGGTATTTTGTTCTCTTTCTGGAGCTACTTATTTAAGTGTTGGTCATCCTAGGTTCGTCTTCTAATTTCCTTTGTTTCCTGACAATTTTTGTATTTTTGTTTTACTAACTTCTGGGAAATTTTTTTACTTCATTTTTCAATGCTTTCAAATTTTATTTATTTATTTGAGATGTGGAGAGACAGAGCAGGTTGGGGAGAAGAATTGACAGAGAGTGAGCGCTCATCTGCTGGTTTAGTCCCCAGGTGTTTGCAACAGCTGCAGGTGGGCTGGGACTGAAACTGGGAGCCAGAAACTCAATCCAGGTCTCTCACACGGGTGGCAGGAACTCAGTTCTTTGACCCTTCGTCGCTGCCTTCCAGGGTTTGCATTAGCAGGAAGCTGGATCCAGGAGCCAGAGCCAGGCGTGGAACCCAGGCACTCTGATGTCATTGTGGGTGTTACAACTGCTACGCTAAGTACCCGCTCCCTATCTCGCTACTCCTTTAACGAGTATTTTATTTTTGCTTTCATATTTTAATTTGGAAGATGTCTTTCCAGTTTCCTGCCTTTTAAAAAATTATTTTTAAGAATACATTTATTTGAGAGACAGAGAGGGGAGAGAGAGAGACAGAGAGCAATTTCCCATATGCTAGTTTACCCTCCAGAAGCCTGCATTGGCTGTGTCTGAGCTAGGCCAAAGCTGGGAGCTGGGAACACAATCTAGGTCTTCCTTGTGGGTGGCAGGAAACCAATTCTGTGAGCCATTGTTGCTGCCTCCCTGGGTCTACATTATCATGAAGCTAGCGCCACAGAGCTGGGAATCAAACTCAGATACTTTGATGTGAGACACAGTATTTTAACTGCTAGGCTAAGTGCCTGTCCCTGCATCTTTTTAAAATTTTTTTAATATAGAGCATTTTATTCTGTGCTTATTTCATGGATATAATTTTTTTCCAATTTCTTTTTTATTTTAATTTTAATTAGTTTTTAACAGATTCAATGTGGTTTATAGATGCAATTCTAAGAACATAATGATATTCACTTCCTGACTCCCTCTCCCACTCCCCTCCCTTCTTCCTTTCTTTTTTTCTATCTTTTTTTAGTTTTTGAGATAACATTTTAAATTTATATTACACTAAAAAAGCTTACTACTTCATTGAATAAGAAATTTAACAAGTAAAAAGCAATAAGGCCCTAGTTTAGTGGGAATATAAACAACGGCTATGGAAAATGGAAAATTACCATTTCACACATATACAGTAAATTTTAGAGTATTTACAGATCATTAAAACTATATAGTATAACATTTGTAACCAATGGTTTGACTTAGGTATAATACAGAGTTTCACAAAACTGTATTTGCAGCAATACTGATACACACACAGGCATTTCTATCTTTTTTTTTTTTTTAATTTTAGTTCTCACGTATAAGGGAGAACATGTGGTATTTGTCTTTCTGGGTCCAGCTTATTTTACTCAACATGATGTGCTCCAATTGTGTCCATTTTGATGTAAATGGTAGAATTTCATTCTTTTTATAGCTGAATAATATTCCTTGTGAATATATGCCACATTTTAAAAAAAGGTTTTATTTATTTATTTGAGAGGTAGAGTTACAGACAGTGAGAAGGAGAGACAAAGAGAAGTCTTCCATCCGCTGGTGCACTCCTCGAATGGCTGCAACGGCCAGAGCTGAGAGCTAAGGCGAAGCCAGGAGCCGGGAGCTTCTTCTGGGTCTCCCACGTGGGTGTAAGGGTCCAAGCACTTGGGGCATCTTCCACTGTCTTCTCAGGCAATAGCAGAGCGCTAGATTAGAAGAGGAGCAGCCGGGACTAGAACCAGTGCCCATATGGGATGCGGCACCACTGGCGGAGGATTAACCGCAGCACCGGCCCTCACATTTTCTTTATCCATTCATCTGATGATGGACTATTGTGGACAGTGATGCTATAAACATAGTGGTGCAGGTATCTCTTTGATACAATGTGTTCAAGTCTTTTGGGTATATACTCAATAGTGGGATTGCTAGATCATGTGGCAGGGCTATTTCTAGGGTTTTTTTTTTTTTTATTTTATTTAGGGGCTAGCACTGTGGCATAGCAGTTAAAGCCACTGCCTGCAGTACTGGCATCCCATATGAGCGCTTGTTGGAGTCCCAGCTGGTCCACTTCCGATCCAACTTTCTGCTATGGCCTGGGAAAGTAGCAGAACATGGCCTTGAGCCATCCTTGAGCCCCTGCACCCGTGTGGGCCATCCGGAAGAAGCTCCTAGCTCCTGGCTTTGGATCGATCCAGCTCCAGCTATTGTGGCCATTTGGGGAGTGATCCAGCAGGTGGACGACCTTTCTCTGCCTCTGCCTCTCTATAACTCTGTCTTTCAAATAATAAAGAAATCTTAAAGAAGCTTTTAAAAAAATTTATTTATTTGAGAGGCAGAATTAGAGAGAGGGAGAGACAGAAAGGTCTTCCATCCTTTGATTCACTCCCCAAATAGCAGAAATGGCCGGAGCTGGGCCAATCTGAAGCCAGGAGCCAGGAACTTCTTCTGGATCTCCCACATGGGTGCGAACAAGCACTTGGGCCATCTTCTGCTTTCCCAGGCCATAACAGAGAGCTGGATCAGAAGTGGAGCAGCTGGGACTTGAACCGATGCCCATATGGGATGTTGGCACTGCAGGTGGCGGCTTTACCCACTACACCACAGTGCCGGCCCCAGATCTAATTTCATTCTTCTACATATATGTATGTATTGATTCCCAGTTGGCAGCAATAGCTGGGGCTAGGCAAGGCTGAAGCTAGGAGCTTCATCTTCGTCTCCCATGTGGGTGCACGGGCCAAGTACTTGGTCCATCTTCTGCTGCTTTTTCTAGGCCATTAGCAGGTAGCTGGATCAGATGTGGAACAGCCAGGACTTAAACTGGGGTCCATGTGGAAAGCTGGCGTTGCAGGCATTAGCTTTACCTGCTATGCCACAATGCTGCCACCCCCCAACTTTTTCATGACTTATTTGTTTATTTTTTTGAAAGTCAGAGTTACAGAGAGAGAGGTACACATATATACACACATACACATACACAGAGATCCGCTGGTTCACTCCCAGATGGCCATGATGTCCAGGAGCCTGAAACTCCATATGGTTCTCCCATATGGGTTGTCAGGGACCACTGCTTTTCCAGGCACATTAGCAGGGAGCTGGATCAGAAATGGAGATGCTGTATGGGATGCCAGAATCATATCTCAATCACTTCTTTTTTTTTAACTAATTAATTTATTTGAAAGGCAGAGTTACAGAGAGGCAGGGGCAGAGAGAGAGAGAAAGATGTCTTCCATCTGCCTGCTCACCCTCCAAATGGCTATCATGGCCGGAGCTGCACTGATCCTAAGCCAGGAACCATGAGTCTCTTCCAGGTCTCCCACATGGGTGCAGGGGCCCAAGGACTTGGGCCATCTCCCAGGCCATAGCAGAGAGCTGGATCGGAAGTGGAGCAACCAGGGCTCCAACCAGCGCACATATGGGATGCCAGCACTGCAGGCAGGGCTTTACCTGCTACGCTATAGCTCTGGCCCCTCTCAGTCACTTCTTGCTCACTTCTTTGGTCTTCTTTCTGTTTCTTGAACTCATCAAACTTAATCCTACCTTAGGGATTTTCTACTAATGGTCCCTTTGTCTGGAATATCCTGCCTTTAAATCTTTGCAAGACTTCCTATCCTTCAGGTCTCATTCAGGATGCCTTTTATTAATCTAATCAAGTTGCCTGTGATAGTTTTGTTTATTTATTTGCTTTATATTCACCGCACCCTTGCCTCAAATACAAGCTCTAAGAGTTCACGTACCTAGTCAGTTTTGTTGGTGCTATATCTCTCATTTGTAATGGGTAACCAGTATATGAAAGAAGGATGTTAAAAGGGACAGTGAGGGGCCAGTGCTGTGGTACAGTGGGTTAAAGCTCTGGCCTGCAGCACTGGCATCCCATATGGGTGACGGTTCAAGTCTCAGCTGCTCCTCTTCTGATCCAGCTCTGTCTCTGCTTCCTAAGAGAAACTAACTTTAACTCATTTTGGTTTTAGTTCTGGTGACTAGCTCCCCAAATCTAAACCATATACTCATAATACTGTTTCTTTGTTGATTTGTCATTATTCATTGATTTACCAGTAAGAAGCTGGTAATTAGCTCACAGTTTTTCTCTTTTCTACATCTCTTTGGCATTTTTTACTAGTTAATATATAATGTCTTTGAACCTTTACATAATATACTGAATTTCCTGTTCCATCTTACAACAGTATCTCCTGACTCCCTTTGTGGTTAGCAGAGCTGCATCTCTTCCTTTCCCTCCCCCTCCCTACTTTCTGTTTCTCAAGGTCAGTCAGTTATATTTTTAATTTTATAATGTGGAGATTTTCAATATTTATAGACTCTCCTGTTACCATATTTAACTTTAGGTTGGTTCTAAAAATTGAAATGAAAATTAGCGTTTGCATTTCAATGATTTCAGTCTGTCTCCTTTCCCACTTGTGCTCCCCTGGGTTTAAATCTCTAAATCTGGGGCATGAATCCCAGAGTGGGTGTGATCACTGAACCGACAGGGCACCAAAAAAATAGAGTAAAAACAGTGTCGATTATAGGTACCCACGCAGAACCGAGAGTCTCCCAGGAGGCCGGTGCTTTGGGACCCAAAACATCTTTCAGGTGGGAGGTGTTTGAGCTGCGTTGTGAAGGATAAGGGAGATTTCGATTTGGGACAGGACCTGGGCTAACCACACATGTTGGTGTGAAAGTATAGGGATTTCTGAGGGCACGGTGGCTGGTTTGGCCAGCAGGAATCTTGAAGGCAGCTGGTGGCTGAAGAAGCTGAGAAGCTGGTTGGTTCAGAATTGTGGAGAGAGATGGACAGGGTTGTTGATTCTTGGATGATTTTACTTCTGACTTTAACTGCCCAAAATGTTGTCTGAGGCAGAGTGGTTCAGAGATTCTCTGAGAATACAGCTAGAAGAGAGAATCAGGAATGAGAGATGCTGAAAAGCATTTAAAGATGGTGGAATGAGAGCTTGCTAATCAGTGTAGAATGGAAATATAGAACTTCCACAAATGGAGAAGGAAAGGGAAAATCAAGCCTTAACTAATCTTTACTGAGAATATGTTAGAAGTGTTCAAAAAAAATTCCAGTGAGTTAACAGGTTTTCCTTAGCTACTGTAGTGGGCTGAAAATTGTGTACCACCTTCCCAACATTCAAATTTACCCAGAACTCTTGGATGTGCCTTGTTTGGAAATAAAACCTTTGTAGAAATCATTGATGTAATCGGGGCTGGCACTGTGGCATAGCCAGTAAAGCCACTGCCTGCAGTGCTGGCATCCCCTATGGTTGCTTGTTCGAATCCCAGCTGTTTTACTTCTGATCCAGCTCTCTGCTATGGCCTGGGATAGCAGTAGAAGATGACCCAAGTTCTTGGACCCTTGCACCCATGTAGGAGACCTGGAAGAAGCTCCTGGCTCCTGGCTTTGACCATTGCAGCTATTTGGGGGAGTGAACCAGCTGATGGAAGGCCTCTCTCTCTTTCTGTCCCTGCCTCTCTGTGACTCTGCCTTTCAAAAAATTAAGTAAATTTTAAAAAACGATCATTGAGGTAAGAGAAAGTCATCTTTCAGGGGCTCCAAATCCAATGCCTGGTATCTGGATAAACAGCAGCATAGACACAGAGAGAAGATGGCCATGTGAAGACGGGCAGAATGTAGGGCAATTTAGTGACAAGCCAAGGAATGCCACAGGTTGGTGGCACCCACCAGAAGCTAAGAGATGAAGCAAGATTCTTCTCAAGAACTTTAGAGGGAGGCATCCAGAACTGTGAGGGAATAAACTTCTGTTTTGCATTGCTCAGTTTGTGGTAATTTATTACAGCAGCCCTAGGAAACCAAATACCCTGTCAAGTAGTCATTCATTCATATTTTTTTTAAAGATTTATTTATTTATTTGAAAGTCAGAGCCGCTGCTCAATAGGCTGATCCTCCGCCTGTGGTGCTGGCACCCTGGGTTCTAGTCCCGGTCGGGGCGCCGGATTCTGACCAGTCCAGCTCCTCTTCCAGTCCAGCTCTCTGCTGTGGCCCGGGAGTGCAGTGGAGGATGGCCCAAGTGCTTGGGCCCTGCACCCCATGGGAGACTAGGAGAAGCACCTGGCTCCTGGCTTCAGATCGGCGCAGTGCCAGCCACAGTGCCCTAACCAATCACAGCCTTTTGCCAGGCAGTTTCCAAAGCCATCCAATCACAGCCTGTTGCCAGGCAGTTTCTGTTGCCAGCGGCCATCTTGGCCTGGCCTTCTCATTCCACCACAGGTACCTGTCTACATTTACTGCACAGTCATGATTGAATCTCCAGAAGTATTTTTCCAGTCATCTTATAATCTCACAGATGAGAACTTCTTCCTAAGTAGTCTCCTCTACCTCTATAAAGTTTTGATTCTCAGGAAATTCTTCCATATACTGAAATAAAATCTGGATCTGGAAACATTTACCTGTTGATCCTGGTGTTCTCTGTGGAGGTTGATCTTTTCCTCAGGACAGCTTATCACCCATTTGAGAGCAGTGGCCATTCTGTCTTTGATGCACCTTCGTTTCTAGGTGCTTCTTTCAGTAGGAGGTCCTACTCAGAAACCCTCTGTGTCAATAATAATAATAATAATAATAGTCATGGCTGGCATACATAGAGACTTCTTATGAATTAATCATTGAGATGAGTGCTTGGCATTCATTATTTAATTGACCCTCAGATAATTTTTTTAGCTTTTATTTAATAAATATAAATTTCCAAAGAACAGCTTATGGATTACAATGACTTTTCCCCCCATAACTTCCCTCCCACTTGCAACCCTCCCATTTTCCGCTCCCTCTCCCATTCCATTTGCATTAAGATTCATTTTCAATTATCTTTATATACAGAAGATCAATTTAGAATATATTAAGTAAAGATTTCAACAGTTTGCACCCACACCAAAAAATAAAGTGTAAAATACTGTTTGAGTACTAGTTATAGCATTAATTCACATTATACAACACATGAAGGACAGAGATCCTACATGAGGAGTAAGTGCACAGTGACTCCTGTTGTTGACTTAACAAATTGACACTCTTGTTTATGGCGTCGGTAATCTCCCTAGGCTCTTGTCATGAGTTGCCAAGGCTATGGAAGCCTTTTGAGTTCACTGACTCCGATCTTATTTAGAGAAGGTCATAGTCAAAGTAGAAGTTCTCTCCTCCCTTCAGAGAAAAGTACCTCCTTCTTTGATGGCCCATTCTTTCCACTGGGATCTCACTCGCAGGGATCTTTCATTTAGGTTTTTTTTTGCCAGAGTGTCTTGGCTTTTCATGCCTAAATTACTATCATGGGCTCTTCAGCCAGATCCAAATGCCTTAAAGGCTGATTCTGAGGCCAGAGTGCTGTTTAGGACATCTGCCATTCTCTGAGTCTGCTGTGTATCTCGCTTCCCATGTTGGATCGTTCTCTCCTTCTTAATACTATCAGTTATTATTAGCAGACACTAGTCTTGTTTATGTGATCTCTTTGACTCTTAGACCTATCATTAGGATCAATTGTGAACTGAAATTGATCACTTGGACTAGTGAGATGGCATTAGTACATGCCACCTTGATGGGATTGAAATGTAATCCCCTGGCACATTTCTAACTCTACCATCTAGGGCAAGTCAGATTGAGCATGTCCCAAATTGTACATCTCCTCCCTCTCTTATTCCCACTCTTATATTTGACAGAGACCACTTTTCAGTTAAATTTAAACACCTAAGAATAATTATGTGTTAATTACAGAGTTCAACCAATAGTACTAAATAGGACAAAAAAAAATACTAAAAGGGATAAAGTATTAAGTTGTTCATCAACAGTCAGGACAAGGGCTGATCAAGTCACTGTTTCTCATAGTGTCCCTTTCACTTCAACAGGTTTCTTTTTTGGTGCTCGGTTTGTTGTCACTGATCAGGGAGAACATATATTTGTCCCTTTGGGACTGGCTTATTTCACTCAGCATGATGTTTTCCAAATTCCTCCATTTTGTTGTAAATGACTGGGTTTCATTGTTTTTTTTTTTCTTTTTTTTTTACTGCTGTATAGTATTCTATAGAGTACATGTCCCATAATTTCTTTATCCAGTCTACTGTTAATAGGAATTTGGGTCGATTCCAGGTCTTAGCTATTGTGAATTGAGCTGCAATAAACATTAAGGTGCAGACAGCTTTTTTGTTTGCCAATTTAATTTCCTTTGGGTAAATTCCAAGGAGTGGTATGGCTGGGTTGTATGGTAGGGTTATATTCAGGTTTCTGAGGAATCTCCAGACTGACTTCCATAGTGGCTTTACTAGTTTGCATTCCCACCACACCTCAAGATAATTTTTTAAAAGACTTATTTATTTGAAAGGCAGAGATAGAAAGAGAATGAGACAGAGAGAAAGGTCTTCCATCTGCTGGTTCACTCCCCAAATGGCCGCAATGGCCGGGGCTGGCCCAGGCTGAAGCCTGGAGCCAGGTGCTTCTTTTGAGTTTCCCACATGGGTGCTGGGACCCAAGTACTTGGGCCATCTTCTGCTGTTAGGCACATTAGCAGGGAGCTAGATGGGAAGTGGAGCAGCCAGGACTTGAACCAGTGCCCATGTGGGACACAGGCACTGCAGGCAAAGGCTTAACCTTCTACACCATAGCACTGGCCCTGACCTTAAGGATAATTCTATGAGGAGAGAACTATTAACCCTCATTTCATAGATTAGGAAACTGATGGTGGGAGAGAGTAAGGAATGTGCACAAGGTTGTACAGCTGCTTAAGAGCAGGAGCAAGGACTTTTGTGAGATCGGACCCTGAGCCTGATCCACCACACTGCCGCCCATTGCCTGAGAGGCTAGCGGTGTCTTGAGAGTACCTTAACCTAACCCCGAGCCTTCTCTTGTCTCCCTGGATGCAGGAAGGATCATCAGAGTGCTCTGCCTGTGCAGTACAGGGAGCTGCGGGCCTTGCTTGAAGCCATGCTGGGCCGGTGTGTGGAATTCTCCCAGGCTCCGCTGAACAGAAGGCCCCTGGTCAGTGCATCCATGTCTGCTTCTTCTGGAGATCTTACTGTGATATTTCTTTTTAATATTTACTTGGATGGAGAGTTCCTGAGACAGAGGAAAGAGAGAGAGAGTTTCCATTCTCTGGTTTACTCTCCAAATGGTTGCAATGGCCAGGGCTGTGCCTGGCTGAAGCCGGGAGCCCAGAGCTTATTCTGAGTTTCAAATGTGGGTGCAGGGGCCCAAGCACTTGGGCCGTCCTCTGCTGCTTCCCCAGGTACGTGAGCAGGGAGCTGGATCGGAAGTGGAGCAGCTGGGACTTAAGCTGGCAGCCATATTGGATGCAGGCATCACAGGCAGCAGCTTAGCCCACTGTACCACAATGCCAGCCCCTATGATATGTTTGAAAGACAAACTGGGGCCAGCGCCGCGGCTCACTAGGCTAATCCTCCACCTTGCGGCGCTGGCACACCGGGTTCTAGTCCCAGTTGGGGCGCCGGATTCTGTCCCGGTTGCCCCTCTTCCAGGCCAGCTCTCTGCTGTGGCCAGGGAGTGCAGTGGAGGATGGCCCAGGTCCTTGGGCCCTGCACCTCATGGGAGACCAGGAAAAGCACCTGGCTCCTGGCTTCAGATCAGCGCGGTGCGCCGGCTGCGGCGGCCATTGGAGGGTGAACCAATGGCAAAAGGAAGACCTTTCTCTCTGTCTCTCTTTCTCACTGTCCACTCTGCCTGTCAAAAAAAAAATAAATAATAAAGACAAACTGGTACATTGTTTTGCCTGTGTATGCCATTATATAGCTTCTTCTTGTGTGCACATGCCTACAATGAGTTTTTTTTTCCTGACTGTAAGGCTTAGGGATTAATCTCCTTAAGATGTTTTTACAGATGAGGAAACTGAAACCACAGAGGTTTAATAATTTTTCCCCAAGATCCAAAATTAATAGTACCTGAATCTGAATAGTAAATCCCAAAGTGTTTGCATGCAAGCCTATTACTTGTTTTGTCTCTTTATGTCATCTAGGCAGATATGATAAATGTGTTCACAAAATTATATATGATTGAAATCAGTGGAATCTTGGAAAGAATCTGTCTGATGTGCAGTGTGTTATGATTTTTTTTAAGATTTATTTATTTATTTGAAAGGCAGAGTTACTGAGAGACAGAGAGAGAGAGGTATCTTCCATCTGCTGGTTTACTCCAGGGCTGAGCCAGGAGCTTCTTCCAGGGCTCATGTGGGTGTAGGGGCCCAAACACTTGGGCCGTCATCCACTGCTTTCCCAGACACATTAGCGGGAAGCGGGATCAGAAGTGGAGCAGCCGGGACTTGAGCCAGCACTCATATGGGACACTGGTGCTGCAGATGGTGGCTTTACTTGCTGTGCCACAGTACTGGCCCAGTGGTTGGCTTTAAATTATCTCTGGACTTAGGATACCAGGAAAGATGCCGTCAGTGTGAACTTTGAATATGTCTTTAGAATATGTTAACTTTAGAAACTAAGCTCGAGGCTGGTGCTGTGGTGTAGCGGGTAAGTTGCCGCCATAAGTGCAAGCATCCCATATGTGCCAGTTCAAGTCCCAGCTGCTCCACTTCTGATCCAGCTCTCTGCTGTGGCCTGGGAAAGCAGTGGAGGATGGCCCAAGTCCTTAGACCCCTGAACCCACATGGGAGACCCAGAGGAAGCTCCTGGCTCCTGGCTTTGGATCGGTGCAACTCTAGCCGTTGCAGCCAATTAGGAGTGAACCAGTGGATGGAAGACCCCTCCCTCCCTTCCTCCCTCCCTCCCTCTCTCTCTCTCTCTGCCTCTTTGTAACACTGCCTTTCAAATAAATAGATAAATCTTTAGGAAAAAAAAAGAACCTAAGCTCTTCATACCTGATGGAATGGGGAGATTTTCTTGTGTTTGTACCAGCTAATACAGACATAGCTAGTTAACTAACGTGACAGCTTCCTGCATATAATAGACCAAGAGCCAGCCCTGTGGTTCACAAGGACATGAGTAGTTAAGTTTTCCCTGCTCCCATATTTTAGTTCATTTTAAAAGATTTACTCATTTATTTGAAAGAGTTTTATATAGAGAAAGAGAGACAGAGAGATCTTCTACCCATGGTTTATTCCTCAAATGGCCACAACAGCCAGGGCTGGGGAAGCCTTAAGCAAGGAGCCAGGAATTCCATCTTAGTCTTCCTCATGGGTGGTAGGAGCCCAAGTACTGGGGCCATCTTCTGCTGCTTTTCCAGGCATATTAGCAAAGAGCTAGATCAGAAGTGGAGCATCCGGGACTTGAACCGGCACTCAAATAGGATGCTGATAATGCAGGCGGCAGCTTCGCCTGCTGTGCCACACACTGCCCCTGCCCCCACTGTATTTTGAAGGTGCTATTATATTTGTAAGCCTATACGCAAGATCTTGGGTGTATGGGCACATCAGTCTGCAGTAGAAGTGGAGGAGGTCTGTAGTCCTCCAAGCACAGGTTGGCACACAGGATAAGTATTTGACCAGAGTTTCTTCTCTCTCCTTCCCACCTCAGGGCCATGCCTCCAATAGGGATTCAGAGAAGGCCATTTTTCAGAGGGGGAGGTTCCTCCTGAGCACTCTGGAGGGCTTTAGAAATGCCTGCAGGTAAGGGCCCTCTGTGGTTTGGGGTGGTTGTGTGGAGGGTGGGGATGCAAGGAATTCAGACAGGATGGAGTTCTGCAAGCAGAACCTGATTTCCGACGCTCTGCTTCACAGTGAGATGCTTTTGCTTGGGGTGGGGACTGAGGGTGTGTGAAGGAAGCTGAAGGACAGGGTGCTGGGGTAGGATATTTCTTTTTTTAAAATATTTATTTGTTTGTTTTGAAAGAGTTAGAGGAAGATATAGAGATAGAAATCTTTTATCCTCTAGTTCACTCCTCAGATGGCGCAATGGCCAGCACTGGGCCAGGCTGAAGCCAGGAGCTAGGAGTCGCCCATGTGCATGGCAGGGGCCCACACACTTGAGCCATCTTCTGCTGCTTTTCCCAGGCCATTTCCAGGCAGCCGAATCAAGAGTGGAGCAGCTGGAACATGCCATTATGGCATGTTGGTGCTGCAGGCAGTGGCTTTACCTGTTATACAGCAATGCCGGCCCCTGCCTCCCCCAGGATAGTATACGTGGAATTTGGTAGGTTGTCAAGAAACATCACCTTCCAGGAGATGTATTCCAGGTAGAGAGAGCAGCATATTTAAAGACAGAGATGTGAAGCATCAGATAACATGGCATATCCAGGGAAGCACATGTGGTGGGGTGGAAGAGTCATGGGGAGGGGTGGGGAGCAAGAGACTGGAGGGGTAACCAAGGACCAGGTCTCCTCAGTGAGGTCTCTTGAATCCTCTCCATCTGATATTAAGGATGTTTTCCCGGATCTGGAGCTCAGGCATCCCACTGCAAGGATATTTCTTCCTTTCTTGAAACTTTGGTTTGAGGCAGACAGACAGAGAGGGGAAGCTTGCACCTGCTGGCCCACTCCCCAAATGCCTGCAATGTCTGGGACTGAGCCAGGATGACGCTGAGAATTGAGAGCTCAATCCAGGTCTCCCCAATGTGTGGTGGGAACCCGGTCACTGGGGCCATCACCTCTGCCTCCCAGGGTCTGCGTTAGCAGGAAGCTGGAGTCAGGAGCCAGAGGTGGACGTGGGCATCCTAACTGCATCTTAATTGCGAGGCCAAATACCTGTCCCTTGGAGGGTGCTTCTGACTTTCGTGTTGCACAGGTGGTAGGGTAGCAGACATACTCACATATTGGTTCCTCAGGTTGGCTGTGGAGTTCCAGAGTGAGCCTTTGGCCCAGGAGAATCCATTCACAGCTCCAAGCGCCGAGAAAGAAGACACGTTGGAAGCCTTCTCAGAGTTTCTTCTCAGTGTCTGTGACTCTCTGTGTATCCCCATGGTGATGGTGGGTTCCTCTTACTCATGTTCTGCGTGAAACTTGGGGCAGAGAAGAATGTGAGGGTGAGCCAGGCTGAGAGGCACAGACCATGACAGCTCAGCTGGCCTTGCTGAGGGCTTCAGTGTCATTCTAGCAGCCACCTATTCTTTGGTTTTAAAAATATAGTGTTTCATTATAAAATTAACAGACACCTCTTAAGAAAAAGTAAGAAGCAGTCATAGTAACAGAAGATATAGGTAATGTTTATGGAGTGGTAGGTACCTTATATTTGTTACTTAGCTTAATCCATCTAATGACCCTGGGAAATGGGTGCTATGATTTTCCCCAATTTATAGATGAGGTTGTCATAGTCCTGTGGTTACAAAGCAAATACATTACAGTGCCGGGATTGAACCTGCGACTTCAGGTGCCCTAGGTGTCCTTGGTTCTTTGTTTAGTAATGAGCAGTGGTGAATGTCTGTGATCTAAGCTCCAGGAAGAAACACATATGTGTGTTCTGTAAAATGAGTAGACAACCACTCTGAAGAGAGACCTGGTTCTGAAAAGAGAGCTGTGTTTTGAGCTGACCGGAGATTGAGATGGTAGGAAGAGCAGGGCCTAGAGCTGTGGATTCTCCAGGTGACCTTGGGTGAGTCCTCTCCCGCGCCAGGTTTGGGCCTCCTGTGAGTCCTGTGAGTCAAAGAAGGGCACGTGCTGGGAACAGCAGGTGGCAGGCAGGAGGACCCCCGGCGGCAGGGGAGACAGCTGCTCTCCTTTAGGAAGTCGCTGAGCCAGCTGTGCACAAGGGACAGTGGTCAGGAGCCCTGGGCTGCAGACTCACAGTGAGACTTGGATCTCTCCCATTGCTCTCCTTATCTGTCTGCCTTCCTCCTAGGTCTGTGAGGGGTCAGATCTAGGTCTAGAAGTAAATCATAACATTGTTGTGTTGTTCCTGCTTTCTACTTTTCTGTATTGTATATGTTTTCTTTAATGCACTTATATTGATTTTATAGTTAAAAGAAACTTGGTTTAAAACACAAAGGGAATGTGTCTACAAGAACAATGCCTCTGAGGCCCCAGCTTTTCACAGGGGAGGAGGTGACTGACCCAAGGGCACAGGGTGGTGGCTTTGTACAGAGCTTGAACTGGAACCCCCGTTTTCTTCCTCTTAATCTGAGCTGTGCTACTCCATCAGGCTGTTTCATGACTGTTCAAGGACCACATGAGATAATAATTAGGAAGTCACTTTGTAAACTATATTATTAATACTGTTATGATAGTAATACAAACATCAGTGTTACCATACGTTATTTGTTTGAAAGGCAGAGATACAGGGTGGGAGAGGAGAGAGGAGAGAGGAGAAAAAGGAGAGAGAAGTGAGAGGAGAGAGAAGAGAGGAGGGGGGGAGAGAGAGAGGAGAGAGAGAGAGAGACAGAGAGAGAGAGACAGAGAGAGAGAGAGATCTTCCATCTACTGGCTCACTTCCCAAATGGCCACAACGGCTGGGGCTGGGCCAGGCTGAAGCCAGGAGCCGAGAGCATCTTTTGGGTCTCCCACATGGGTGGCAGGAGCCCAAACACTTGGGCTGTCTTCTGCTGCTTTCCCAGGCACATTAACAGAGAGCTAGATTGGAAGTGGAACATCTGGAACTCAAACCAGCACCCATATGGGATGCCAGCACTGTAGGTGGTGGCTTAACCTTCTAGGCCACAGCACTGGCCCCAGAAGGTATTTTCCATGTATTAGGCCTCATTGGTTTCTGGGAGGTCAGTCTTCGTGTTATTCCATTTTAACCTTTTTGGGAGCAGAGACCCTGGGAGGTAAGGTATCTGTACACTCTGTTAAGTGGCAGATCAAAGGCTCAGATGTAGATTTGTGACTTCCAGTTCCCCAGCCTTTCTTGTGCCCTTCAGATGAAAGAGATTAGTCCGCTGCTGCCAGATTTGATGCCAGTTTTTATTGACGCATTTTCTTCTTCAGAGGCTCAGTCCTGGTCAGCTGTCTTCTTCCTGGCTCTTTACAGAGGCACTTGGAGCAGGCCACTCAGCCAGCCTTGATGGAAGTTTTCCTGTCTGTTCTGCACAGCCTGTTCGTCATCGTTCCCCACATGAAGGAGAAGTTCTCGAAGAAACTCGGTAGGCAGTAGGCGAATGGAAGCTGGGACTGAGGCAGGCGTTGAGCAGCTGCTCGGAGTACTCATGGAGGGAATGCTGTAGAATGGATGTTTGTGTATCATTCATAATCTATATTCTTTGTCCAGTGTTGGGTGGAAGAAAATACACAGCAGCCCACAGTCCTGAAAGGCATTTCCCAAACTTAATCTATACTTCTGTGTCCAGGAGAAGTCCCAGAGGTTCTGGTTGAGTGCCCACCACACTCTCCCTTCCTGATCCCTCCATGTTCTGTATCCCTCAGGTCTCACAAGGTGGGAAGCTTCCCTGACTCCTGAGCACGGAGTGGCATGGCATGCCCCGGCCATTGTGACAGCTGAAGGCTGTCCTCACGTGCTGCCAAGTGCCTTCCCGGGGAGAGAGCACTCTGGGAAAGGTGTAATCTGACTGCACACCAAGGACCTTTCTAAAACTGAGCCTGTGTGGCTTTTGATTCCTTCCGTCTTCTCCAGCCCCTGGTGTATTTCTCCTTTCCTTCTCTAACCAGTCATTGATTCCCTATCCAGTGTAAGCCCTCCTTTCCCACATCTCCTGTTTTCATCCTGTAAATGCCTCGATCATTCTCCCTTGTCGTCCTGAGAAAGTGGCAGCAATGGTGAGAGTGGGAAGGGGGATACCAGAAACAGAAGAGGGAAGCAGCAGAGTGATAGTAGTAAGTGTTACCTGGTTAACAGTAATAACTAACATTAAGTTCTTACTGTGCACAAGTGCTTTATATGTATTGATTAGGCTAGTCCTCAGAGAAACCTAGGAATTTCATGTTGTGATCATCCTCAAGCTGATGAGCAAACTGGAACTCAGAGAGGTTAAGGCATTTGCCCAAAGTCACATACCCAGGATTCAAACCCAGGGAATCGGTTTAAGAGGCACTTTCTTAATCTCTATGGTATGCCTGTCTGTTACAATTATCATTTATTGTCTTTTATTCTTGTCACATAGAATGTAGTGCTGGCCCAGCACTGTGGTATAGTGGGTAAAGCCACTGCCTGCAGTGCCGGCATCCCATATGGGTGCCAGTTCGAGTCCCAACTGCTCTACTTCTGATCCAGCTCTCTGCTATGGCCTGGGAAAGCAGTAGAAGATGGCCTAAGTCCTTGGGCTCTTGCACCTGTGTGGGAGACCCGAAAGAAACTCCTGGCTCCTGCCTTCAGGTCGGCTCAGCTCCGTCTGTTGCAGCCATCTGGGGAATGAACCAGTGGATGGAAGACCTCCCTCTCTTTCTTCGTCTGCCTCTCTGTAACTCTGCCTTTCAAATAAATAAATAAATGAATCTTAAAAAAAATGAAGAATATAGTGGGAAGTGTTGTGTGACAAGTTTATCATGGAGAGGTAGCCAGGGTCCAGTCAAGCAAGGCCTTATTAACCATGTGAGGAATTGGACTTTATCCAGTGAACTTTATGCAGTCTTTTTTTTTTTTTAAGGTTTATTTATTTATTTGAAAGGCAGAGTTACAGAGAGGCAGAGGCAGAGAAAGAGAAGTCTTCCTTCTGCTACTTCATTCCCCAAATGGCTGCAATAGCCAAAGCTGGGCTGATCCAAAGCCAGGAGCCAGGAACTTCTTCCAGGTATCCCATATGGGTTCAGGAGCCCAAGGACTTGGGCCATCTTCTGCTCTCTCAGGCTATAGCAGAGAGCTGGATGGGAAGTGGAGCAGTCCGGACTCAAACCGGTACCCACATGGGATGCTGGCACTGCAGGTGGCAGCTTTGTGGTGCTGGCCCCCTTCATTCAGTCTTAAAGAAGCAGAGTGACATCCTTGAATTTCTGTTTTAGAAAGATCCTTCTTGGAGCAGTGTGGACGATGAGTTATAGGGAGACAAAACTGGAGGCTAGTAGTTCAACCTCTTGGCATTAACATAGCTTGGTGGCAGGAACTAAGGCAGTATTGGGGGTTGGAACAGTTAGATGTAGGGCATGAGGGAGAGGGAGCAGTTCAGAACAATGTCTTGGCTTCCAGCTGCTATCTAGGTGAGTAATGGTGCTTTTAGCGAGAAGAGGCTCATGGGAGGAGGATCTGATTTGGGGAGCTGTGGAGGATGTGCTCAGTTTGATCAGGGTGAGTGTGGAACACGAGTGACATGTCTGTAAGGGGTCCCAGTGGGGATGTTAGGGGAGGCAGAGATCTTTAGATACAGGAATAGATGTCTTCAGTGCCCAGCCTTGCATTTGTTCAGCAAATATTTATTGTAAGATCTATCCCAGCCAAGGATATAGCAGTGAACAAAACAGACCTATGTTCTCGTAAGGCTGGCCCTCTGGCGGGAGCAGCTAAGACACCTTGAGGAGGAGGTATATACAATGAGATGATGAAGGGGCCAAGATAAAATCCTGAGCAACATTCAATGTCTAGAGGAGGAAATTTCAAGACACTGATGAAGAGCAGCTTGGAGGTAGGAAGGAAGCCAGACGCGTATGACACCGTATGGGATGCTGGCATGCAGGCAGCAGCTTAACCCACTATCCCACGACACTGGCTCTGTGAGTTGGAATTCTTACCTCATCCCTTGTGTATCGACATTATCTCCAATGTCTTCAGCCAGAGCGTGGTGATGATAATAATGAGAATTAAATGAGCTGGCACCACGGCCCACTAGGCTAATCCTCCACCTAGCGGCGCTGGCACACCGGGTTCTAGTCCTGGTCGGGGCGCCGGATTCTGTCCCGGTTGCCCCTCTTCCAGGCCAGCTCTCTGCTGTGGCCAGGGAGTGCAGTGGAGGATGGCCCAAGTGCTTGGGCCCAGCATCCCATGGGAGACCAGGAGAAGCACCTGGCTCCTGCCTTCGGATCAGCGCGGTGCGTCAGCCGCAGCGTGCCGGCCGCGGCGGCCATTGGAGGGTGAACCAACGGCAAAGGAAGACCTTTCTCTCTGTCTCTCTCTCTCTCACTGTCCACTCTGCCTGTCAAAAAAAAAAAAAAAAGAATTAAATGAGATAATGTTTACAGACTTTCCGAATGACTGCACTTCTCAGCCATTGTGACAACTGACTTCCACATCTTTCCTTCCTCCTAACATTCCTCCTGCCTGCATACTTCAATAAACAGGCAGGATCCTGAAGATGGTACACCCATGGGGTTCTAGATGGGATGCAGAAGCATGGATGTCTGTGGGGCAGTGAGAGGAAGCAGGATATGAGAAAAAAGCTTTGAGATCTGTAGGGAGGTCTGTGCAGTATGGAGTCAGAAAAAACAAGATTCCCTGGTGTCGTAGGCTTTTAGTTTCTTTCCTACTTCCCAACCTGCAAGATGGAAGAAGGAAGCAGGCACCTACAGAAGGGGCACACAGACCTGGAATAGGGAGATGTGAGACTCTGGATCCCTGAGATACTTGACCCAGAAGAGCCCTTACAGAAAGCAAGCTGGGTGCCCTTTCCCTGGGGGAATTGTGGGTTAAATGGTGGCCCCAGAGAAGTGCAGTGAAACCCTGAGAGGTTAATTAATTCCTTGCTGGTACGGTTTCTTAGCCTGATCTCCAAACCTAGAGCTGGTGAAGGGGGAAGCGCCTGATGTCTTCCTTGACTAGGATCCTACTTTCACAGGGGTCCTGGGTGAACAGGACACAGGCAGTACTGACAGAAGTGGAAGGGAGATTGAGACGAGACAAGCCAGGCAGTGGAGGGACTGGCCGGGGTCACCAGCTAACACAGAAGCCATTGTCTCATCCCCGATGAGAGTCAGTCCTTCCACCAGGCAGTGATGACTCCTGTTCTTCCTGGATCTGGAACTGAATTCTTTTGTACAAAAGTGGGAGAAGGAGTAGAAGCAATGGATGTGTCCTTCCCAGGGCCTTACCAAATGTATCGGATTGCAGCAGATCATCCTGAAAGGACGACGATGAGCTTACTCAGCACTTTGATCCAAGTACTTGTTAGATATTTTACATACATTCATCTTACTTAATGTTTACAAAAACCCATGAGGGTGCAGATATCAAAACTGAGTCTCAGAGAAGTTAAGTTGCTTACTTCCCCAGTACGCTGCTTGAGAGTGATGCAGCACATTTGAGCCAGGGCTCTTTTTTTTTTTTTTTTCCTCATTTTTTAAATTTTTTGACAGGCAGAGTTAGAGAGAGAAAGAGAGAGAAAGACAGAGAGAGACAGAGACAGAGAGAAAGGTGAGCCAGGGCTCTTTGATATACCCAGACTTCTGGTTTAAACTGCTCTATGCTTTCTTCCCACTTCTCCTAAGCTGCCTCATCTTTCATACAACTGACCCTGGAGCTGAAGGCCGTGTTCTGCAGTGGCCCGAGGTATGTATGGTCCCCAGCAAAACTGAGTGGCCAGAGGGCTGGCAGCATCTTTCTCAAGTGAACAAACGGAAATCTCTGGCTGGTGTGTCGTAGTCTTAGGACCACTGTGGCCCTGACAGTGTCAGCAGGTGGTGGTCTGAGCCAGATGTGCTTCCCAGGTTTGGTCTGGTAGACCTCTCTTTCCAAGTGATGGGTGGGCACCTTCACATCAAAACTAGAAGGGGTCTCGGGAATCATTTGCCTCACCTTTCATTTAAATGAGGAGAACTGATGCCCTCCGAGGGAGGAGAATGACCAGAAAACAGTGTCCATGAAGTTCCAGGTGCAGAAGTCCAGCAGTTCCCAGAGGACTGCTTCAATCCCTGCCTTCTCGACCTTTCCATTAATGGTTTGCCGCCTGTGTTGGTAACAAACACCTGAGAGAAGCTACTTAGGAAGCAAGAGGTTTATCTCAGCTCATGGTTTTAGAGGTTCACAGTCCAAGACCAGGTGACCCCACTGGTCTGATCAGGGCAGTGGATGGTGGATTGCATCCAGGGGAAGAATCGCGTGGGGAGCCCGGAAGCAGTGAGACAGGGAGCAGGCTCCTGTTGTATGGCCATGTGTGTCTTTAAAAAGCCGCCATGATTCAATCCTGGGCCCCACCCAGCAACTTAATTGAGTCACTTTCTGAAGGCCCACCTTTAAATACTACAGTTGGATGAAGTCTCTACCCTTAACCCCTTACCTATTAACATAAGACTTTGGGCACCAAATCCCTAGCACATAAGGCTGATATCCAAACTATAACACTACTTGTCTCATAATTACTAGGAAAATTCATTTGTTACTGCCCATGGGCCTATAGAGTGGCTGCAGGATGGAGTTTAGCTCTCCTTATGTGTCTAAGCAGAGCACTCAACATTCAGGAGAGAATATAGGGATACATCTGGACTCAAAATTTTGGAAAATCGAGAGCTTGCAGAACCCTGCGAGTGTCCATCAAGGTTCTATAACTTCCTCTTTTCTTAGGACTCCTCACTCTTTCTTGGCCCAGGGGCATTTTTTGTCTGTATGTTTTATTAAATTTCAGGTGAGTAGACCTCCTTGACTTTTTAAGAAATTTTTATTTATTTATTTATTTATTTGAAAATCAGAGTTATAGAGAGAGGGAAAGACAGAGCAATCTTCCATCTGCTGGTTTACTCCCCTGATGGGTGCAAAGGCTGAGGCTGGGCCAGGCTGAAGCCAAGAACCAGGAGCTTCTTCCAGGTCTCCTACATGGGTAGCATGGGCCCAAGCCCTTGGGACATCTTCTACTGTTCTTCCCAAGCCATTAGCAGGGAGCTGGATTGGAAGTGGAGCAGCTGGGACATGAACCGATACCCATATAGGATGCTGGCATTATGGGTGATAGCTTCACCCACTATGCCACAACATCAGCCCCCTCCCTTGACTTTTTTCCAATAAATTTGTAATAGTTCCTTTTTTTATTTAGTTGAAAGGCTAAGTTACAGAGAGCGAGAAGCAGAGGCAGAGATAGAGAGAAAGTAAGGTCTTGGGGCTGGTGCTGTGGCATAGTGGGTAAAGCCACTGCCTGCAGTGCCAACATCCCATGTGGGCGCCAGTTCAAGTCCTGGCTACTCCTCTTCTGATCCAGCTCTCTGCTATGGCCTGGGAAAACAGTGCAAGATGGCCCAAGTCCTTGGGCCCCTGCACCTGCGTGGGAGACCCGGAGGAAAACCTTGGCTCCTGGTTTCTGATTGGCACAGCTCTGGCCATTGCAGCCAACTGTGGAGTGAACCAGCAGATGGAGGACCTCTCTCTGCCTCTCCTTCTCTCTCTGGAACTCTTTCAAATAAATAAATAAATCTTTAAAAAAAGGTCTTCTATTCCTTGTTTTGCTCCCCAACTGGCTGCAACAGCTAGAACTGGGCCGATCTGAAGCCGGGAGCCAGAAGTCTATTCCCAGTCTCCCATATGGGTGCAGGGGCCCAAGTACTTGGGCTATCTTCCACTGCTTTCCCAGGCTATAAGCAGGGAGCTGGATTGGAAAAGGAGTAGCCGGGACTAGAACCTGTGCCTGTATGGGATGCTGGCACTGCAGGCAGTGGCTTTACCCACTACACCACAGCACTGGCCCCAGTAGTTCTTTATGTAGGCCAGGTGCCTAAGTTATAGCTGTGGATAGCAGTTTCCATATTTACTTTTCATAGTCAGCTTAGGGCCTCGTCTACCACGGCCATGGCTAGGATTTTACTGGGCTCTAACAAAGCATTCACGTCCAGGCACATGGCAGGGTAATTCCATCAGAGCTGAAGTAGGAATGTCATCTCTCATTCTCTCCTCTTCTCCCTCTAAGCTACTCAGCCCTAAACCAGGTGTGTTCCAGTTTCCTCTACTACATGTGTCTCAACCTGCTCTCAGCTCCAGAGAAGACAGGACCACCTTCCCAAGAAGGTAAAATGCTGTGATTTGACCACTAGTGAGGTCTGTGAGGTCTTTAGCATCTGGATGTCTCTGATTGTCTGGAAAGTGAGTCAGTACAGTAATCTCTTGGCTTGAAGCTGCCCAGAGGAAGCATGGAATCATGGAATGATAGAACTAATGGCTTATTACTAGCGACGTGAAATAATGAACCAGAAAATGCTGGAATCTAAGGCTGCTGGCAGCTGAGACTGCAAGAGTTGAGAAGGACCCTAAGGCCCACCAAGTCTAGTTCCTCCCTCCCAGCCATCTCCCCCGCAATACCCCCACCCCAGGGACCTTGCTGTCTGCCATTTACCTGGAAAGTCCGGAGCTCACTGTAGCTTGAACAGCTTGTTCTATTTCTTGGATCATTCATTCAAGAGGTATTTCTTGAGCATCTGTGGATACCAGATTGAGTTTCAGGTGCTGTGCAAAAGTTATTGAGACAAAGTCTTGCTCTCCTGGAGGAAGATGGTCAGGCAGAACACAAATAGATACAATGTCAGGGCGGCCAGGTGGTATGAAAGAAAGAAAACCAGGCAGAGAGACAGAGGGGGACAGAGGGACGGAGGTACATTCTAGGTAGGGGCTCAGGGAAAGCTGCCGTGAGGAGGAGAGATCAAAGGAACGTTGCTCAGAATCCAGGCAAGAGGACCAGGTGCAGGGCTGAGGGCGGGAGTTTTCCCTTTTGTTGAGTATTCATGGATCCTTTGCTGCACGCAGGGGAGGCCTGGGCACTGCTGTGTACACAGTGCTGATTACACTGTGTTCTCTGCCCTGAGGAGTTCCTCTGTGGTAGAATCCACTTTTGGTATAAAACAACTTAGTCGTTGCTCTATTCATTCAACAAACATTATACCTTCTCTGTGGGTAAGACTTGGTGCTCTGTTTCCTGTCTTACATTTGTGAAGGTGCGGTCATCTCCCCCTCCTCCCCAAACCTCCCTTTCTTCTTTTGTCTTTCTCAGACACTGCGCTGAGAGAGACAGAAGCCCAGGTGAGCGTTTCTGTGCTCCTGGCGTGGCTTGACTCCTGGTCTCCTCACTGCATCAACCACTGCTCTGCCTGTGAGGCATGGTCTGCCCTGCAGAGCAAAGAGCCTGAGACGGTTGGCAGCCACATCACAGGGCCTCTGGGGGTCCTGAATGGCAGCTGCCCCGCTGCTGGCAGCTCCTGTGCTTGTCAGAATGAGAGGAGTTCCACCCAGCTGCCGTCTGGGCGCTGAGACCTTGTCCGCTGCTCAGGAACAGCAACAGACCTCGCTCGCAGACTGCGTCCTTTTATGTATCAGAGGAGAGGGCACCTGCACGTGCTGGGCTCCAGGATGTCTTTCTCTTTATTATCATATTGGGCAGAGTGTGCCTTTAGTGGGAGAAGCACTGAATTTGCAGTTGGGAGACTCGTCCTGGCTCTGCTACCAAAGTGCTCTGGGACGTCCCCCATCCTCAGCCCTCACTTGCCCAGGACTTGGCCCTGGATCCACTGCCTTTGCAGCGTACTTGGCCCTGGATCCACTGCCTTTGCAGCGTGGACCCTTTCAGTTGACCTCCAACCCGGGTCCTTACTTTCAGTCTCATCCTCCAGCCGGTCTCTCTCACTGCTGGAAGGATCTGTCTGAAAACCAAGTCTTAACACTTAAGTCCTCCAGCCTCCCACTGCCGTCCCCACACGCCAGACGGTGGAGCAGTGTCAGACAGTGGTGGAGTTTTCTGCAGTTTGTGTTGAAATGTAGAAAATGAGGGTCATAGGGTGAGTTTTCCATAGAGTTGACTTTATTCAAGTGTTAAGCTCTGAGGGTCCTTTTCCTTCCTATTCTTTGGGTATTAAAATATCCGTTCTGTTATGGAACAGAGGATTCATAAGAATCTGTCTTCAGGACAAAACCCAAATGCTTCAAGCATCATTCAAGGGCTGTCATAGTCTAGCTGTGAAATATGTCCCACAGTTCTGCAGCTCCTGACCTCACGTTTTTTCACCGGCCACACTGAACAGAAACGTGATGACGTGTCCTCACGTGACTCCGCACCTGAAAACACTGACTCCCATCCCCTGAATCTTCTTCCTTCCCTTCTCTACCCGTTCTCTGCTCACCCTCCACAGTGCACGCGTTGAGCCGCCCTCCCCACCCTAGTCACTCCCTTCTCCACAGTGACACACAGCACTGACCACGCATCCTGCAAACCATCTGTCTCATCATCCGCCTCTTCCTCCCAGCACCTGGAGATGGGGGGGTGGGGTGCCTCTAGCCGCACAGTAAACCTAAGTCAAATGGAAGTGTTTCTGAGATGTATCGGAGTCCTTCCACATGTTAACTGTAGTTTTCCTGATAGAGTGAAAGCTGCCTAAAGGGGAAAGAAGTCCTCTAGTTCCCTCCCTACTGCTTGTGCCCTTGCTGCCCAGTGCAGTACTCTCCGCGTAGTGGGTACTGCTGTGCCCATTACCTGCTTTCTGCTGTTCTCGGCGTGACTTTGCCCTGCCTGGTCCCTCCCAGAACTCTCTGCAGTGTCTGAGATCCTGCAGCACAGGCTGCCCCAGATAAGCAGCAGAAACCTTGAGAGCCTGGCCTTCCTGTCCGATCGCCAGTATGTGGAGGGAGCAGCTCGCCAGAGACAGTACTGCATCCTGCTCCTCTTCTACCTGGCCTACATCTACGAGGACAGGTCAGTGCTCAGAGCTGTGGCTGCTGCTGGGTCCTCCAGCCTCACCTACATCCCAGTTGGTTCAGTTCTAACTCACAGAGCTATCCTCTCCGAGCCTGGTGCTAAGCAGTGGGGACCCAAACTAAGTGAGCAATGGGTCGCGTTCCTGAGGCTCCTGTCTTGTAAAACACAGTGCTGAGACACAGAGGCCTAGAATATTTTTTTAAAGATCTATTTTATTTATTTGAAGGACAGAGTTACAGAGAGAGGTAGAGACAGAAAAAGAGGTCTTCCATCGAATGGTTCACTCCCCAAATAGCCACCAAAGGCCGCAGCTGGGCCAATCTGAAGCCAGGAGCCAGGAGCTTCTTCCGGGTCTCCCATGTAGATGCAGGGGCCCAAGTACCTGGACCATCTTCCACTGTTATCCCAGGCCATAGCAGAGAGCTGAATCGGAAGAGGAGCAGCCGGGACTAGAACCAGTGCCCATATGGATTGCAGCACTTCAGGCCAGAGCTTTAACCTGCTGCACCACAGTGCCAGCCCTACAGGGGCCTAGAATATTAATGAGTGTTCTTTAGTATCCTTGAGGGTGTTGTTTGTACACAGAAAAAAAAAAGCTTCAGGGGCTGGCACTGTGGCATAGCAGGTAAAGCCACCACCTGCAGTGCTGGCATCCAATATGGGCGCTTGTTTGAGTCCCAGCTGCTCCACTTCCAATCTAGCTCTCTCGTGTGGGAGACCCAGAAGAAGCTCCTCAAAGATTTATTTATTTAGCTTGAAAGAGTTACAGCAAGACAGGGAGAAACAGAAAGAAAGATCTTCCATCTGCTGGTTCACTTCCTAGATGACTGCAACAGCCAGCATTGGGCCAGACAAAGCCAAGAGTCAGGAGCTTATTTTGGGTCTCCCGCATGGGTGGCGGGGCCTAGATACTTGGGCCATCATCTTCTGCTCTTCCCAGGCTATTAACAGGGAGCTGGGTTGAAACTGGAGCAGCTGGGATATAAACCGGTGTCCATATGGGATGCTGGCATCGTAGGCAGTGCGTCTTCACCTGCCACGCTACAGTGCTGGCCTACCCACCAGTGGTATCTTAACCACTATGCCAAATGCCTTGGGTATCTGTTCATGCTGCATATGTCTAAATGATCTACCTTATTTTTTTCAGTAGCTGCTGTAACGTTTATAGTATGTGTTAGTATAGTTAGTATTCATTTCATTTTTTAAATAAAAATTTTATTTTGGAGTATTTTTAGATTTACAGAAAAGCTTCAAAGAATATAGAGAGTTTTCTTACACTTCTTACCCATTGTCTCCTTATAATAACATAACTATGGTACGTTTATCAAAACCAAGAAATCAATATTGGGATCAGCATGGTACTGTGTTTTAAGCTATTGCTTGTGATGCTGGCATCCCATATGAGAACTGGTTAGAGTCCTGGTTGCCCCACTTCCAATACAGCTCCCTGCTTATGTGCCTGGGAAAGCAGTGGAAGATGGTCTAATTACTTGGGCACCTGTACTCATGTGGGAGACCTGGATGGAGTTCCAGGCTCTTCTGTCTGGCCCAGCCCTGGCTGTTGTGGTTATTTGGAGAGTGAACCAGTGGATAGAAGCCTCATTCATTCTCTCTCTGTCTCTCTGCTTCCCTCCCTCCCTCTCTGTTGGTGATTCTGCCTTTCAAATAAATAAATAAACCTTTTTTATATATATAAAAGAAATCAACATTGGGGCTGGCACTGTGGTGCAGTAGGCTAAGCCTCCACCTGTGGCGCCAGCATCCCACATGGCCGGTTTGTGTCCTGGCTGCTTCTGTCCAGTCCAGCTCTCTTGCTTACAGCTTGGGAAAGCAGTGGAAGATGGCCCAAGTGCTTGGGCCCCTGCACCCACAGGGGAGACCAGAAGCAGCTGCTGGCTCCTGATGGGCGCAGCTCTGGCCGTTGCAGTCATTTGGGAGTGAACCAGCAGAGGGAAGACCTTTTCTTCTGTCTTTCCCTTTCTCTATCTGTAACTCAATCTCTCAGATAAATAAATAAATAAATGTTTTTAAAAATCAACATTGGTAAGTTACTGTTATCTCAACATTACTCATATTTCCTCAGTTTTTCCTTTACTGTCCCTTTTCTGTTCCAGGACACAGACCAGGATACCACGTGGCATTTGGTATTATTCATTTTAAAATGCTCATTTCTCTTTTCTGTTCTGAACCTTATTGTCCAGAAATACCCATGACAGAAAATTCAGTAGGATAGAAGTACATATAGTGCAAAATCAGTCTGTTTCTCTCCTGATCTGCCTTGGGTGGATAAGCATAGACCATCACCACCACAGAAAGTAGCCAGTTGAACACATGACTGTTTCATAATAGATTTAAGAAGAGGCCGGCTCACTAGGCTAATCCTCCGCCTTGTGGCGCCGGCACACCGGGTTCTAGTCCCGGTCAGGGCGCCAGATTCTGTCCCGGTTGCCCCTCTTCCAGGCCAGCTCTCTGCTGTGGCCCAGGAGTGCAGTGGAGGATGGCCCAGGTGCTTGGGCCCTGCACCCCATGGGAGACCAGGAGAAGCACCTGGCTCCTGCCATCGGATCAGCGCGGTGCGCCGGCCGCGGTGGCCATTGGAGGGTGAACCAACGACAAAAGGGAAGACCTTTCTCTCTGTCTCTCTCTCTCACTGTCCACTCTGCCTGTCGAATAAAAATGAAAAAAAAAGAAGAGAGTAGTGGACTGACTGCCAAAACAGTGCCTCCGGAGCCCCAGAGCAGCACCCTTCTCTTCGGTGGTGCTGCTCCAGTTGGCAGATAACCCACCTCCTAGTGTGTGTGAGGAATTGCTGGCTGTAATGGAGCCTTGCACAAGACATAGAGCCATGTGATGTAGATGTGTGACAATTCTTTGTGCATGGTATTATTTGCTAAGGGCATGCTGGGACAGGACAGTGGACTGAGGAAGGATGTGTCCAGGCAGGACAAGAGAGCCCACTGGCCTGCCAGCTCTACCATTCTCACTCTGGCTTTCCTTGGTTGACAGGTTTGTCTCAAAGGCTGAGTTATCTGTGGCTGTGCAGAGCTTCCTCCTGTCCCTGCAGGACCAGGGCGAGTGCCCTCCACTGATTGTCCTCAAAGCCTCCATCTACCTGCTTGCGATCTGCCAGGACCAGGACAGTGCGCTGGATGAGGTGAGAACCACATGCCTGGGGCTCCTCCTCCTCCCGCGCCTCTGTACACTAACGTTCCTTAGGAGACCACGAGGATATATGTGACAAGGTAAGGGGTGTCGGAGAGAGACAGTTGGTGATGTTAGGGGAGCAGAGAGGAATAGGGAGCCTACGTAACTTACCTTGTTCTCTCCGCAGTCCTGGGAGGCAGAGATAATCATTTCAGTTTTTAGATAAGCAAATGGAGCCTGAGGTTAAAGTAACTTTCTGTAGGTCACACAGTTAATAGATGGGGGCCAGGAGTCTGACTCAGGCATGACTGACTCCCAAGACTCTGTGGTTTGTTCGGGAGAGAATTGTGAGGTAGTATATCTCCTTCTGGTAGCGGTTTAGGAACAGAGTGGATTTCTAGGGCCCAGGTCATTATTAATTAGGTTAATCTTGGTATTTAAAAATTTTTATAGTCTGGCGCCGCGGCTCACTAGGCTAATCCTCCACCATGCGGCACCGGCACACCGGGTTCTAGTCCCGGTCGGGGTGCCGGATTCTGTCCCGGTTGCCCCTCTTCCAGGCCAGCTCTCTGCTGTGGCCAGGGAGTGCCGTGGAGGATGGCCCAAGTGCTTGGGACCTGCACCCCATGGGAGACCAGGAGAAGCACCTGGCTCCTGCCTTCGGATCAGCGCGGTGCACCGGCTGCAGCACACCGGCCGCGGCGGCCATTGGAGGGTGAACCAACGGCAAAGGAAGACCTTTCTCTCTGTCTCTCTCTCTCTCACTGTCCACTCTGCCTGTCAAAAAAAAAAAAAAATTATGTATTTATTTTCATTTTATTTGAAATATAGGGAGGGAGAGAGAGAGAGAGAATAAGAGAGAGAAGGAGACAGACTGAGAGAGAAGTCTGCCATCCTCTGGTTCACTGCCCCAATGCCCAACCCCTCATGGCCAGGCCAAGCTGAAGTCAGGAACCCAGAATTCAATACAGATATCCCATGTCGGTGGCCAGGAACCAAGTACCTGCTATCTACTAGGGTGCACATAATCAGAAACTGGAATTGGAAGCAGAGTCGGGGGTCAATGTGGAATGTGACATCTCAAGTGGTGTCTTAACCACTATACTAGTCGTCCACCCTGTACTTGGAGTGGTTTGGTGGTAGCTGTGTGTGTACAAGTTTCCTCTCTCCAGTCTGCAAACTCTTGGGGATCAGGGATTCCTCATAAACGTCTCATTTACTTCCTAGAAGATCGCTTCGCCTCCTTCGCGCTCTCAGCCTTAACTGAGGATGCTCTTCCTTGCTATTAGTTTTGCCTGTTTGGTCACTCTCGGGCAACTGTGATGGGAGCACACCTGGTTTAATTCGAATGGAAGCGGGAAGGTGTGGTGAAGGGCGTGGGCTTCCCGGTAGACACCTGGGCGCACAAATTCCTGAGGCTTCTCTTTCTGGGATGCTAGCAGCCACCAGTGACCATTGCCCGGCCCATGTGTTCGCTAGGGGCTGTAACTAATACTATCCTGCCACCTTCTCTTTGCTTCTGAACTGGAGTAACTGTATAAAAGGAAGCTTTCTCTTAACTCTGAAGGATAGATTGTATAGGAAATATGGATTTTTCCTTTTAGTTAAAATAAGTTTGTGTGGGGAGTTCTGGCACAGCCGATTGATATTGAGTCCCACCCCGCTTCCTGCTGGTGTGCACCCTGAGGGGCAGCAGATGATGGCTCAAGTACTTGGGTCCCTGCCACCCATGTGAGAGACTTGAATGGAGTTACTTCTGGCTTTGGGCTGCCTCAGCCCCAGCTGTTGCACCTCTCTCTCCCTCTCTCTCTGCCTTTCAAAAAATTATATAATTTTAAAAAGAACATGCTTGAAAATGAAATCAAGAAAACAATTCCATTTGCAGTAGCATCAGGAAATGAAATACTTGGAGTGGACTTAACCAAAAGAGTATAAGGACTTACAAAGTAAAATTTCAAAACATCCTTACTTTCTTTAAAAAATTAAAGAAGACCTAAATAAATAAACGTTTGTACTCATGAATTGGGAAATATAGTAGTGTTAAGATGGCAATACTTCCCTAACTGATCTGCAGACCCAGTTCAATCCCTATCTGAATCCAAGCTTCTCCCTTTTTACAGAAATGAATAAGCTGGTCCTAAAATTCTTATAAATAAAAGTGACCCAAAATATCCAAAATAATCTTGAAAAAGAAGAACAGATTAGATAACTAGATAACTAGATAACTGCAGGGTTTTGTTTGTTTGTTTATTTGTTTTTTTGACAGGCAGAGTTAGACAGTGAGAGAGAGAGAGAGACAGAGAGAAAGGTCTTCCTTCTGTTGGTTCACTCCCCTAATGGCCGCTACGGCCGGCACGTTGCGCCAGTGCGAAGCCAGGAGCCAGGTGCTTCTTCCCAGTCTCCCATACAGGTGCAGGGACCCAAGCACATGAGCCATCCTCCCATCCTCCGCTGCCCTCCTGGGCCACAGCAGAGAGCTGACTGGAAGAGGAGCAACTGGGACTAGTACCCGGTGCCCCAACTGGGACTAGAACCTGGGGTGCTGGCGCTGCAGGCGAAGGATTAGCCAAGTGTGCCATGACGCCGGCCCTGCAGGTTTTTTTTTTTTTTTTTAAGATTGATTTATTTATTTGAAAGAGTTCCAGAGATAGAGGGAGAGGCACAGTGAGAGACATCTTCTGTCCACTGGTTCACTTCCCAGGTGACCGCAACGGCCAGGGCTGGGTCAAGCCAAAGCCAGGAGCCAGGAGCTTCATCTGGATCTCCCATGTGGGTTGCAAGGGCCCAAACACTTGAGCCATCTCCTGTTGCTTTCCCAGGTCATTAGCAGGAAGCTGGATTGGAAGTGGAGCAGCAAACCAGCGCCCATATAGGATGCCAGTGTTGCAAGCAGCAGCTTTACCCGCAACACCATAGCACCATCCCTACACACTGTTTTATTTCAAAACTTACCCAAAAGCTACATTACTATGGGTAGTTTGGTCAATTGATTTTTTAGAAGATTTATTTATTTATTTTAAAGAGTTACACAGAGAGAGCAGAGGCAGAGAGAGAGAAAGAAGTCTTCCATCCAATGGTTCGCTCCCCAGTTGGCCACAACGGCCAGAACTGCGCTGATCTGAAGCCAGGAGCCAGGAGCTTCTTCTGGGTCTCCCATACGGGTGCAGGGGCCCAAGGACTTGGGCCATCTTCTACTGCTTTCCCAGGCCATAGCGGAGAGCTGGGTCGGAAGTGGAGCAGCCAGGTCTCAAACTGGCGCCCATGTGGGATGCCGGCACTGCAGGCCAGGGCATTAACCCGCTGAACCACAGCACTAGCCCCTGGTCAATTGATTTTTTTCAAGATTTGTGCAGAGTTACAGAGAGAAGGAGAGACAGAGAGAGAGGTCTTCCATCTACTGGTTCACTCCCCAAATGGCCACAACGGCCGGAGCTGAGCTGCTAAAGCCAGGAGCCAGGAGCTTCCTGCAGGTCTACCACACGTTCAGGGGCCCAAGCACATGGGCCATCTTCTACTGATTTTCCAGTCCACAAGCAGCAATCTGGATCAGAAGAGGAGTTGCCAGGACACATATGGGATGCTGGCACAGCAGGTGGAGGCTTAACCTATTATGCCACAGAGCTGGCCCTAAGGACAATTGATTTTTTGTTTATTTTTATTTCCTTAAGAGTCTGAGAGAGGCCGGTGCTGTGGCTCACTTGGCTAATCCTCCGCCTGCGGTGCTGGCACCCCAGGTTCTAGTCCCAGTTGGGGCGCCGGTCCTGTCCTGGTTTCTCTTCTTCTTGTCCAGCTCTCTGCTGTGGCCCGGGAGGGCGGTGGAGGATGGCCCAAGTGCTTGGGCCCTACACCTGCATGGGAGACCAGGAGGAAGCACCTGGCTCCTGGCTTCGGATTGGCACAGTGCGCCAGCCGTAGCAGCCATTTGGAGGGTGCACCAACGGAAGGAAGACCTTTCTCTCTGTCTCTCTCTCTCTCTCACTCTCTAACTCTGCCTGTTAAAAAAAAAAAAAAAGAGAGAGAGAGAGAGAGAGAGAATTTACTTCATCCACTGATTCATTCCCCCAAATGCCTGCAATAACTAGGGCTGGGCCAGGTAAAAACCAGGAGCCTGGAACTCAATCCAGGTCTCTCACATGTGTGCTAGGGACCAAAGTACTTGAGTCATTACCTTCTACCTCCCAGGGTATGCATCAGCAGGAGGCTGGAATCAGGAGCAGAGCCAGGACTGGAACCAAGCGCTCCGATATGGGGGCCAAGCCAGTTCCCTGGGGGAAAGAATAGTCTTTCCAACAAACTCACAGGGACCCTGGATATCCACACGCAGAGGAGTAAAGTTGGGCTCTTACATATTAACACAGAAATGGATCAAAACTGTGAAACTCCTAGAATAGCAGACTCAGGAACTTGAAAATTCTGTGTGCAATGGGAAGAGATGGGCTTTTGAGAGTTAATGCATGAATCAACACCTTTCTCCTTCACCCCTTCTATGTCAGGCCCTGTGCGGGTACGCAGAGTAATCTGCCATGGTTCCTGCCCTCAAGCAGCCTTCAGGCTAGTGTGGAGGTAGATACAAGCCAATACGCTGTTAGTGTCCTTGCAGAGCTATGTTTCTCAGCCTTGGCACTTTTAACATTTGGCTTCCTGTGTGCTGTGGGATATTTAACAGCACCTCTGCAGTCTGCCCACTAGGTGCCAGTAGCACTCCCACAAAGAAGATCAAGAAGGTCTCCCTGCTTTGCCAAATGTTGCATGAGGAGCAAAATCACCCCTGGTTGAGAACTGCTGTTGTAAGCGCAGTGGGGATTTCTCACTAAAGTGCCGTATGACGAGCCAGTGAAGGTGTCCTGGAATACTAGATGCAAGCACATTTTTCCCTGTCCCGCCTCAGCCTTGCTGGGCCTCTCGAGCCCTCTGCAGGGTGTGTTTAGCTCCTTGCTTTCCTTTGCTTCCAGGTGGTGGTCAGTGCAATCAGAAAATTCCTGGAAGGCATCGTGGACCTGCACCTGGTCTACACCCACCACCCACTCCTTCTCAGGTTCTTCCTGCTGTATCCAGAGCTGATGAGTAGGTTTGGGCAGCGTGTTCTGGAACTGTGGTTCTCCTGGGAAGATAGCAGCTGTGAGGAACTGGATGACGTCCCCAGTGCTGGGCATCCCGCCCTTCCTGCCAGCCTAGCAGCTCTGTTCCAGACGCTCAGAAGCAGCCCCAGCATCCTGCTCATTTTGCTAGTAAGTGACCGCTGGCTCTTCGGCATTCGGAGGTGGTGGGCTTTCCCTCTCAGGGAGCCAGTTTACTGAGGTTAGGAGGTGCCAAAGCTGCTTCGGCCCTGGACCGAGCCCTGTCTCCACGAGTGAGAGGTCCTTCCTATCCATAGGTGCCTGGTTTCTGTAAATCCAGTGCCTTTCCTAAGTCGGTGGATATCTACCCACTGAGAGACTGGAACCTCTCCACTCCCCAGGGCATAGAACTCTAATGTGTGGAACTCAGTCACCATCCCCTCTCACCTCCCTGTCCTCTTCAAACGGATTCTGCTAACAAGGTTTGAATGTTAAAGGACACCCCTGGGGCATAGACAGAGATGTCTGACTGCAGAGGGACTTGGCCTCTTTTCTTCCATGGCTTTCATGATAATATTACATTCACAGAACACTCCCTCATGCATGCCTTGAACTGCTGGAAACCCCAGTGTTTCTTTATGAAATAAATATTACTGTAATTCCCATCAGGTACATCAGTTAGGTAAGGTAGACTGCCTATTTTGTGCATTTTTAAAGAGATATATAAGATATATTTATTTATTTGAAAGGTAGAGTTACAGAGAGAGAAAGATCTTCCATTCAGTGGTTTGCTCCCCGTATGGGTACATGGCTGGAGGTGGGCTGATCCGAAGCCAGGAGCCAGGATCTTCTTCCAGGTCTCCCACGTGGGGTGCAGGGGCCCAAGGACTTGGGCCATCTTCTGCTGCTTTCCCAGGCACATTTTCAGGGAGCTGGATTGGAAGTGGAGCAGCCAGGACTTGAATCAGTGCCAGTATGGAATGCCAGTGCTGCAGATTGTAGCTTTACTGGCCATGCCACAGTGCTGGCCCCATATTGTCTGTAATTTCTTTCTTTTTCTTTCTTTTTTTTTTTTTTTTTTTGACAGGCAGAGTTAGACAGTGAGAGAGAGAGAAAGGTCTCCCTTCCATTGGTTCACCCTCCAAATGGCTGCTATGGCCGGAGCACTGCACTGATCCGAAGCCAGGAGCCAGGCGCTTCTTCCTGGTTTCCCATGGGGTGCAGGGCCCAAGCACTTGGGCCATCCTCCACTGCACTCCCTGGACACAGCAGGGGGCTGGCCTGGAAGAGGGGCAACCGGGACAGAATCCGGCGCCCCGACCGGGACTAGAACCCGGTGTGCCAGCGCCACAGGCAGAGGATTAGCCTAGTAAGCCACAGCGCCGGCCTTGTCTGTAATTTCTAACACATTGGCTTTAATGCCACCTTTTTTTCCTCTTCCACTCAGAAAAGCACATTGGAAACAAATTAGAGTGACATTTTTAAAGAGGTAACTGCTGTAATTCCTATGTCTTTTTTAAAGAAAATCATGTGGGGCTGGCACTTTGGCACAATAGGTTAATCCTCCACCTGCAGCGCCAGCATTCCACATGGGCGCCAGTTCTAGTCCTGGCTGCTCCTCTTCTGATGCAGCTCTCTGCTATGGCCTGGGAAAGCAGTAGAAGATGGCCCAAGTCCTTGGGCCCCTGTACCTACGTGGGAGACTTAGAGGAAACTCCTAGCTCCTGGCTCTGGCTGTTGCAGCCATTTGGGGAGTGAACCAGCATATGGAAGACCTTTCTCTCTGCCTCTCCCTTTCACTGTCTGTAACTCTACCTCTCAAATAAAATCTTTAAAAAGAAAAATCATGTGCACATTTGACATTTTGTAGTTAGAGAATACTAGTAGCAGGTCCCAAACTTATTGCAACACATAGTGTAGGGGCCCCTTCGTTTGGTTTAGATCCACTGCCATCAGAGCCAGTTACGTACTGAGCACCCCAGTCCAAGGAGAACACAGTCCGTTCAAGAAGAGGAGAGATCCTTTGATGCTCTTGACATCAACAAGCACAGTGTTCTGATTTTACTGAAGTGACTGTGGTAGCAGTAACACCTGCATATTAACACTCCATGTCGTTAGATAGCTTTATCTATCCACAGACACAGACATACACAGAAGGGCACACACACGTGCTCCCCATGCAGACTTAAATCTTCCCCTGTCATTTCTGATCTCTGTTGTCTTGTAAAGTGCATACATTGGCTTGGTATGGGCTCAGATTCTTTCTCACAGGAGGATTAAAGGGAAAGGAATGGGTTAAAAATGAACCATTAGTGCACAGGGGAAGGCAAGATGGGTGCCAGAGTGGCCAGAGCTAAGATAATCAGTTGTGTGTTTGTTGTGTGTGTGTTTTGGCCAGATGAAATATTCAGGGCCAGTTCCTCATGCATAGTAGGTACTTTGAAATATCTTCACTGAAATCAGGGACTGGAGTGATTGCCCCATCCTTTATCCCTGTGGCCTAGGGCCTGTGCTTGAGTGAGGACCATCCTCGTCAGCTCTTCTTTGTGGAGGGGCGAGGTCAGGGCAGAGAGGAGTCTGTGTCTCCCCTGACCAGGAACTCGGCAGGAAGAAGCTGCCTTCAGGGCTGGTTGAGCACAGAGGCCTCAGAAGGAGGCTTCCCTGACTCCAGTCTCCTTAGGTGCAGAGTGGAGATACCATGAGGATGGAGGAGAGGTATGGAGGAATTCTCTGGCTGTGTTGCACCGTTCGCTTTCACTCGTTTTCAGCGGCTTTGACTCCTAACCATGGGAAGTTCATTTTGGGGAGGCTAATTGAATTGCCCAAGGTCATATAGCTAATCAGGGTCATGGCTGTGACTGGAGCTCAGGGTTAATGAGTTTTCACTAAGTTGGATCCTAGAAACACCAGTGTAGGACAAAAAAAAGAACAGCAAGGAACAATTTTGTTGTCTGTTCAAATATATAATTTCTACCATTTCTCACCAGCTTCCAGCCACAGGAGGGAAAAAGAATCTAAAAATACTTGTTGGTACCAATTTCTGATTTTGATGTGGGTAATTAACAGCTGCAAACAAAGCTGTTAATTGCCATTCTTATCAATGGGTGGTCTTTCGTGTAGGTTGTTTAGATGTGAAAAACAGTGCTGTCACAGGAGCTCTGTTGGTTCCCTGCTTGACCAAGTCACCTCAGAGAGTTCTAGACAGCTCTGGACAGCAGAGACTGCAGGGTGGGCCCTGGTTCTGTCCAAAGCCCTCCCACTAACCCATGAACATATGCTTTCCCACGGCATTCACCACGGCCACCAGGGGCTGAGTAGTCCCTTTCCTTGTCACCCTTTAAAGATCATTAGCTTAGGGATGGGTGTTTGGCATAGTGGTTAAGACATCTGTACCCCACATCACAGCGACTGGATTCAGTTCTGAGTGCTGGCTCCTGACTCCACCTTCCTGAAAAAGCAGACCCTGGAAGGTAGCAGTGGTAGCTCAAGGAGTTGGGGTGCTGCCACCCATGTTTCAGACCTGAACTGAGTTGCTGGCTCCTGGATTCAGTCCAGCCCAGGTTTGGCTGTTATAGGCAGTTGGCAAGTGAACCAGCAGATGGGTGCTTGCGTTTCTCTCTGTCTCTGTCTGTTTGTCTGTCTGTCTCTCTTTATCTCTGCTTCTGTAAATTTTTTAAAATCACTAACTCAGTTTTCTGAGGTACAGCTCTATGGTGAAGGATAGTGATGTGCTGGTGAAGGAACAGGACCAGAAAACTGGTTTGGCCTTGTGCCTCGTGTCCTTGGGCAGATCATGCCCCACTCCGGCTTCAGCCTCATACTCTGTAAAGGAAATGGGTTGGATGACTGCTCTTGATTCTCTCTAGCCCTCCTGTTCTGTGATCCTATCCTGCTAGAGGAGTTTTCTAAGCCCTTACAAGGTAACAAAGATAAAACATCTCATCTTTCACTTTCATTAACTCACAGTGTAGTAGAATCTTAACTCCATTACTTTCTTGATAGGCAAACTAATTCATCAGCTTCAGTTTCTTCATTAGAAAAATTGGGGTGGCACCTAATTGGAAGGGTTATTATAAAAGTATGAATAGCATATAAACAAATATACAGCTACCATGTGAACACAGCATAGCACCTGACATTATTAGGCCCTAGCTGAGTGGCTACAACTGATACTAGAATTGTTTCTCCAGCAACCATTGATGCTTGTGAGAGCCAAGCTCAGATGCCCCTTGCTTCCATCCTTCCCTGCCTGCCTTGTGGTCAGCACATCTGGATTTATCTGGCCACATGCCCTGTGGCCATGTCTCTGTGTGTCAGGAGCTGTCCTCCCCAGAGAGGGAGAGGGTCCGAGTGTGACCTTGAGTTCATAGCACCAGTCCTAACTGGCCGGGCGTGTTAGCCTGTCCAAAGGAATTGGCCAGTTTGAGCTGGTAAGTGCCAGGAGCTATCAGTGGAGTAGCAGCTGGTGAAGCTTCTGACTAGTTTTGCCTTTGACGTACACTCAAAAAATAACTCTGGAAGCAAAAATAAAAAGCAATGTCCTCTCCCGTCTTCTGATTCCAGAGCCTATGAGCTTGTGGTGGAAACCAAAGAAGTACGGCAGAGAAGGGGCCTGACCTGGTCCTCACTTCCCTTCCTGTGCCCTGAGTCTATCCTAGCCCATCCTCTCCCTACCCTATGACAGCTCATTCCCTTCTCCTTCTCTTCTCCTGTAAGGCACACTCTGGTACCCTGTGCTGAAAGCAACCTCTTCTTGACCCTAATACTTGCATCTGGAAGAGGGAGGCGTCCGGGGAAGTAGAGGGAGCTGTGGGCTTGGAGCCAGGAGACCTGCATTCACATGCACTGACTGGCTAATGTGACCGACCTTTGGCAAGACATGTCATCTCTCTGAGTTCCCGTCTGGAAAGGACTGTCCTGCGGGATGGTTGTCAGGGTTCGGTGCACCCCGCAGGGCCTTTGGCTCGTAATAGAGCTGAGTCCGTGAGAGTTCACCTAGCTGCTGAGTAGCATCAGTCTACGCCGTCTCTCTGCCCGCTCTCCGCATCCCACCTGTCCCCGACTGTGATGCCCTCTGAGTTCTGGTTTCTTGTCCCCTGCTCAGGACCTCATCTATTCCAGCCCGGTGGACACGGCCCGCAAGGTACTGATTGTCCTGAGGACCTTCCTGCGGAGGAATGAGGATGTGCAAGTGGGCGGCCTCATCCGAGGCCACTTCCTGCTGATCCTGCAGCACCTGCTGGTGGAGCATGGGGCCTCTCCCTCAGGAGGTCAGTCTGCAGGTGCCGTGAGCATATTTTGACCTGAAGGTCTGCCAAGAATGAGCATGTCTGCTCTGCTGAGGTTTGCTCCAGGAGAGAGCATCAGGGTTTTCTCTGAAAAAGGAGTCAGGCCCATGTGGCATCGGGCTAAATAAAGCTCACCTCCTTCCTCTCGCTGGAGAGTGGGCACACAGTGCACTTGCTTTGATGTGTGTGTGGTATTTAACAAGAGTGGGTGTGTTTGTGTATGTGTGCATGCCCCCACCCTGCATGGCGTGTGCCCAGAGCCCAGATTGGGATTGGTTTGTCTTTCTCTAATTTTAGAGAGGCTGAATTTTTAAGTTAAATTTGTCTGAGCAATCAAGAGTGAGTGGGAAGAGATTTGTGGATCACTTGTTCCAGTCCTGACTGAGCTCTGGGGGTTTGAGGATGAATTCAAGTAAAGGAGCCACGTCCTTTGTTTGCAGGGAAAGTGTTACCTGTTTGATAATATTGTTGAAGAACCACAGGACTTATGGAATACAAAGGGGAAAAGCGATGGGCATTGGATTCAGATTCGGGTTCAAGTCCTGGTCCTGTTTCTCAGTCTCTTCAGGCTGTGACAATAGAGTACCATATAGGAGCAGGGGTAAATCCCACACGTCTTTGGAAATAGACAATCAGGTGCTCCCTATTAGCGGTCCTTTATGCTGGGGTGGGGTGCCTGTCCTCTGGGTGCTTTGCACTTCAGGCCCCCTGAGCAGCCCTCCCTGTTCCTCTCAGCCTCGGGGAACCTGCCGCTGCTGCTGAGCCTCCTCTCCTTGGTGCAGCTGAGGAGCAAAGCAGAGCAGGAGCTGGACAGCATGGCCATGAAGCTCCTTCACCAAGGTATGCTGGCAGCTTGGGACAGTGCCCGAGGGCCCAGGCTGGGCACGCAGTGGGGGTACTTGTGTTATGGTTCTTGTGACCTTTCAGATCCCTTTGGAAGTAGCTAGTAGGTCTGATCCTGGGGACTTCTCACCAAGGAGCCCCTTGGAACTTTCCTTGCTTGTTCTCTGGTAATGTTTGGTGACAGTCAAGGAAGCCTGGGCTTGATTTCAGCTTAGTCACTAGCTGTGTGACATTGGGCCTTGGGCTCTTCATAATGAGATCACAGTGCTTTCCTGGTTGAGATAGGAATGCCTGATCCAGCAGGTATAGAATGCCACACAGTGCTCCGTACAGTAGACCTTAAGCAAATCTGTGTACATGCATGAACCCTGGCATAGGGTCAGCTCCCCAGCTCATCCCACAGTTGTCTGTTGGTCCACTCACAGATCTTTAGGTCTCTTTTCTCCACACACCCCCAAGCCTCACTGAGACCTTGTGAATACAGTCTCTACTTCATGGGCAGCTCCCACAGGAAGATTTGTTGAGGGAAGGTTGAGGTGAATAGGAAAGGTTGTGCCGTCAGCATCCTTGGCCCCCCGTGAGGATGGCACATTCACTGCCCGGAGCCCGGTCCTCCTCTCAGGAAGACAAGCATCAAGCTCAGAAAGTGCTTCCAGAGATCACCAGTAGAACCAGCCTTTGCGTGGAGCTGATCATCCACCTGCCTGTCAGACCAGGCTGGGACGGAGATGTGTGTGTGTGACAAAACGGGCCTTCAGAAGGGCCTCTTACTAGGAGGCACAACAGGCCCAGCTCCGTGTGGTGTGTAGTGTGACAGACACTCACACGTCACCCTTGAGTGCGTCCGTGTGAGAGCCCCGGGAGCAGAGCACTGCAGGGGTGGAAATGCCAGGCGGTGGGTGGGGCTGCTGACAGGGTTGACCACAAGCCAATTGGAAGGCAAGAGTGTGTTGTGGTGGCCAAAATGTGAATGAAGACCTGGGTGGGTTTCATACTGGGGTGAGGGTCAGGGAGACGGGGTGGGGGTGGCGGTTCCCAGGAGGAGAGGGATGTGTTCTACTCTGTCTACTCGTCCTTGTAGTACCTGCTGTGATGAGGCTGGAGGAATGCAGACGAGGCACTGAGTCTCGCTTTAAGAGCTTAAGAAGGTCTCATGGGGGAGGAGAACTTTAAGCTAAAAACTTAATTCTAAGAGTTCACAGCCAGATGTGGAGGTGACGTGGGAGAGAATATGGCAAGTGCTGCGAACTGCGCTTCAATTGTGACCTTCTCTTGGGCTGGAATATGTGCCCCCTCACTGGAGGAAGTGAGGGGCTGGATGGTGTCCAGGAGCAAGGACTCCCGCTAAAGGTGGCAGGCTGACCTGATGACCTCTGCAGACCCTTGCTGCCTGGAGTCTGTGCCAGTCCGTGCCAGCATCCTTGACCTCCTCTGTACTGGCTGACCTGTGGCTATAGGCTGCTTGCCTGACATTTATCCAGATGGAGGGTGTGAACATGCCTTCAGCTATGTCACTGTGTTTCTTTCCATTGGCTGCAATGTCAGGGACACCTAGTTTATACCAGCTCCCAAGACTGACATCAGAACTGAACCAGTCTCAGGCCATCACCCATGGCATATGTGAGTGCTGGTGTATGTTGAAAGCCACAGAATGCAGTGCATAGCTGCCTGGACCCTCTCGTCTCTTGCAGTGAGCAAGCTGTGTGGGAAGTGCAGTCCCACTGATGTTGACATCCTGCAGCCCTCCTTCAACTTCCTGTATTGGAACCTGCAGCAGACCACGCCCAGCAGTCAGAAAAGAGGTGTGGGCCCAGGCTGGCACGGTGAAGAGTGCTGGGATCTCTCTCTCTCCCTCCCCTCCCCCACCCCGCTCTCTCTCTTTCTCTGAAACTCCGACTTTCAAGTAAATAAATACACATTGAAAAAGGATGGGCAGCGCTGTGGCATAGAAGGTTAAACCTCCGCTTGCAGTGCTGGCATTCCATATGGGCAATGGTGTGAGTCCCAGCTGCTCCCTGCTGGTGCTCCTGGGAAAGTAGTAAAGGATGGCCCAAGTCCTTGGGCCCCTGCACCCATGTGGGAGGCCTGGAAGAAGCCCCTGGCTCCTGGCTTCAGCCTGGACCAGCCCTAGCCGTTGTGGCCATTTGGGGAGTGAACCAGAGGATGGAAGATACCTCCCTCTCTCTCTCTCTCTCTGGCTCTGGCTCTCCTTCTCTGTAACTCTGACTTTCAAATAAATAAATAAATCTTAAAAAAAAAAAAAAATGCTGGGCAGTATCTGTGGCCCTCACTGCCATTAATTTTTCCATCATTTTTAAAAAGAAATTTATTTATTCATTTGAAAGGTGGGGTTAGAGAGAGAGAGATCTTCTATCTACTGGTTCACTCTCCAAATGGCCTCAATGGCGGGGCTGGGTCAGGCTAAAGCCAGTAGCCTGGAACTCCATCTGAGTCTCCCACATGGGTGGCAAGGACCCAGGCACTTGGACTATCTTCCAGTGCTTTCCGAGGCTCATTAGCAGGAAGCTAGATTGGAAGTGGAGCCACTGAGATTCAACTGGTGCTTATATGGGATGCTGGCATGCTCGATCGCGGTGCCACAATTTCTCCATCTTAAATAAATAACTAGAGGGGTATAACTGGTGGTCATGAAGTCCTTTTCGATCCTGTTAACCTGTGGTTCTGGAATGTAGCTGGGACCCTTAGAGTCGTAAACCGATCCTTTTGTTTTGTGTGTGTATGAAGCCGCCTAATACAGCCAGAGCTGAGCACCATGGCGGCACTGAACCGGGACTCCCGTGTAACTCGCGTGCCCTCACTCTGCCACGCCTGCAGCTGCTGCGGTTCTTCTGAGCAGCACGGCCCTGATCGTGCTTCTGGAGAGGCTGCTGGCGCTCACCTGGGCAGAGACAGACTCTCCCACGACCATGCTCCTCTGCTCCGCCTGGCTGCTCACTGCCTCCTTCTGCGCCCAGCAGCACCAGGGCAGTCTGCAGGTTAGTGGGTGACTCCTGTGGCTTTGGGGCATGAGGCGGCACCCAAAGGAGTGATGGAGTTCCTGATTTGTGGTCCCAGCTCTGTGGCTCATTAGCTGCGTGACCCTGGCCAAATGTTTAACCCTCTGTGAGCTTCAGCCTCCTTACCTAAAAAGTGAGGGAAAGATCCAGGGTCATTGCTGGGTTAATTTAAAACAACCCATTTAACACACATGGATCACGTACATCCTAGCCTGTATTCTTGGCAGAGAGGAATTAATAAAAAAAAAAAAAAAAAAAAAGCAGCAAGCTCCCTGCCCGTTAGGGAACTTGCAACCTATAAGCAAAGCCTTGAGAGACAGGTGAAACTGCACCCAGCGAAGACAGAGGGCACAGTGTTAAGGTGCATTTCCACCCACACTGATCATCCACCTCTCCTCACAAGAGCTTTGGAGGCAGTGAGAGCCGGTGGTGTTATCTCCATCACGTATGAACAAAGTGAGGGAGGTTGAGGAAGGTGCAGAGACTTGCTGGGGGGCCCTCCAGCTGGCGAGGTGTGCCACAGGCCTTCTGAGTTAGCTGGTTGGTGGGCAGAGCCGAAGTCTGAACCACGGAGGAGGCCATCGAGGATGTAGGAGATTGGGAGAATTCTGTAGGTGTGGGCTTGATTCTCCTCCTCACACTTCTGAAGCCCAGGCTCGGAGGACTCTGTGGCCTCTTCTGTCCCCTCTTGAAGTAGCAGGAATGTAGGGGGAGACAGTAGAAGAGATACTAGGGCCCCAGCTATTTTCTGCCCAAGCACCCAGAAGTGGGGGCTCAGCCCTTTACCCCTGCCCTTCCAGGTTCACCAGACGTTGTCTGTGGAACTGGACCAAGTAATGAAGGCACTCAGCTTTCCAAAGAAAACAGCTGCACTGCTCTCAGGTATGGTCCCCAGAGGCTCCAGCTGGAGAAGTTTTCCCCCTAGGTTCTGAGATAGGGCCACCCACCCAGGCCAGCTCATGGGCACCCCGTAATGATCCTGTCAGCATGACACAGCAGGGTGGGAGATGGGGAGAGACTAGGAACCAGATGTAAGGCGTCTCCTCCTTTCAGCCGCCATCTTACGCTTCCTGCGGACAGCCCTGCAACAAAGCTTTTCCTCCAGCCTGGTGGCCCTGGTGCCCTCAGAGGCCCGGCCACCAGCAGCCCCTGAGGATGCTGTCCTGGCTCCACTGGGAACATCACAAGTACTGTCCTTGGTTGTTGGGCTGCAGAACCTCCTGGTGAAGGTAAGGCCCTTGCTGAGTGGGTCCTGGCCAGGGCGCGTCTACTTCTCTAGGACCATAGCAGGAAAGGCGGTTGAACCTAATATTCTCACCAGGGCCTGGAGAATAGTCGAGACTTAAAGCTACAGTGACAGAAATGAAACTCGATTGGCTCCAGAGAGGCCCAGGGGTCAATACTGGCTTTAGGCACAGCTGGGTTCCAGGGGCTCAGACGATGCCATCAGAGGCCTGCTTCCCTCTTGCTGCATTCCTCACTGCCGGCCCTGTCGTGGATGGTGGCAGGACCACTAACAGGAAGAAAGTTCCCCTTTCCCTGTAGTTCTGGAATTGTCATTAGCCTGGTGTGGGTCATACACCAATCGGCATGGCCAGGGCCTGGGATGCTCTGATGGACTGGGCCTGGGTCAGTGCCTTTTCCTGGAGGTGTGGGTATATGGTCAGTTCTCCTCAAAATTTTTTTAAGATTATATATTTTATTTGAAAGGCAGGTGACAGAGAATCTTCCATCTGCTAGTTTGCTCCTCAAATGGCCACAGTGGCCAGGGCTGGGCAAGATTGAAACCAAGGGGCCAGGGACTCCATCTGGGTCTCCCACATAAGTGGCAGTGGCCCAAGCACTTGGACCATCTTCCACTTCTTCCCCAGGCAGGGAGCTGGATTGGAAGTGGACCAGCTGGGACATGAACTGGTACTCTGAGATGCTAGCATTGCAGGCAGTGGCTTAATCTGCTACATCATAATACTATCCCCCATGTGGTCAGTTCTTTACAACCTACATCGACTGAAGCCTAGAATGGCATGGTTTCTGGCCGGCACCGTGGCTCAATAGGCTAATCCTCTGCCTGTGGCGCCGGCACACCGGGTTCTAGTCCCAGTCAGGGCGCCGGATTCTGTCCTGGTTGTTCCTCTTCCAGTCCAGCTCTCTGCTGTGGCCCGGGAGTGCAGTGGAGGATGGCCCAAGTCCTTGGCCCCTGCACCCGCATGGGAGACCAGGAGAAGCACCTGGCTCCTGGCTTCGGGTCAGCGCAGAGTGGTCACTGCGGGGTGAACCAACGGAAAAAGGAAGACCTTTCTCTTTGTCTCTCTCTCACTGTCCACTCTGCCTGTCAAAAAAAAAAAAAAAAAAAGAAAAGAAAGGGATGAAGGGATGGTTTCTAAAAGCTAAATGATCAGAAGAGGGAGTGGATCCTGGACAAGCAAAACAAAGTCCACCCCAGAGAGGTGTTCGGCAGCATAGAAGACTCTTGGAGATCACTGTTTACCCAGCCATCACATACTGTTCCTCAACACCATGTCAGGGCCTGGGAGGGTGTGGGGTCCCAGAACATACCTGGAATGGGGTTTCTGCTAGGCGGTGGTTGCTGAATCTTGTCCTGTAGCACAGCTATGCACAGGGTCTGGGCTTTTCAAGGATCAAACATTTATCCTGTCAAAGCACTTAGCTCTAATTTGAGTTTCCATTTTCATGGGAGTCTTCCCCAACAGGCTCTGAGATCCTCAAGGGCAGAGAACTGAGTCTGTGCTCCTCCCCCTTGTGGATTGAAAACCAGTTGAGAATTCAGGCTTGAGATAAGAACCAAATTATCAGCTTTATTGCTGGTGAACACCATGGTAGAATACAGCTGGACGCAGGTTCAGATAGGGGTGGTTTTTTTTTGGTCTGAAACTTCAAACACAACAGCAAATATAAAAGAATTTCACTGTGAACACTCACACAGTCACTACCTAGGGTCTACCATTAACATTTTACTATATTTGCTTGATCATGTTTATCTAAATGAGGTTTTTAGCCACATTCCTTCCCCCAGCTAGACCAGGCCTGAAGGCAGGAATAATTGTGCTTAATTCTGGACACTCCATGGAATACTGTTTGGCCATAAGAAGGCATGAAGTGCTGACATGTTCTAGAATGTGGGTGAGCCTTGAAAGCATTATGCTAAGTGAAATAAGCTGAGGGTGGAGATTTGGTGCAGTGGCTAAGATGTTGCCTAGGATGTCCACATCCTGTATCAGAGTACCTGCGTCCAAGTCCCAGCTCTGCTTCCACTTCCAGCTTCCTGCTAATATGTACCCAGTGAGGGGAGGGGCAGTGGTGACAGCTCAAGTACTTGGTTCCTGCCACCCATGTGACATACATGGATTAAGGTCTGGCTCCTAGCTTGGCCCAACCCTGCCCTGGCTGTTGTGGGCATTTGAGGAATGCACTAGTAGATGGAAGATCTCTATCTATGTCTTTCTGCTTTTCAAGTAAATAAAAATAAAAACAATAAGCCAGACACAGAAGGCCACATATTTATATGATCCCACTTACATGAGATATCCAGAATAGGCCAATCCATAGAGACAGAAAGTAGATTAGTGGTTGTTAGCCCTGAGGCAGGGACGGAAGAGTGAGGACTGCTAATAAGTATAGGGTTTATCTGGTGATGAACATTCTGGAATTACATAGCGGCACAACTCTGAAGAAAACAAAAAGCTACCAAAGGGTACCTTTCAAAGAACAATTAATACGGATTGTGAATTATCTCAATGCAGCTGTTACTTAAAATAAATAAAAAGATACAGAGAATATGAGGCCTAAGCCAGGGCTTTGGGTACCAGTCCTCCCTGATGTCTCTGGGCCAGAGCAGCTGTGTGGCATCAGCACCCCTGATTGCTGGGTGGCGGGTGCAGAATCTGCAGCTGTCTGGTAGCCTGGCACCGCGCAGTGTAAGATGTAGTGTCTAGAGTCACACAGCCCTGATGTGGCCCCTGCCCAGCCTCTGATTCTGAAGTTCAGCAAGTCACTTCTTACTAATCTCATGTTCGCTATTTGTACAATAAACACTAAGTAATATGGCTCTCCGAGAACAGCTTCCGTTTCTCCAGGAACAGGGTCCAGTAGAGAAAAGGGTGAGTGGAAATGAGGATGGAGAGTGTGTTTCAAGGCCATCGTGCTGGGCCACAGTGGGCTGGGGAGCAGATCGTGGCAGCAGAAGGCTCTGAAGGGCTGTAGGCCCTGGAATGATACCATGCTATGGGGTGCGAGGGGGAGCCGGGGCCAGCTTCCCATCTGCTTAGTTCTTTGGCTATCTCTGTAGTAGAAAAGAAATAGGTTTGTTCTGGGCTCCTCTGGACCCAGAGACATAGGTCAGTGGTGGAGCTGCAGGATGGCAGGAGGAGGCATTTTTGCACGGCCAGGATTGTCTAATGGTAGAGAGGACCACTCTGGAAGGCAGTGTCTTGAGGCTGGGCAGTATTTTTTTTTTTTAAGATTTATTTTTATTTGAAAGAGCTACATAAAGAGAAGAGAGGCAGAGAGAGAGAGAGGTCTTCCATCCACTGGTTCACTCCCCAACTGGCTACAACGACTGGAGCTCTGCCAATCTGAAGCCAGGAGCCAGGAGCTTCTTCCGGGTTTCCCCACATAGGTGCAGGGGCCCAAGGACCTGGGCTATCTTCTGCTGCTTTCCCAGGCCACAGCAGGGAGCTGGATCAGAAGTGGAACAGCCAGGTCTCGAACCGGCACCCTTATGGGATGCCAGTGCATCAGGCCAGGGCTTAACCCACTGCACCACAGCGCCAGCCCCGAGGCTGGGCGTTTCTAAGAGAAACCAGGTATGCCCCTCATCCCCCTGCCAAGAACTCCGTTGGAGGGCAGGGGGTTGGTCTGGGTGACCTGTAAGATTCCTTCTAGCACTGGGACTCTGTTTCAGGGAAAGAACTGCTCGAGACAGAGGCCAAGAGCACCTTGTAGGATGATAGGTCCAAGTCACCGAAGAGGAGACAGGAGATTGAATTTAAAATAGCAACGGCAGGGCAGGCACTGCTGCATCTAGGGATACCTGCAGCCCATGTTGGAGCCCCTGGGTTTGAGTCCCAGCCCTGCTTCTGGTCCGGCTTCGTGCTGATGTATACCCAGGGACAGCAGGTGACGGCCCAAGAACTTGGGTGCCTGCTACTACCGCGGGAGACCCACATGAAGACCCTGGCTCCTGGTTGCAGCCTATTGCAGACATCTGGGGAGTGAACCAGCTATGGAGGATCTCTCTTTCTCTCTTTTTGCCTTCCAAAGAAAGAATTAACTTTTTAAAAAGACAGTCTGATTTTTTAAAAAATTCACAAATAGCAACAAATGCAGAGTTTGTACATTTCCATTTTCGAAGCTCTCTCATCTGTGATCCCATGTGATGCCCACACAGGTCAGCCCTGTGAGAGACGGAACAGGACTGCTACAGGGCCACAGAGGTTGTAAGGTGACCTGGGGCTAGAAGTAAAGGATTTGCTAGGAAGGGGTGGAGGAACAGCAGAACAAACAGTGAAGTTCTCAAACCATTCCTCAGAGGCTCCTCTCTGGGGCAGGCCTGGGCAGTGGTTTCTTCCAGCAGGGGTGCAAACAGCCCCGGGGATGTGATGAAAACAAACTGTACTGACTGAACTCCAAGAAGCATGTGTGGGTAGAAGGCAGTCCTGCTTTCACTCTTGTTTCTGTTTTGCAGAAGGACCCTCTCTTGTCCCAGGCCTGTGTCGGCTGTCTGGAGTCTTTGCTTGACTACCTGCATGCCCGGAGCCCAGACGTTGGTAGAGTAGAAACCCTCCTCTTCCTCCCATGTTGTCATGGGGGAGATTGGAGGGAGCCAGCCCTGCCACCCTCCTGCCCCAGGCTTCCAGCCCGTTATGTGACTCATACTCATTTTGTTTATGATGTGCCCAGCCAAGGCCACAACGCTCTTAACGTGGCAGAGCCCTTTCTGTCTGCCTTCTACAGTCATGGGATATATAGTCTCTCCAGACCAGCCGACAGGGTGGACAGAAGCCCAGGGAATAAACCTCCGGGGTCAGCCTGTCCAGTGCCCCGCCTCCAGCTGAGCAGCCCCTTTTTGAGCCAACAGGGAGGTCCTTCTTTGCTGGGTTCCTGGGTCTCTGGAAAAGCAGCATTAAGGCCCAGGGTGACCGTGTTTCCTGCAGCACTGCATGTGGCCTCCCAGCCCTGGAACCGGTTTCTGCTGTTTACCCTTTTGGACGCTGGAGAGAATTCCTTCCTGAGACCCGAGGTCTTGAGGCTCATGACCCTGGTAAGAGCAGAAAGGACGGCCTAGTGGTCTGAAGACTATCAGGAGCTAGGTGGGCCGGGAACTCCATATTTCAGGAAAACCTAGTCCTCAAAGTAGAGGGGCTGGGTGGGCTTTTCCCCTACAAGGCTTGCCCAGAGATTTCCTCTGGATGCCCACTCCCCCTCAGCCCGGGAGTCCCTGACACCCTTTCTCTTGTTTTTTTCTCAGGAAAGCTGACCAGGGCCTGCCTGGCACATGCCAAGTCTGCTAGGGACAAGGATGTTTTAGAGCCAAACGCCCTGTGTCGGAAGGCCCCTCAGTCTAGAGAACTAGTTAGACAAGTAGACTAAGGGTTAAAATATGGTTGCGAAGGGGTCCAGTGCCCAGCGCACACACAGTAAGTGCCCATAACTAAATAACAAAGCTGTGAGCCTATGAATGACCACGAAATGGACCAGCAAATAAATCAGTGGCTGGTGTGGGGACACAGACTTCTCAGCAGTGAAGGTGAGGCTTGAAGGATTAATAGGCAGAGGAGGAGCAGTGCCCCAGGTAGTGAAGTGACCACGCAGGTGCAGGGGCACACCGGTGTATCAGGGTAGCTGCAGGCAGCTCATTTTGGCTTGGCCGTGAGTGTGCCACACCAGGCTAGAGGAGACGAAGTCAAGGCCAGAGGGGTCAGTGGCGCCAGCTATCTCAGGATCTCACAGGCTGCTGGCCCCATGTTACACCACTCTGCCCACAACTCTGGATCTTCAAAGGCAGGTTCTGTGGGCATCTAAGCATGGCTGGGGTACAGGAAGTGTCTACAAATGAGGGTGCTTGGGGCTCCTCTCTCTGGGCCAGTTTGTGCAGTACCGGAGCAGCAGCGTCCTCTCTCGTGAAGAGGTGGGTCATGTTCTGCAAGGCGCGGCTGTGGCTGACCTGTCTACCTTGTCCAACGCCACACTCCAGGCCCTGCGTGGCTTCTTCCTGCAGGTGGGTGGGAGGACACCAGGTGGTCACTGTGAGGCCAGACCCTCAAGACCATCTTCTTTGTGGAGGGTGGGTGCTCTGACCACAGCGGGCAGGAGTGTAGGGGTGGAGGTGGTCAAGAGGGCCTGCGTGGAGTGGGCACTGAGAGGCCTGTCTCCCCTGCCTCTTCTCCCTCCAGGTCCAGAGCACGGGTCTCCTGACTGACGACAACGCGGCCAAGACGCTGCAGGCCTTTTTGGAGGGCCTGTCACCCGGCGCCCCCTCGGCCCAGCTACCCCCGCAGGACATGCTGTATCCTTTCTTACATGTGCGAGCTTGGCCTGGGCAAGGGCACCCAGACCTCGGGAGGCTGTGGCATGTACTTGAGGACAGGTGCACCTTCCGTAGCCCCGCCCCCTAGAGCAAGCCAGATCAGTGAAGATAATCAGCCGTCAGCAAGGACAGGACCTGTGCCGCGAGGAGTGTGTAGGTAGCTGTCACACCTGCCTCCTAGGGTTGGCACAAGGATTTCGTGACTCAGAGCAGTGCCGGGCTCAGTGTGAGGCTTTGTTAGTGTTTGCTGTTACTGTTTGTACTCCCCTTCCTAGACCAGAGGGATTGAATGAGCTGCCCAAGTCACACGGCTGGTGATAGCATCAGACTTCCCTGTCTCCAAAGCCACACCACTGAACTCAGGGAGGGCCGTCCTGGCCGGGGAGCTTTGGAGAGCTGCCCAGTGCTTCCCTCCTCAGCCAACCCTGGGGGTGCCGAGAAAGCCTGGGGCTGGGGTTCTCCCAGGGGTAGGGTGCTCCCCCCAGCTGCCTCCTGGCTCTGCCCCTCCCTCCCGTGACAGTTCTGTGTTGTATCAACCCAGCTGCCCATCCCACCCTTCCCGGGAGCTCGCCTGTTCCTGTCTGACCGTCGTTGCTTCGGGGGCTCTGCAAGCGTGATCCCCACCTCCCCCGGGTGTGGGGTGGGGGTCTCCACTCTGCTGTTTTCCTCTCATCTGCTGCTGCCAGCTGCTTGGGAGGGGTGGCCGTCTCCTTGTCCCACATCAGCGATTGACCTTGGGCAGATGGGCGACACCAGCAGCTGTTCGTCCACTGCCCAAGTGGAATAAAAGTGACCCATCCATAACAGCGTGGACAGACTCCTAAAATCACGGGGCACCTCCTGCAGCCGGCCTGCGCCAGCGGGGCGGGAGACTCAGCAGGGAACGGGCGGGCCCCAGAGGGGCGAGTGTGCTGTGGTGGCAGCACGGGGGGACCCGAGAACCCTGGTCCCGCCGCCGGGGCTCCGAGTTACCCCGCGGAGGTGCTGGGCTCCGGGCGACTCCCGGCCCACCGGCCTCAGCCCTTCCGCGGTCCGACTGGGCGCCCCTTGCCCCTTCCCGGCCGGACCCGATCCCGCGGGAGCGGTGGGCTCCCGGCCCCGAGCCCGCAGCCGGCCACACCACCCTCGGGTCCTCCGGGTTCCCGCGCCCCGGCCGCGCGCACGCCTCCCCCACGGCATCGGTGGACCCGAGGGGCGAGTCCGGCGGGGCTCTAGTAATTCCTTAAAAAAGGAAAAATTTTAAAAAAGTGCCTGTCACGACCCACTCAACTGATCCCGCGGACCGAATCTCAGAAAACGCGCTCCGGACGTCGGTGCGGTCTCGGGAGAGCACGTGGAGGGCCGCCCGCCCGGCGGAGGGTCGGGGCCCAGGTTTGCCCACGCGCCCGTCAAGCGAGCGCAGACCCCGCCTCCCGCCACCCACTCGGGGCAGCCCCTTCCCCGGGCGTGCGCGCAGAGGGCGCCACGTGACAGGGTCCAGCGGGACCAGGCGCCGCCGGGCTGCGCTCAGGCCGCGCGCGGAGCTCGCGGGGCGGGGCCGGAAGTGAGGTCGGCGGAGCGCGGCGGTCGCGGCCCGCGCTCATTGGCCGGGGGCGGCGCTCGGCTGTCCCAGGACTGCTCGCCGGCTCCCTGGAGTTTGGTGTCTGCTGTTAGCGTGGTGGACCCTGGAGCCCAGTGCGCGCCGGGGCCAGCCCGCCCGTCCCTTCGCGCACCGCCCGGCCTGGTAGGTGGCGGCGGCAGGCTCCCGTAGAGGGGGGGTGCGGGGACCGAGGGCCCTTGGCCTGGCCACAGTGTGTGGGGAGGGGGTTCCGCGGACCTGGACGCCTCTCCCCGCTGTAAAGACGACTCTGGGAGTCCCGAAGGGTGGGGGACAACTGCCCGGGCCTGCCACTACCGCGTCACTTCTCACCTGTGCAGAACAGGCTGAGTCGCGCGCCAAGCAGGGAAAAAAGCTCCGGGGACGCCTCGGGGAGCAGGATTCAGTCCTTCGGGGGGACTTACACAGGAGCAAACCGCCCCCCCCCCCCCCCCCCAGTCTTCGGATTCGGGAGTCCGGAGCGTGATGGTGGAGGGTCAGGGTCTTGGTGAACTTGGACGATTCCTCCGGCCTTCGGTTGTCTCACCTGCACCGGAGTGGGAGGTCCCTGGGTGACCTCTCTTGCCTGTCACCGAGCAGCCCTCCCTGAGGCAGGCGTTCCTGGTGGGTGGGTGGGCAGGTGGGCAGCAGTGACCTGAGGTAGCCTGTGCCCATTGAGAAGGAAACAGGAGCCGGAGCACTGGACTTAGAGCCAGACTCCCGGCGTGGTGAGAACAGCTGGGTTCTGTGCCTTGGTTTCCACACTGGTAAAAGTGGGCAGTGAACCGAGGGTGAGGCGTCCCCTGGCCACTTGATCGATGTCACACTGGCTGACTCCCTTCCAGCCTTGTGTGTTTTAAAACGTTACCAGTTGCCTCTTACCCCTGCTGGGAATGAAGTGCCGAGTGTAGGGATTTTTGTCTTGTGTGTTGCTGTGTTCCCGGCTCTGCAGCAGTGCCGGGAAGGTGGTAGGCACTTGGTGCCTATGGAATGGTGCCTGCAAGGGAACAGGTGGTGCACATGGTGGTGCCTGTGTTCCAGAGGGCGGGAGTAGCTCCTCTGACCCTGGGCTGCCCTGCCTCCCTCCTCACCCTTCACCCCTTCTTCCCTCCTAACAGCAAAGATCAGGGAAGCAGAGAAAACCCAGCAGTTTCACATGCCCTCTGACTGCCTGGGCTCCTCCACCCACAGCTTCCTGGGAGAAGGGACTGAAAAGGAGTGCTCTCGGCCAGTCCCGCCTTGTCCAGGCACAGTGTCTCGCCCAGGGCCCCTAGCGCAGGGAGGTGACCTCCTTACCTGTTCTACAGGTGAGGGAACAGAGGCTCAGAGAGGCTGAGCAGCTTGCCCAAGGCCCCACAGCTGAGGCAGGGGCTGGGCTCGCGATGCTGACCCCAACGCTCTGAGTGGCTCCCTCCTGCCATCTCACGGATCTTTACCTGGGCCGGGGCCTGGGGCTGCAGGGCTTCCCACGGCTGGGTTCTTGGTGTTTGGAGGCCGGGGCAGTGTCGGCCTGCATCCGCGTTGGATGTGACACTGATCTCCACGTCTCTCTTCCTTTCTTTGGGTTCGCCCCTGCTAGCTCCAGGGGCTTGGCTATGGACCTCCCTCGGTTCCCAGCCTTCCTTCTCCTGCTGCTGTCTGGCATGGGAGCCAGAGACACCCTGAGGGCCTCCGCGGACCCGGGCCTGGAGATCTGTATCCTTTGGGGTTAGGCACTGGGTTACTGAGGTGTCTCTGAGGGGGTGGGGTTTATAAAATGGGATTTATCTACAAGCACAGCCCCTTGGGGACGGCAGCGGTGAGAGGCCCAGTCTGTGGGACAGGAAAGAAAAGGTGAAGACTCGCTGGACCTTGAGCAAGCCAGTGCTCTTCTGAGTGGTGGTTTCCCACGTGTTAACTTCAGGAGGCAGGGGGCGTATCTCAGAGCCTTAGCAGAGATGAGGCTGGATACGTGCTCTGCACCTTGTGGGTGAGACCGTGGGCAGGGATTCAGGAATTCCAGCCCGTCCTGACCCTGCTGCACTTGGGCCAGGCTTTGGGAACACAAAGGTGGGTCAGGACCAGCCCCTGGCTTTGAGGCACCCCCAGGCCTGGGGGGAGGCAAAAGTGTTCAGATTACATGATCGTTGCACTGTGTGATCAGTGCTATGATGGACACAGGAGGGGTCACAGGGAAACAGAGGTCCTGAAAGAATAGGAAGTCCCCCAGGGAAGGACAGAGGCCTCGTGGGCAGGGGGGTGGAGGTTCTGGAACAGTCCACGGTTGTGTGAGCTGATGGGAAGGCAGCAACCAGGTCCTGGGTGGTGGGCGTCAGATTTCTGGGGTGCAGTCCTCGGTGGGCCGGGTGAGTGGTGCATTGTGAGGCCCACACTCGGGGGGAGTCCCAGCCGTGGGCCTCCATGGCCCTTGCCGATTCTTGCTGGTCAGGGATGGGTCCTTGGGTCAGGGGCCCTGGATTGTCCAGGCAGGGCCATCAGCGCCAGCCCCTTAACCTAACACTGTCCAGACAAGAAGATGTTGGAGGTGAAGCGGCGGGAGCAGCTATTGGCGCTGAAGAACCTGGCGCAGCTGAACGACGTCCACCAGCAGTACAAAATCCTGGATGTCATGCTCAAGGGGCTCTTTAAGGTGTGCGGACAGGGGCTGCTCACTGCACGTCCCAGCGCTGGGTAGGCACTGATGAATGAGTAGGCGTTCCCAGGGGACGTTGATCCGAGAGGCAGGTGCTGCCTGCACACAGGGAGTTGGGGGGCTAAGCAGATGAGGCCGGGGTGGTCTGGGAAGGGCCCTGCAAAGTCGCTCAGCCCAGGTGTGGGGGGGTCGCCCAGGTGCTGGAGGACTCGAGGACAGTGCTCGTCGCTGCCGACGTGCTCCCGGATGGACCCTTCCCCCAGGACGAGAAGCTGAAGGATGGTGAGGTCCTCCCAGCCCCTAGCTGCTCCCACCTCCTGTTCCTGTCACTCATTCTCCCCTGGAGGTGCCCTCTCGTACTGTCCAGGAGGCCCCCACAGGCAGCTGTGTGCTGTGATGCTCCAAGCATTTCCTGACCTCAAAGCCAATTTCTGTTCCCTCATGACAGATGCATTCCTGTGCCCCCGCCTGTGTCCACTGCAGGGTCTGGGGCACGGTCAGTTGGTCACCACCCTTAACCCTTTTTTTAGGAGAAGCAAGAGTTATTCCCATTTATTTATTTTTATTTATTTATTTATTTATTTTTTTACAGGCAGAGTGGACAGTGAGAGAGAGAGACAGAGAGAAAGGTCTTCCTTTTGTTGTTGGTTCACCCTCCAATGGCCGCCACGGCTGGCGCGCTGCGGCTGGCGCACCGCGCTGATCTGAAGGCAGGAGCCAGGTGTTTATCCTGGTCTCCCATGGGGTGCAGGGCCCAAGCACTTGGGCCATCCTCCACTGCACTCCTGGGCCACAGCAGAGAGCTGGCCTGGAAGAGGAGCAACCGGGACAGAATCCGGAGCCCCGACCGGGACTAGAACCTGGTGTGCTGGCGCCACAAGGCGGAGGATTAGCCTATTGAGCCGCGGCGCCAACGCTTATTTTTATTTTTTATTTTTTTAAATTTATTTATTAGAAAGGCAGAGTGATAGGGAGAGTGAGAGAGAAACAGGTCTTTCATGCACTGGTTCACTCCCCAAGTGGCCACAGTGGCCAAGGCTGAGCCTGGGAAAAGCCAGGAGCCCAGAACTCCTGGGTCTCACACGTGGGTGCAGGGGCCCAAGCACTTGGGCCATCTTCTGCTGCTTTCCCAGGCCACAGCAGAGAGCTGGATTGGAAATGGAACTGGGACTTGAGTCTGTGCTCTGATATGGGATGCCAGCATTGCAGGTGGCAGCTTAGCTCACTGTGCCACGATGCAGGCTCCAGTTCTCGTTTAAAGAAAACAAAGACCCTCAAGTGGCTGAGCCTGTGGGCGAGTTACCAGCACTCTTCATGGCTGTTCCAAAAGCCCAGCCAAGGTGGGAAGCAGATGTAAAAAAGACGAAAGAATGTTCTGTGTTCCCCGTCCTCTCGCGGGAGTTTCTCCGCCGGGGATGGTAACCGTCGGCCCTGTTCACTGGTGCTTTCTTCGTTTTCCTGTCTGAGAGGTGTTGGGAGCAGTGTGTATACTGACTGGTGGGCACTATACACGCACCGTCTCTAATCTGGCCTGTAACCATGAGGAAGCTGCTGTCCCCTCCGTTTTCCAGGTGAAAAAGGACAAGTGATTGGCTACAGCTCTTCCCTCCCAACTAAGTGGGCGCCTGAGTTCTTTGAGGTTCAGGATTATTCTGAATCTTCCCCTCCCCAGGGGAGGGCAGGGTGTCTCAGACCCAACTTGACCTATATTTGGAGTCTGCTTATCTCCGTGGGTGGCCTGGCCAGTGCTGGGGAGGGCTGCCTGGGCCCTTTCTGAAGGGCTGGCCCTGGATTACTCTGCTCATCTGATGTCTGGGGCTGGCCACTGTGATAGACGCACTAACTGAACCCAGTCGACACAGCCCCGAGAAAGGACATAATGGGAAAATTGGTGAGATTCAAAGAAGACCTGTAGATTAGTTGATAATATTGTATTGCTGTTTCCTGGTTTAGGTACTCATACAGCAATTACGTAAGATTGACGATATTAGAGAAAATCGAGTGAAGGAATTCTGTTTTGTTTTATGTAAGTCTAAAGTTATTTCTGGGTCAGCGCTGTGGTGTAGCGGGTTAAGCCACAGCTTGCAGTGCCGCGTCCCATATGGTACTGGTTCGGGTCCTGCTGCTCAATTTCCAATCCAGCTCGCTGCTAGTGTGCCTAGGAAAGCAGCCAAGAATGGCCCAGATCATTGGGCCTCTGCACCCATGTGGGAAACCTGGAAGAAGCCCGGGGCTCCTGGCTTCAGCCTGGTCCAACCCTGGTCGTTGTGGCCATTTGGGTAGTGAATCAGCAGGTGGAAGATATTCTCTCTCTTCTCTCTCTCTCTCTCTCTCTGTAACTCCACTTTTCAGATTAATAAATCTTAAAAAATATTTATTAAAAATAAAAACTTAATAAACATTTAAAATAAGGTAAAATCAGGGCCAATGTTGTAGCACAGTGGGTTAAGCCACTGCCTGTGATGCTGGCATCCCGTATGGGCCCCAGTTCAAGTCCCGGCTGCTCCACCTCAATCCCACTCCCTGATAATGCTGCTGAGAAGGTAGCAGAGGATGGCCCAATTACTTAGACCCCTGCCACCCATGTGGGAGACTGGGGTGGAGTTCCAGGCTACTGACTTTGGTCTGGCCAGTCCCAACCATTGTGGCCATTTGAGGAGCAAACTAGGGGATGAAAGATCTCTTTCCCTATCTCTCCCTCTCTCTCTCTCTCTCTAACTCTGCCTTTCAAATAAATAAATAATTTAAAGGTAAATAAAATGGAGAGAATATTGAACAAAATCAAACAATCCTGACCTGTTGCCTGGGCATTGTAGCAGACCTGGTCCTTTCTAGACGCTGTAGTTAGATTAACACTGGGGCTGGCTGAAGACCTGTACACGGTGGGTGCCTTTGCCGGTAGTCACGCCCAGCAAGACTGCATGGGATTCATCAGCCTCTGGATGCAGTGACACCATCACTCTGGTCCCCACAGCACGGGAGGACCTGTGCTGGTCTGGGAGGACCCTGACAGGTCTGGGTTTGCAGCCCAGGAGACTTCTGTGCCCTGACAGGTCTGGGTTTGCAATCTCATATTCGCCACTCACCAGTTGCTGAGCTTCAGTTTCCAGTCCGTACCCCGGGAACAGCACTTTGCAGAGCTGTTGATGAGAAATCACAAGGCCCCCAACAGGTGCCACGCCTGTGCTTGGCAGCCTGTGGTCTGAGGCCGCTGTTCCCTTCTTGGCGTGGGGGGTCTGGTGGATGCCTCTGCTCTGCCGAGGATGCCAGGGGCCAGCCAGGCAGGCAATAGGAGGGCGTCTGGCCCAGCCACTCACGGAATCCCCTCCCAGCTTTCTCCCACGTGGTGGAGAACACGGCCTTCTTTGGCGATGTGGTTCTGCGTTTCCCGAAGATCGTGCACCACTACTTTGATCACAACTCCAACTGGAACCTGCTCATCCGCTGGGGCATCAGCTTCTGCAACCAGACGGGAGTCTTCGACCAGGGGCCCCACTCACCCATCCTCAGACTGGTAAGCCCCGGGGAGAGAGGTCAGGCAGCCGTCCGCCTGGTGGTGGGCTGGGAGCCTCACCTTCGCCTGTAGCTGGGCCCACATGTCAGTGGTTGGTTGCGTTTCCTGTGATGAGCCTCAGGGCCCTGCTGTCCCGGCCCACACCTATGCAAGCAGGGCCTGTGTCCCAGACCAGAGAGGTGGCTGGCTGCGAGCAGGAGGCCAAGGGCAGAGAGGAGGTGGCTGGCTGCGAGCAGGAGGCCAAGGGCAGAGGATGACGAGCTTTCCTTCATCCGCAGATGGCCCAGGAGCTGGGGATCAGCGAGAAAGACTCCGACTTCCAGAACCCATTTAAAATAGACCACCCCGAGGTGAGCTGTAGGGCTTGTGGCTATAGCTGTGTCTACTTTGCCTCCACTGGGCCACGGGGGGCCAGAACCTGCAGGGGTTGGTGTCCAGGGTGAAACATGAGATGAGAACTTTGGCCTTGGAGCCAGAAACAGACCCTTGTTCACTGGAGCCCTTGAGCAAGTCACCCTTGGCCTTGGGCTCCCTGTCCATTTCTACTGCGAAGACCCCAGCTGTAGGGGGCAGTCGTGAGGCTGTGATTACCCCCATCCTGGTGCACAGTGAACACCCCAGTGGTCACCCCAGGTGAACTTCAAGGCAGCCCGGGCAGGTCTGACCACGCCCTCTGCCGCCCTGGAGCCTCCGAGCACCCACCTGGGCTTCTCCCCCTGCGCCTGCACACACTCCTAGGGGCTGGAGGCTGCAGGTGGGGATGCGTGCCATGGAGGGAGGAAAGGACCAGAAGCAGCAGGGCCAAGAAGGAAGGGCTGTGTTTGTGGCTGGAGGACTGGACTACCCCCGAGATTGACTCCTGAGGTTGGAAGGGGTGTTGGGCCTGAGGGTCCAGGGTTTCACCGTGCTGCCAGGCCAGATGGCGAGCCTCTACTGTTGTGTGGACGCTGGAGGCTTCAGTCTTGATTACATGACTATTGGCCTGCTTACGTCGGCGCCCCTCATCCCCCAGGTCCCACGTGGGTCCTGTGCCTGCAGTGGGTTTGCATCACAGCCAAGGACCACAAGAGTTTGCAGGACACTGTCTCCCACAGCAATCCACGCCGCTCCCTATGCTATTCAGGCTGATTAGTCTGACCATAGTGGGTAGGACCGGATCCATTCGGCTGGTCTCATTTAATTGAGGCTACTTCCGACCGTACCATAAACAGCAGGATGAGGGGACCTGCAATAGAAACCTCAACTGTGTCCTCCAAAGTCCCAGCCTCAACTTGCCATGAGTGAATCCCAGGGGCATCAGTAGACAATCAGGATATGGCCAGAGACCAGTCTGTTGTTATCCATTACTGCTCTCCCAAGAGAGCTTAGATTGACCTGCTCATCTCTGATGTCATTGCTATTTATTCCATGGGGCAGTAGAGGGCCCACAGTAGCCTTCATCCCCCACTCAGGACACGTTTCGGGGCCATTCTTTCGCATGTGTTACACTTGGTTTTGGTCACCAGTACATTGTTTGAGCCCCGAGGGCAGTGTCCTCTGAGTTTCAGCCTCAGTTGCCCTATGTGGTGTGACCCATGGCTGCTCGGGCATCGGGTCAAGAATTTGTAACAGCGGATGGGAGTGAGGGGTCCTGGCCTTGTGTCTGCACAGGGTCAGTGTCAGAGTGTGAGAAGATAACCTTTGATGGTGTCAGACGCGGCAGAACAGTTCAGTACTTACTGTGTCCGTGTGAGTTTCCCCTCCACGTGAGTGGGATTGACACTCCCGACGGCTGCCCCTGGGCTCTGGCAGACCCCAGGATGGTTCTGCCACGTGCTGGTGCCAGGTCGAAGGGACAAGGAGAACATCCATGGCTCCCTGCCCTTGCTAGGATCTAAGGCCTTCTCTGCCCGTGTTGGGATCACTGCTACAGAATCTGCTCATCCTGTACCCGTCAGCTCACTTTTTCTCCATCGTCTCCCACTCTCACCTAGACCTGTTCAGAAGGCTCTAACGTGAGTAGGACACGGGATTCAGCGAGCAGCACATTCGGCTAAGGGGCCATAATCCTGCTGCCCTCGGGCCGCACCATTTCAACCAGAGACCAAGACAGGCCAGCCAGAACTAGAGTCCTCCGCTCTGTGGCAGCCTGTGGCGGTGGCTGAGTGGCCGTGTCCTAGCACAGTGGTGCATGTGCGTGGCAGTGGCAGTGATCCGGACGGTGTAGCTTGAGTAGCAGTGTGCTTTGGGCCCATTTTATCAGAGAATAGGCCTGTTGTAGGCGTCTAGAGAAAAGATCTCGCTGTCTAGTATGGAACCACAGTGTTTCCACAGTCTGGCCCCAGGGAGGGGTGGGAGTCTTTGACCTTCCAGTCCAGTGGCAGGCGCGGTGGTGGGTGTCGCTCCCCGTCTTCGTGGAGGAACGACACAGGACCCTGCGCTGTTCTTTCGTCTGCTCGGCCCTCCCCGGGTTTGCTGCTGGTTCTTCCCGGGTTGGCTACCGACCCTTCCACCTCCATGGAAGGGCGGTTCCCCCTGCCACATTCCCCACTTCTGCGGGGGAGCAGCACACTGCCGGCCGGCTCTCTCGGGGGCTGCACAGGTGTTCCTTCAGATAGATGTTCCTCTTAGATGTTCCTGGTGCATGCCGTCTCTCTCCTCCTTTATAGTCCTCCTCCGCCAATCCCAACTCGGCTGCCCACATGCCGAGTACGCTGCCCTCCTCCAGTCAGGAGCAGGATCAGCTCCTGGAGGTCATCACTCAAGTTGGCAAGAGGCAGCTGCGTAGAAGCTGTTTCCTCCTCTCCCAGCGCCATATTGTGGGAGAGCAGATGCATAGAATAAGTCTTAATTCCAGTAACTTAGTCTAGTCCGGGTTGCTCCCCACAGTGGGGATGCCCGGGTTGGTAGGAGCATCACTGGGGGCGAGTGGTGCAGTTAGTCTTGCAGTGCTGTCCCTGGGGCAGAGGGTTGCCGCCGCCCAGACACCTGTGCGGGGTTCCCTGAGCCACTCCCAGGTTTAATGATTTGCTGGGAAGACTCAAAACCTCAGCATGTAGCTGGGGCTGTGGTTTACAAAGCCCCATCTGGAAGGGGGAAGGCATCTGGGCCAAAGTCAAGGGAAACCGAGCAGAAGCTTCTGGAAGTCCTCTCCCAGTGAGTCACGCAGGATGTAGTTAACTTCCCAGCAACAGGCTGGGACAATGTGTGAAATGTGTTGCCAGGAAAGTGCATTAGAGATCCAGTACCCACATTTTTACTGGGAAGTGGTCATGTGGGCATCCTTTGCATAATAACAGGTACCAAAATCCTGAGCTCCCAGGGAAAGTAGGTATTCAGCATAAGCCATATTGTTGGCACAAGCAATCCAGGCTTATCAGTGGGAAACCTCCTAAAATACAAGTTCTCAGACGCCAGCCAAGAAGCAGCCTTGGACGCAGGCCTTTCCAAGGAGAGCGGTTGGACCTTCAGCATTAGCTCTGCTCTTTTTTTTTTTTTTTTTAATGATTTATTTATTTATTTGGAAGACAGAGTTACAGAGAGGGAGGGAGGGAGAGAGAGAGAGAGAGAGAGAGGTCTTCCATTCACTGGTTCACTCCCCAAATGGCTGCAACAGCCATAGCTGCCGTGATCTGAAGCCAGGAGCCAGGAACTTCTTCCAGGTCTCCCACACGGGTGCAGGGGCCCAAGGACTTGGGCCATCTTCTACTGCTTTCCCAGGCCATAGCAGAGGGCTGGATTGGAAGTGGAGCAGTTGGGACTTGAACTGGTGCCCATGTGGGATGGTGGCACTGTGCCAGTCCCTGCTCCCTTCTGATCCATCTCCCTGCTAATGTGCCTGGGAAAGCAGCAGAGGATGACCCAAGTACCTGTGCCCCTGTACCCTTGTGGGACACTTGGAAGAAGCTCCCAGCTCCTAGCTTTGGTCCTGCCCAACCCTAACTGTTGCAGCCATTTGGGGAGTGAACCAATGGATGGAAGGCCCCTCTCTCTCTCTCTCTCCCTCCCCCCCTCCCCCCACCCTGTATTTATCCCTTTCAAATAATTAAAAAAAGAAGAAAGTTTTATTTATTTTAAAGGCAGAGGGAAAGAGAAAAGAGACAAGATCTTCCATCTGCTGATTTACTCCCCAGATGGCCATCACGGCCAGGGCTGGGCCAGGCTGAAGCCAGGATCCAGATACTCCAACCCAGTCTCCCACATGGGTAGCAATGACCCAATTACTTGGGCTACCTTCTGCTGCCTTCCCAGACACATTAACAGGAAGCTGGATCAGAAGTGGAGTAGCCAGGACTTGAACTGGCATTCTGATATGGGGTGCCAATATCATTAATAGGTGGCTTAATCCACTATACCACAATACCAGCTGCACTGTTAGTTTTTAACCTAGCTGTAGGGCAGGGATAGGGAATGTACAGCCTATTGGCCATATAAGGTGCGTGAAGTCGTTTGATCTTGCCCTGCAGAGGAACTACAGATAAAGCTATAGCAGGCTGATTTCTAAGTTGATAATTTTGTATAGCCCACGAGTGATGTTATAAATATCCAACCACTGGGGTGGTTGCAACGTCTTTATACAAAATCAGGATGACGCATTACCCCAAGGTTACTTACCGCAGTCATAACCCTGACAAATGGCCCGGGTCAGGAGAATCCAAGGCCTTGCTTCTTGCTGTACCCAGCAAGGACACACAGGCACACTCAAGGCCACAGCGGTTTGCCTTTCCCAGCAAGGGGGCACCCAGGGGTGCTGCACTACTGCGATGCTGGCTCTTCCCACCACACTGGTCATGGGCGCGCCCCTCACACAGGAGAGAGAGCAGGAGTGGCAGCCAGGGAGAAGGTGCCAGGGTGAATGCAGACCAGCTTCATCACAGTGTGCTCCGCCTGGCTCAGCCCAGCAGCAGCCTGGTTCCCTAAGTCCCGGCGGCTGAGGACAGGCCCGGGATTTTACTCCCCCCCCTTTTTTTTTCAAAGACTTATTTATTTGGAAGAGTTACAGAGAGAAAGAGAGGTCTTCCATCCACTGGTTCATCCCCCAGGCTGGCCCTGGTCCTCCTCAGAGGCTCACAGTCCAGCCCCGCCCCGGATGATTTCTGTACCAAGGTCTGAGAGTGTGGGACCCCTGACAAGGGCCTGACCCCGCCTCGGGTGAGGCCAAGTGCTGAGCCCGCCTCAGGTGAGGCTGAGTGGCCGAGTGCTGACCCCGCCTTGGGTGAGGCTGAGTGCTGACCCCACCTCAGGTGAGGCTGAGTGCTGACCCCACCTCATGTGAGGCTGAGTGGCCGAGTGCTGAGCCCACCTCAGGTGAGGCTGAGTGGCCGAGTGCTGACCCCGCCTCGGGTGAGGCCGAGTGCTGACCCCACCTCAG